TTAGTTGAAAGTGAGAGCCATTAGGGTAACGTATGTAATGCAGAAGTAACGTTATAAAGTATAGAGTGAAGTATAAAAGGCTAAACAGTTAACCATCAGATAAGCGGGTCTCAGCTTCACAGTCTCCTCCACTCACACACATTTATTTCCTTTCAATTTCAACCAATTAGCAAAGCCTTGACTAAACCGGCCAAATAGCTTCGCCCGACCCAATCGGCCTGCGCGGCACTTATCAAAGTGCCTTATCTCGGGAAACAGACGGCAGTCAAACCTCCCCACATCCCTCATTTTATGTCCTTTCTTGACTTAAGCCCTGTCCTGGAAATTCATATACCTGTCACCGGTCACCCCTCTGTCTTACCTCTCTCTGTTCTCTATATCTTTCATATAGTGTCAACCCTACCCTGCACGCCAAGACCCGTGTTCGGGTTCCACTGCCATGCAGCTCGTTCCAAAGGAGGTAGGTGGCACGGAACACTCGACATAGCAAACAACTGACATCCTTGGTAGCTTGACAAGCTCACTATTGCGCACCTCGGGTTCTTGGCACAGAGGCGTCTAGCACGTGGAGTGCGGCTCAACCATGCAGAAGCTGTGGTATGTACTTCTCAGCCTTGTGGGATACAGTATGCTAATCTCCACTTCTAATTCCCTAGGCCTTGATCTCCTCCGTCCTGCACGAGGTACGTACACCTCTTCATAATTTAGCATACAATTGAACAATTGGACTAATAGTCACCAGCTAATCCGCGATGGCCAATACTCCGTCGCCGATCTCATGTCAATCGGCAAAACAATGCTAGGCCGCCGCCACGTCCTCCCCTCCGTCGTCGCAACTCTAGTCGAGCTACAAGTCGAAGGAACCTTCATTTCCGGCACCTATCTCGTCACCGTGCACCACCCGATCAGTAGCAATGAAGGTGATCTCGAAAGAGCGTTGTACGGCAGTTTCCTGCCCGTGCCTGCGCCAGAGGCCTTCCCTGATCCCGATCCCGAGGACTTCCGCCCGGAGAAGATGCCTGGTGCGGTTATCCCCGCTAAGCATGCTCGTGTCGAGTTGAGTAGTGGGCGGAGGCGTATTAGGTTGAAGGTTATGAGTAAGGGTGATCGGCCAATTCAGGTATGTCCATGTACAATCCATGCACGGGAACTGGGATTGGGACTTTGATTCGTGAAATTAGTGCCGTCGGATTGTGCTAACTTGTGTACAGGTTGGATCGCATTACCATTTCATTGAGACGAACCCGCAGCTGCACTTTGATCGCATTCAGTCTTATGGATTCCGGTTGGATATCCCCGCTGGTACATCCATCCGTTTCGAACCTGGCGATACCAAGACCGTGACGCTGGTCGAGATTGGCGGGAACCGAGTAATTCGCGGTGGAAACTGGTTGGCGAATGGACCTGTTGATCTGAACCGCGCCGAGGAGATCGTGACGAAGTTGCAGACTGCTGGGTTTGCACATGTGCCCGAGCCCCAGGCGGATAGTGTGCTTGTTTCTGGGTTCTCCATGGAGCGCGAGGCGTACTCGCGCATGTTTGGTCCTACAACGGGTGATTTGGTTCGATTGGGCTTGACCGATCTGTGGATCAAGGTTGAGAATGATTTGACGAGTTATGGTGATGAGTGTGCCTTTGGTGGAGGTAAGACGCTGCGAGAGGGTATGGGTCAGGCGTCTGGTCGGGGCCATGCGGAATGCGTTGATACTGTTATTACGAATGCGTTGATTATCGATTGGACTGGTATCTACAAGGCCGATATTGGTATCAAGGATGGGCTGATTGCTGGTATTGGCAAGGCTGGAAACCCCGATGTCATGGATGGCGTGCATCCGGATCTGGTTGTTGGTTCCTCGACGGATGTCATTGCTGGAGAGAACAAGATTATTACTGCTGGTGGTATTGACACGCACATCCACTTGATCTGTCCCCAGCAAGTCGAGGAAGCCTTGGCTTCAGGTATCACAACCTTCCTCGGTGGTGGAACCGGTCCTAGCACTGGATCAAATGCGACAACTTGCACACCCGGACCAAACCACCTGCGCCAGATGATGCAAGCATGCGACAGTCTGCCGATTAACATCGGCATTACAGGCAAGGGCAACGACTGCGGACGAAAGAGCATCGAAGAACAAATTCTAGCAGGAGCAGCCGGTCTGAAGCTCCACGAAGACTGGGGCTCCACCCCAGCAGCAATCGACAAGTGTCTGGAAGTGTGCGATGAATACGACGTACAGTGCATGATCCACACCGACACACTCAACGAATCAGGCTTCGTCGAACAAACAATCGAAGCCTTCAAGGGCCGCACCATCCACACCTACCACACCGAAGGCGCAGGAGGCGGCCACGCCCCAGACATTATCTCCGTCGTCGAACACCCCAACGTTCTACCAAGCAGCACAAACCCAACCCGTCCCTTCACTCTCAACACCCTGGACGAGCACCTGGACATGCTAATGGTATGCCACCACCTGTCAAAGAACATCCCAGAAGACGTAGCCTTCGCCGAGAGTCGCATCCGCGCCGAAACCATTGCCGCCGAAGACGTGCTACACGACCTCGGCGCAATCAGCATGATGTCCTCGGACTCGCAGGCCATGGGCCGCTGCGGCGAGGTCATCCTGCGCACGTGGCACACGGCGCATAAGAACAAGACCCAGCGTGGACCGCTTGGAACGGATGCCGATACTGGCGCAGATAACTTCCGCGTTAAGCGTTATATCAGCAAGTATACTATCAACCCGGCCCTGGCGCAGGGTATGGCGCATGCTATTGGTAGTGTGGAGGTTGGAAAGGTGGCCGATTTGGTTATGTGGAAGCCCAGTACCTTCGGTACGAAGCCGGTCTCTGTGCTGAAGAGTGGTATGATTGCCGTTGCGGAGATGGGTGACCCGAATGCTTCGATTCCGACGATTGAACCGATGATTATGCGGCCAATGTTTGCTGTATGTATTCCCGAGAGTCTTGGAGTTGGTCTGATTGATACTAACGAGTTGATAGGTCCGCGTCCCCGAAACATCCATTATGTTCGTCTCGCAGGCTTCTATCGATGCTGGAATCGTCCAGTCATATGGATTGAAGAAACGCATTATGCCCGTTAAGAACTGCCGCACTGTCGGGAAAAAGGATATGAAATTCAATGATACCATGCCAAAGATGAAGGTTGACCCGGAGAGTTATGTGAGTTTACCTTTCCTTACCATTATGGCAATCCATATAGTTCCTTTGGTTTACCGTACTAACCTCTACCCCCAACAGACCGTTGAAGCAGACGGTATGCTCTGCGACGCCGAACCAGCCTCCGAACTTCCCCTGACGCAGGCATACTATATCTTCTAGTTATTGCATTGTCTTTCTGCCCCTTCTCTCCCGCTTGCATATCACCCTCCCCCCGCCCCCTCCCATCCCCTTACTAGCATTCACTTCCCTTCATTCCCTGCAACTGATACGTTATATCTCATCGCTCGAGCGTCTGCTATTTTTCTTCATTTCGGAGTTGGTTGATAGCGAGCTAGCTCGAGTTTTGGCTTGGTTTCTCTGCGTGCATGATAAGTTACAGGTTTCTTATTTCATACGAACGTGACGATTTCTATTTATATCCTACTTACTCTTATATCACTCTTGCTTTTCTCTTTGATCCTACTCTTATCTTTGATCTTTGACTTATTGGTCTTCGTCTAATCCATATCTTCAATATGATATGAACTAACCCCCCAACCTCGCAACAACCCCCTCAATTCCCGAAATGACAATAGTATCTGTCCTCCGCCCATCAGGAAAAACAAGCATATCAGCCCAATGCAACAAACAAGCAACGACATCATCACACATACGTGGTATCTCATAACCGAAATATCCAAATGGTTTGGCAGTAACGTATGGATTGAACCGTGCAGACTTGACCATTGCCATCGATGCGGCTTTAAGGGTTTGCACTTTTGGGACGAGACCTAGGAGGGCCTTTGAGACCTCTAATGCTGTTTTTGGATTTACTTTTAGGGAATTTGATTGCGATAATAGCGATATTAGGAGGTTCGCTTGGGTTTGTTGGTAGGTTGTTACTGGGCCTTGAGGCATTCTGATTTTTGGTGGATTGGTAGATTGTAGATTGGTTGAGTTGTTAGAATAAATCGACAGAATCGATGAGAGGAGATGGAATGGAATGAGATGTACGTGACGTGATATCTTTGGGATCCTGTCTATTTATAAGATTGTAACAAAGACATACAGACTACTGTCGCTGAGAAGGTACAGAGAAGACCGAAGTATTGTTCCATCTCGTCGTTGTCTGTCCGTCTTATACTGTGCTCATATATTTCACGGTTATCAAAGAAGTCTATTGGCTTGTTATGTTATGTCTCAACATCTCTGAAAAATTTAATCTGTCTCATTGGTCAACTATTATAATGAGGTACAGGACCATTGTTTGAACTGACTGGCTTCTTTGTATCTGATACTATCCGCAAGTAGATACTTTGATTGATTAGAATAGTAATGACAGTATGAAATGCCTACGTACCATGTCTCGGCCAACAACATAGGGTTACATTCAAAGACCTTGCTCTTCACAGCTAATACGGTCATAGGCCATAAGTCCCTCCACACCTCCACAGTTACACAATCTACCTGATGAGCCCGAGACCCTCGAAAATGGGTGAAAAAGAGGTGAAAAAAGAAAAGCCAAAGCAGGGCGAAAATGATACATGAAACGGTATACTCGCTTCGAGGCTTTCGTGTAGAGACTGTCCAATACTTCATGACTATATACACATTTATGGCCCCCTATTGTAATAACAAGAAGACAGGCGCTTTGTATCGACAGTCCTCTGCGACTGGTGCCACAGAAGGCGAAGTTGCGAAAACATGACCTATCAAGAAAGAAAGAGATTGAGTGGTGAAATGAACTGGGGTATCATATAGTTAACAACAAGAAATAGCAAGAGTACTCCGTAGCAAATAAGGAATATAGATCAAGAATAGAGTAACAAGCAATTAGCTTATAGCTCAATCTCCTCTTCGGTATGATTATCTCTCGCGGAAACAAGCGACACATCCGTCCACGCAGAGTAGGTATCCTCTCGTGCAGCGAGATAAGCAGCAATACGAGTATGACGCGAAAAACGTAGACCGGCATCATCCTTTTCTGGGGGTTGCGTTCCATTATCCATCAGTCTCCGGTCTGGAGACCCGAGTGCTGACTCAGAAATGGAGAGGGGAAATGAATCCGTGAGTTGGCTTTCTGTTTTTTGAGTGTTGAGGTGTATGGGGGAGGTGATATCGTCGCCGGTTAGATCGATTATGCTTGGCGTCCTTGGTTCGCGGTTTGGGGTGGTATGATAAGGTTCTGCAGTTTCTGGACCCAGTGAATTCTGTTTCGCTCCCCTGATACTGAGTTCATGGCCATCTTCATTATCCGTGGAACATGTAGATGGTAGGATGCTGGCTTGGGAGGAATGGGCTGAGTTTGCTTGTGCTTGGGGGTGCTGTTTCTGACGGATATTATTATTGTCGAATTTAGTGGCGCCGTCGAATGTATTCGCTTGGTATGTGGGGATTTCAGGTTGAATATGCTGGCTCATATCAATCGTCTGAAGACTGATGTCTCCAATCCCATCAGATGTATCTGTGGACTGGGTGGATAGGTCCAAGTCAAAACGAGGTCTCTTCTTTGCGCGCAAACCTTCTTCGTCACTCTCATTTGCCAAAGTCCGCCGCATGTGCTCATCATGGGAGAATTTATTCCCTGAACAGAGGTGCCCGAACAAAGTTCGGATGGAGACATTCTCGTTCCAAGTCGATGGATCCACGGTGCATGGATGGATGTCTTTGGGTCGGAATGCAGCGACAAACTCACATGATTCGGAATACGAGGAGTGTCGGGAATATGGGAAGCGCTATAAACTTATTAGAGGGATTGTAAAAGCAAAACAAAATGAACTTACTATCGTGTTAGGCAGATCGGGGTTAGAGGACTCATCGAAGGAAGCTGAAGGACCGCGGCTGAGAGCAGTTACCAGATTCTCCAGTGAAATCTCCCCTTCTTCTCTCAGGCCGTATGTATCAAGTGAGAGCGCCTTTCTTCTCGACTGAAAAGCATTCTTCAGCGCATTTCGCATCTGAGACAACGCCTCTTGATCCTGAATGTGCTGGGAACAAAGTTTCTCCAGCTCGGCCATGGCAGACTCATCCGGCAACTCCAATTCATGGGTTTGGTATAGATCCCCGACACCACCACCTGCGCCGACATCGGGGATTTCCGTACCGGTAGGGGTGCGGTTGACAATGGGCATGATATAGACCGATTTGGGTCCACGGGATGATGCACACGCGACACCAGGTTCACAGCTGTGAATTCGACTGGTCTCATTGTTGCTTAAGCAGCCTTCCACATCTCTGTTTCCCAGGTCAAAGCCACACAGGGCAGGCGCTTCACTGGCACCCTTGTTTCCAGAGATTCGTGTCAAAGACCGATAAAGACCCATCTGGTAGCGATCTACGTGTACCTAAAAACAATTAGCATGTATTCAAACTGGAGAATTGACAAATTAATCACCTTACTGTTCAGCGCCGCTGACAGCGCTATCCACACATCTTCGTAGCCGAATGTCCATGCGCGGAAATAGAAGACCGTATCACCGGAATAGGCTTGAACCTTCTGCAGCAGCTCAGCCAGACCCTCAGCCTTGGAAGGAAACTCTCGAAATGGATTTTTCTTGCTCGCGAAGGTGGTATCCAGGTACAACTTTTCCAGCCGTTTCTGACCCAGAGTGTATGGTATCAAGATGGGGTGGCGAATCAAGCTGCCGACCCACCATTTCTCAGCTAAAGGTACTCAGTCATGGTATCAATATAAACAGGTTGTATACTTACCTCGGATGTCACCCGAGTAGATGATTGCCTTGCCGTCTCCTTCGATCAGAAACATCACCGCCCCAGGACAGTGATTGGCATCAAACAATGTTACCCTAACACGTCGTCGAGGTGTAAGGTCAATCTCTGTTGGAGTATTCAACGGGATGGGGCGCTGTTCAAGGATAAGCTTTGGCTTCAACCGAGAGAGTTCAGAACACGATACCAGAAGTTTTGCGAGATGTTTATAATGCAATCTGCGTGACTCCAGGATACCTTTGTTAAAGTTCATCCTATGCGGATACTGCTCAATCCGTAATAATACCTAAGTGAGGGTAAGCGAGAGTGATATCAGTGACGCCATACGACATACCTCGCGCGTCGCTGGCGAACAGTAAATGAACGGCGCTCGAAACGACTCGAGGCCCTGCAGATGGTCACTATGCACATGGCTGAGAAAGCATGCCAGTGGCGCAGGCCGCTCAGGGCATTTCCGAAAGTAATCGACTGCTTCTGTTTAGCTGATATCGCCGTATAGAGGCAAGTAAGGCTCACTCCGAATGTCGGGAAACTCTATCGAACGGTTAACACCGAAGTGACGCAGGAGAAATGGGTCTCACCTTCAACAATGCCATCAAAGGTCGACATGGCCACTCTTCTTAGGTCAGACGGGATGCAAAGACAAGTCCACACCATGTATGGATGAGTTGGATATGCACGTGACGTGGAAGTAAAGAAAAACGAGGAATATCTTTAATCTTTATTGGTCTAAATAGAGTGAAATGCATAGTATTGACCTATCTTGTTCGAGTAAATCGTAGTTCGTACCTGTACTCCGTACCTATGAGAGTACTAGTCGGAACAGCTGGCCGTGCAGGACACCGGATCTAGCCATTTGCCAGCGCATGCGTTATATACGCCCCATTCTTCCGATTTTCTCCCTTCTTCTTCTTCACTTTTCCTCTAAGAGGTCTCAATGTGTATAGTTCATGCCTGTGAGACCTCCAATCCTCAAGGGTCAAAGAGCCGAAACGTCAGCTGGGCACCTGATCGGTCTTTCTTTTTTTCTCTGAGGACTTCACTTTAACATAGTCTCAGAGACTCTCTCATTTCTTGCCGACAAAGGGGAAGGGATCCGGATTCCTGGACATTCCAGGGACCTCCTTAATATTTGCACTTCTCACACTCACCTCGCGTCTATTCTCACCATCAACATGCGTAAACCGTCGCTGGCCCAGATCGTTTATAACGCCACGTTTCCACGACCTCGCACAAACGAACCGGGGTCGTTTGCTGCTCACATTACCCGAAATCTCGTCCCTGAAGTGCGCGTCGAGACATCTCATTTCTACGGTTCGCTAGACTGCATCGAAGCGCAATACCCAGGGCTGGACTACTCCTACGGGCCGCATCGCATGCGACTGAGTCGCTTCCCATGGCATCGCAGATTATTCCGAGTCTTTGATGAGCTCAAATTAACCGAGGAGGAGATCTCCGACCTGTGCCGATGGGAAGGGACCAAGTCAGCGCGACAACGGTACGAGGCTGAAGAAGGGACCAAAGTGCGGGACACCACTGCCCAGTCGATCCGACCAGCATCACCCCTACCGTTTCCCTCCATCGAGGTCCACTACTTCGACGACTTCTGCAGGGCAGAGGACCAGGATCAGATAATCGAGACCCAGAGTAACGACACCGTCCGTCCAAGCGCTTCTCGCACCCCGAGCACTCACTCCTCCGACAGAGCAGAGCACGAGGTCGAGGAGGAATACAGTGACGAGGAAATGGAGAGCTGCGGTGTTGCACTGAACAACCGGCTTCTCGCCGCAATGGCTGCGCGCGACCAAGGGGCCGATGTGCCTCTCGACGAGGACTGGGAACAATGGCTGAAGGAGGCTGGAGAACGCGGCGGATACGGCGACATGGTTCATGCCATTCGTGCAAACCAACCCTTGAGCTTCGGCTCTGATACGCGCACTCAGCGCCATCGTAATGGGGCTCGTGTTGTGTCGATCGCTGCGTCTCTTCCTGATTCATACCTGTTCTCGCTGCCAGAAGACATCCTTGCAAGCCCGGCCCTTCCACCTACCTCCAATCCTGCTTCTGGCACGGCTCGATGACTGCTCTGACTTGACTGTGACCCTTGTTCAAGGCTTCGCTATAACTGTATGCATTTCTTCTGGCGCATTCTTTTCTCTCTATCATTGTCTGAAGTGGACTGGCTCCTTCTTCTTTTTCCCTTACTTTCCCCGTCTTTTCCCCATTATCCCTTTCGATGTTCACAAGAGTCTCTTGCTGCTGCATAGATTTCCTTGGCTATCTGCGTCTCACTTAATACCCGTACCTTTCATTGCCTTGCCTCTATTTCTCTGTTCTTTACGGGTGCTCTGTTTGGACTTGAAACCGGCAAAAGTTATTATTCATCTAGCACATTCTATCTGATCTGAATGCTCAACATTCCATACTCCATACTGTGTTCCTGTAGAGCGTTGATGCAAATAGAGCAAACACCCGATAAGCTCGTAGCTCATCTCCGCATCTCCGCATGCCACTTCACATTGTACATTGTTGCTGGCTCCCTGGCTTTATGTGACCGGGTCTGATTGTCCTCTGATATTTGCGCTGCTTTATTGAATACTGAGTCCGCCTCATGGTCCAGCAGTGTCCCTCCAACCCCTTGCGACAGCACCCCCACGATGATCAAGGCAATCTTCTACAGCAAATTCGACACGCAAGAGGGTATGTGAACCCCTGCAATGCATTGTCAACTACTAACTATCTCCAGGTCCCAAAGTCGTCCACCAAGTCCCTGATGGAGCCATCGTTCCCTCCCCCACGGCACCTGCACAGTCACTCTACCTGACCTTCTCCGACGTCTCCTTCTTCGTGATCCCCCGCCAGGAACTCTGCGGAAACCTTCTGCAAGTCTGCACAAATGGATACCGTATCCTGGGCTACCCAATTTGCATGAAGTCGGCGCGATATGATCGCAATGAGTTCATTTTCAACTTCTGCATTGTTCTCGCCGAAGAGGACGACTTTAGCACGTATAAGAGTGTGGTACAGAAGATAGCGGATCTGATGCATGGCCTAGAGGAGCAGAATGGCTTTCTATCCCGTGATTTCTCCAGAAGTGGGGAGGGGAAGGTGCATAGTCTCTGTGAGATGTTGATGGAGGACTTGAATAACTACTGCGAGTGCATGGTTCCCATCGGTATGTCCTTGAAATGCATACACAGTTCCGCTGCTAATCTCTGGCTAGATGAGTTGAATACTCTCAACATTAAGCTGTTCCCGATCTATCCCTCTCCTCCGCAAGTCAAGGCATGGCATGTGCCGCTTTTCACCCTGCGATATCAGGCCTTTATGGATGAGAACTGGGACTTGACCATGCAGCGGGTATGTGAATCGATGCCCTCGTTCTACGGGCCACAATAACTGACCACATCAGATTGTCCCTCATATCAACGGCGTCAACAGTGTCCGCATCATTTCCATTCTAGCAGACACAGACTTCTCTCTCACCTGCCGTGCAATCCGCCACCTCCTTTACTACGGCTGTCTATTCCTCCTCGACATCTTCTCCTTCGCAGCCATATACGCCCCGACCGCCCAAATCAGCGCAACAATCGGCTGCGACGAAGCAATGCAACTAGAATGTGCTCGCTACGTCAACCTCCGCTTCGCACCACACCTCCCAATAGGCCCAAGCTCATCCTTCCCTGCACCCCTCGCCCCAAGCGGCAGCAGCACAAACGGCAGCGGCACGGGACCACTCTCAAGCTCCCTAACCGACCACGCCCCAAGTATAACCCGCGACGACTCTCGCTTCGACGCAGAAGAAATATGGCCCCTCCTCGGTCCCGCAGAAGACACAGACGACCCCACAGACAACAATAACAACAGCACAACCCCAGCACCTTCCTCATCCAGCGATACCTCCACTTCAAACAACCAAACAAACGCCCTCCACAAACCAGCTATAGTAGATGGAGTAGGCCTAGTCGAGCTCTACGCCAGCCTAAAACAAGGCCAAAGCGTCAAACAATGGTACGCACAACACAGCAGAGCCCTAGCAAACATCGACATCCGCCGCTTCATCACCTTCGGCGTAATAAAGGGCTTCCTCTACCGCGTCCACAAATACGCTTGCGCTACCGGCCACACTGCGCCCGCCCCGCGCACGGCGGGCTCTCCTTTCATGCCTACGCCTACGCATACGGCCACGTCCACGGCAACTCCTGTGGCTACGGGTTCCTCGTCCCGTGTTACGACGGGGACTACGACGCCCTATACTGTTTCCAGTGTTGGGGATGAGGGGCCTCTTCCTGGGAGGGAGTCGAGCTGGGAGAGGCCTGGGTCTGTTTTTAGTGGGAGTAGGAACGGGGTTGGTGCGGGTAATTTTGAGGAGTATGAGGTTGAGGAGGTTGATGATCGGGTTTTGGAGAGGTATCTTGATGGGACGCATTGTTTTGATCAGATTTGTACCGAGTTGGAGCTTAGTGAGAGGGAGTTGACGGCGAGGTTGAAGAGGTATCCTGGGGAAGTTTTGATTCTGCATCGGTGAGGTGAGTTACGGGTTTGATAACGTGTTGCATTCCAAGGTTGGCGTTTCTTTTGCTTTTTCAGTGTTTGGTTGTGATCGATACCCCTAGTTTTACTGGTTATATATACCCTCGATGAGTCTCATGATATCGAGGTCGAAATACAATTTAAGATACAGAGTAAGTCTGTGAAGAGATTGATCACTTATTGATAATAATAAGCTAAAGAATAAAGGTACATTGTCACATCTGACCAGCTAGATATACGACGCTGTAGAGAGACTACTCTCTTCGCGCGAATACAGACAAACACAATGTCATCCATCCTTGATAAGCACAGACGAGACCACGTCCGATCTCCGAATCTAACTTGGCCGTGGAACTGAGAAAGGAAAAAGAAGGTATCCGCTAACGCCCGCCAGCCCGTCATGCCATTCGTATCGTATCATGCAAGAAAAAGAATCAGAAAAAGAAGCCTCCGCGAAGCAGCTAGAGAACAGAAAAGGGAAGAGACACAAGACCAGTCAAGGGAGAGGAGAGATCCAAGTCAAGTGACGGATTTTACTCCTCCTCCCAGTTCTCAAGTTCAGCCTTTTCATGCTCGGCCATAACAGCCGGGTCGAAGATCGACTCTCCCTCTGAAGGAATCGTAGTCTTGATATCATCGAAGATAGGCAGGAAAGCCTCGTTCCAGCGCCGACGACGGTCCATAACAATCTTGGCAGCGTCTCCAACAGCAGGACGAGACACGCCTGCAGCGCCAGCGACGTGGCTGCCGCCACCTGCACCGCCGGGTCGGTGCTTAGCCTGAGCGCCCTTCTTGCTCTTGCCCATGGTGCGGGTGCGCTTGAGGTAGGCCTGCTGGACCTGAGTGTCGAGGTCGTCTTGAATGGTGGTGAATTCCAGCATGGCCATGTGCTCCTGGGCGATCTTTAGGATACGGGCCTTGCGCGCGTTATTGGTGACAATTTGCTTCTTGAGCTCGCCTTGTAGCAGGCGGAGACGTTCGGCAACCTCATCGTCGTAGTGTGCGTCGTAGTCTGGGTTATCGTCCGCGCCGAGGAATCCAATATATCGAAGCTCGGCCTTGGCACGTTCGTCGAGTTGGGCGTGGTCGAGCTTTGCGACTGAGGTCTTGAAGCCATTTGGATCGGCGTCGCGGAAGGCTGTTGCAGGAGGTTGTGATTGTTTCTCGGTCTTGTTCTCTGGTTCGCCGTTCGGCTGGTCAAGCTCCATTGCGTCTCCGCCGAGGCCGCCGTCGCTTGTGGCTGAGTTTGCATTATCGTCGGGAAGGGTTCGGTGCTCGTAACGCAGAAGAGAGCAGAGTCGGCTCAGGAGGGGCCCAACGGAGACCTCGTTGGTATCCGCTTTATCATCAGTCAATGTGTCGATGCTACCACGACCTTGGTTCAACGGAAGCTGATCCTTGTCATCTTGGCTGGAATCGTAGGATACACCATCTTCCTCTGCCCATAGCTGACGATAGCTTTTCTTTCCGCGACGTGGGATTATAAATGGGGTAACGCGATCTCCCTGTATCATGTTAGCTTGTGTCGCAGGGCGATAGTTGCAATTGACCTACCCGTTCCCTTAACCAGGCAATATCCTCCTCAGTAAGAGGCCGAACGTATGGCTCAATGTATGTCAGGAAAGTATTGGCGCTGACTTGATTGGATGGCTTCGCGTTGCTAAAGTCCTTGTCGGGTGCAACACCAGCTAGCATGTGAGCGAGGTCGCTCTTGGGGAATCGGGCAACGCTGTAAATCTCTTTCTTATCTTCGTCGGTCATATCTGGGAGAACATCGCGGATGTTGTAAATGGTAGGGTCGTCAAACTTCAGCGGATTATCACCGAAAACTTGTATTTGAGGGACAGCCGGGGCAGGCTCAGGTTGGTGTGACTCGTTACTGGTTTCAGACCCGGGGGAGCCGGGGGGGGCTGGACCATCGCCAGCGGTGGTCACACCATTGGGAGACATCATAGAGGGTGGTGAAAGCGAGGAGCTGTCATCGGATGCAGCGCGCTTGGAGATTTTCGATGCTGGTGAGGCCGCTGGAAATGTCAGTACATGTCGAAATAGTGGGGAATATGGAGTAAAATGGAGGGTTGAGAAGAGGTGAGTCGCAAGTGAAAACAAAGGATGGAAATAAAGCGCCGAGTTGGTTCTCTTACCTCCCTCAATCTTAGTTTCAGCACCATCCTGACGCCCGACCTGGTGAGCTCCATGAGTCAATGGACGCTCCTCCTTCCCACTTGCGCGCTCTTTCCGCTTTTTCAGCTTCCCGCCCTTGTGGATATCATCCTCTTCTTCTGTCTCGCGCTTCAGTCTTGCTCGGTCTCGGACTTCACGATCAAGTTCCTGGTCCTCCATTACTTCCTTGCGCTTCTGAGACATCTCCCGCATTCCCGCATTGCAAACCTCACCCCGAGCATCAGCCATGTCACTGAGGCTCTTCAGGTGTTCCACTAAGGCCTCAAGCGTTTTCGAATCTGGGATATTCTGCGCGGCCAACAGGTCCAATACATCGGCATACTGGCCATTAGCCAGGTCAATGAGCTTGGTTACATCATTTTCCAGGTAATTCTGAAGCGGAGGTCCTGGAATCGTAGGGGCACTAGCGCTGGATGGAGTGGTATTGCGACTGCGCGACTGGCGTGCGTCGCGGCCTTTGCCTTTGCTCTTATATGCTGAAGGCATGTTGTTTGAGATAGATGGGCGGTGAGAGGGAAGGGATGGATTGATCGCAGCGGTACTTGCTATCAATCAGACGATAAATCGGTCGACAGAGGTGATTCTAGGAGGTATGGATGGGGCTGGACCAACGCATGCTGTCGTTGGTCACTTGAAATGAAGATGAGTGAGAGGAGATTATGCCACCTATGAGGTTATCACAAAGCGAAGCTGACGCGGTTCTAGAGATCCTCGAGGTCACAGATGAACTACAAAGCTAACAGGTGACGATGTTGGCGGTCGAAACCACACGTGACATGTTCTTTATCATCACGTGCGCCTTTATCGAGGTTATCTGGGGAACTACTGTACACACAGTATAGCTTCTATGTTGGTTCCATTAGAAGTGTGCGGAATATAGACTCGTGATCAAGCCTCAATTTCACACATGGCTCAGCCTACAAGAATGTGCATGGCGTTTGAGCTTTGGGGCGGATCTGTATAGACCGAACATTCTGCGGAGAACACCGAATGGCCTTGGCGGCAACTCCGAAACAGGAGCCTCCCGAAGTGAGTTCTGTTTTTACAAACCCGAACAGGCAAATAAATTGCCAGCATATGCCCAGACTGCTTATGAACTGATCGATGGCACTCCTATATGTACTTGTACTGAACAGTTGCCTGTGGCGATCATTTCCATAAGCGTCACTTCCGCGAACGGCGTAGTCCAATGCGGGAAAGTATAGAACAGCAATGACCACGCGCTCGGCCATTCTTGCTCGTTTATGATGTTTTCTTCTGAATCTGAAACGCAGATCCTGGGGAAAAGGCGTATTTGCCTCCTGCCTCGTGGTCGGGACCAGTGTTGTTCACATTCTTGTGCCGGTCCCGATTAAACTCTCGCATTCTTCCGTTGTAGGGCTCAATTTAGCGGTTTTTGGCCGTGATCGATCAAATCCTATACTTTGTATTTACCTAAATATACAACAATGCCGTTTCCTGACTCCATTTCAATCTCGACTTCTTTCCTCGCTCAAACCCTCTGGGCATCAGCTCTTCTCACTACTTTACACAATCTGAGAGCCCATTGCTCAACATTCTATATACCATGTCGACTGTAGGCATGTCCCGAAATACGCCAGATGAAACGGTGGGGAAAGTGGCCTCGCTTTATGCAGGCCCCGGGCACGCTTCAAATTTTACCTCCACTGTCAATGTGAGTACCCTTTTTTAAAGATACCAGGGAAGCACAAGGAGAAGGACCAATTCTGACGCTATACAGGACTATGTCAGCTATCGATTCGTTCTGAATCACAAAGTTCAGACGATATCAAGCAACGGTATTCCCGATAGCGGGTCAGTTGCCGGTCTCTTGTTCGTACCGAGTCTAGAGCCTGAAGATCCATGCAACAACATTACAGCTTCGTCTGTACCATCAAATGTGACCCGTTATGAGGATGTGTCGGAGTTTGGATACTCCCTTATTGGTCTCGCTCCCTGGGTTACCGCCGAGTGCTCTTCATCCTATCTAAATGCCGCACGGAAAGCTGGATCGCATGGGCTGATCTTTTTCCAACCATCACTCAATGAGACCGACATACCGCCTTCGTCAGATGATCCCAGGTGGTTAATCAACGATGGTAATCAGTGGAAGATGGAGAACAATTACCCAGTTTATGCCATCCCGGGTGCAGCTGGAGCGACATTAATAAGTGACCTCTCTCACTTTTCGGACAACGGGTCAAATATCACCACCAAAGGCAACTCCAGCGAGGGATTTGCTGTACAGCCTAATAGCGATCGATTGTTTGCTAGAGTGGATATCGGTATGTCATAACTTTCCATCACTTTGAAAAATCGTATACTTATATATCACAGACACATCCTCATCTGGACAAATGCCGAGTCTCTGGGCTTTTATTCTCGCAATTGCGGGAACGGTCCTGGTACTAAGTCTGCTGCTGGTCGTCATCTACCGTCTTGTATTACGGAAGAGAAGAGATATCCTCTTGAGACGTATCAATGACGGCCAAATCGACATTGAAGCTTTGACAATGACTCCAATGAAGGCGCCTCGAGAGGTGGTTGACAAAATGCCACTCTACACCTATCTCGAGATCCACCCAGAAGAAGAAACAACAATTACTCGACTGAATACACCGGACGACGACGTGACACTTGCTTCTGGTTATAATACCGCTCCGTCGTCTCCCAACGAACATCACCATCTGGGCGATGCTGGACTCAAGAAACCGGAGCCAGTATACACAAAACCCGAGAAAGGTGATACAGACGAGTGTCAAAAAGCCAAGTACAGACTAAGCCATACTCAAACAACTTGTGCTATCTGCATCGATGACTTTGTCGCTGGATCGTCATTGGTCCGTGAACTACCGTGTGGCCATATATTTGATTCAGGATGCATTGATCCATTCCTTATTGAGAACAGCTGTTTGTGTCCTCTATGCAAGAAGAGTGTTTTACCGCCGGGAAGTTGTCATATTGCTGTGACCAACGAAATGGTTCAACGAGAGCATCTTTCGAGGCGCTCCGTATGAACGCAGAGTGGGTGTTTGATATTTTGTCTGGAATATATTCCGAGAGACGTTCACAATGGGTCCTATACTGGGATAGAAGGAAAGAAACGAGGGAAACAAGCGATGGATGAAGAAACGGTTGTATATTTGCATTGATCTAGCATTGCGGTTTTGGTGGCGATTGCATGGAATATGGCGTCTGACTTGCGCGATCGAGCATTTGATGAGTTTCCCTTACCATATGAATTCAGCATCTTCCTTTGATGAGAACTTTTTCAATCAAAAGTATGCAACTATAGAGTGTAGCAGGGTCACATATTGTATGGTAGCATTTGGCCTGAGGCAAAAATCTCGGTTAGAGCCTGACTTCCAAGGCCACAATCCCGTGATTGGCTGTGGACCCACACTCGGTTAATCACTAGCGTCCCACACACAACCCTCTGCCTTTAGTCGTTTTCTTCCTCGAACTTTTCGCGACAACGACAACCGACGACCTCGTGTAAGCCGACAAGGTACGTTCACCTTTTGCAACATCCTATTCATCCCGCCAGTGCATTCATCTAACATTGAACCGTCCAGATGGGTGCCCTCAAGTACGTGGAAGAAATCCAAAAGAAGAAGCAGTCCGATGTGATTCGCTTCCTGCTGCGCGTCCGATGCTGGGAGGTGAGAGAAACCCCATGCCCCTCGATTGCCTAACATCTCCGCCGAGCGCTCGTGTGCGCTGCCATAGGATATGCCGTTTTATGTGGTATTGCTAGGTGGCTCGAACGAAACTCATTCGGCGGAAATGATTGTGGCACGCAAGAGATTCCTTTTTTAAAGGCTCATGTGTCTTGCTATACACTCGTTGAACTTTGCTGAGAGTGCATAATATAGCTCCGCCAGCTGAACGCCATCCACCGTGCCTCGCGCCCCTCCCGCCCCGACAAGGCTCGTCGTCTCGGTTACAAGGCCAAGCAGGGTTACGTTATCTACCGTGCCCGTGTCCGCCGCGGTGGCCGCAAGCGCCCCGTCCCCAAGGGTGCCACTTACGGTATGTTCCTCTTGATTCGAAACAGACCAGATGGAATTTTTGGTCTGGTTGAAAAATTGTCGAAAACTCTTACTAATGTGTGATTGTGTGAATAGGCAAGCCCACCAACCACGGAGTCAACCAGCTCAAGTACCAGCGTGCTCTCAAGTCCACCGCTGAGGAGCGTGTTGGCCGCCGCGCTGCTAACTTGCGTGTTCTGAACTCCTACTGGATCAACCAGGACTCTACCTACAAGTACTACGAGGTCATCTGCGTCGACCCCCAGCACAAGGCCATCCGTCGTGATGCCCGCATCAACTGGATCTGCGCTCCCGTTCACAAGGTGAGTTTGATTCTGGATTCAATTGCATGCCAAAAGAATTTTACTGATCAAATTTCCTCTACAGCACCGCGAGTCCCGTGGTCTCACCGCCACCGGCAAGAAGTCCCGTGGTATCAACAAGGGCCACCGCTACAACAACACCAAGGCTGGTCGCCGCCACACCTGGAAGCGCCAGAACACCCAGAGCTACTGGCGTTACCGTTAAGTGCGGTAATGCACTTCTGCAGCGATTTGGGTTGGAAAATGTTGGTCACAGCATATGGTTTTTTATCCGAACACTTCTTTCCCAGACAGTGTCACCCACGCTGGGCTCAACTTTAATGCAGACCTTCCGGATCTGTTGTTAGCCAAAAAGCCATCTTGTTAAATGTTCAAATTCCCCTATTAACGAAGTATGACTGGTTCAACTCCGTGCCGCTGGTGATCGTAAATTGTAGTCTTGAGTAGTGATTATGTCTATAAATCAGGCCTAGACGTAGTCCTGGAGAGAACTGGCTGAATACCTCGCCGTACTAGTCCTAGGGCCGGATAGTTTACCTTAGCGGATCGCCATGATCGCCAGCAGGGGCTTGGAGGTTAATGGGCATTTGACACAATTGATGGCCTTTGACCCGCTATTTTATCCTGTTCAAAGCTCGAGGGGCACACTGTCTCAAAAGTATATCAAAAATAGAGCTGCGATTTCAGGTTGTCCAAAAATAGGCATTGATGCCTGAGGCCACACAAGGAACCTTTACCTCCTCTCCGGCGCTTTCCCAATCCGTCCACGGGGACTATGAGATACTGCAACTTCACCTTTCCATTGGACTCTCAGGCGAGATTGCTCTTTTAGTGAACCTTGACCTGGAACGCTTATTGAGGCATCCCTGCCACAGATTTGTCCTCCATTGAACAAAGAAGCTGAACTTGCGTTACCGTTACTCGACTGCCTTACTCTAACTCCGTCCACCGACTCGCATGTGTCCAGTACAAGTGACAAGCTCCACGAGCTGGATACCTTACTGGAGTGGTTGAACTAGGTCGTCATATCAAGAATAACCCGTTCGATGCGCCTCCATGCCGTCTTGGTCTGACCGTCCTCTGCCGCCCATCCCTCCGATCTCGACCTCTGGCAGCGCTGCCAATCCTCCACACCCTTCACCAGTCACTGGCCCGGAAAGTAGCTCGCGTCGCCAGCTCCGGCCTCGCGATGCTCCCAATATACCATCCGTAACTGGCAACATGCCCAAGAATTCATATCACCGAGGACACAACCGCTCGATCAGCAACCCGTTCGCGGGTTTCGGGCGAAAGCGTGATAAGACAGCTGTCAAGTATGAGACTTGGGACTCGGATGATGAGGACGACGATGTTACCTACCCCATCGAGCCCGAGTCGTCAAGTCCTCGGAAAGCTGCAGCCCGCGGAGGGCATGCCAGTGATCTTGCCCAGGGCAAGTGCCAGACGTGCGATGCTACTGTGCGGTGGCCCCAACACTTGAAAGTCTTCCGATGCACCGATTGCTTGATGGTTACCGATCTTGAGCCGGATTTCCATGAGTCAAAAGATACGGGGCACAACGGCATTCCTTCGCAGGGCTCTCAGGCCCAGCCGAAGCCGCCAAGCAAAGGTATTCACTACCAATACTCTTGTCCCATTATACCCGTATAATGTACTGATCTGTAATTGCAGTTGCCCATTTGTCGGCCCATCAAACCCGTGGCATGATTGGAGGGTGTCTTAACACGTATTTCGAAGGCCTTCTAGATGAGAGCTCTCGGTCGTGGTTGTCGCTGGACGACGACAAGTACGAGAAGCCAAAGCAAGATTCTTCTCAAGCCTCCAATACTGGCTCGAACTATCTATCAGTGCCGGGCGCTGGCGATTCTCGTAGCCGCAGTGCTTCTCAGTCTAGCAACCATGAAAGAGTCGGCGCGTCAAAGGAGAACTTGATGCATCTACCCCAACAGACTGTTCGCTGGGAGGGAAAAGACACACCCGTCAGAGTTCGCGCAAATTCCGACCTTCAATCATCCCCGAAGCCAGACCGTCATCCTCAAGACGGTTCGCAGTCTGCTCATCCTGATATTCAAAGTCGAGAGAGTCAAGTGGAAATCTTCAAGCGGCTGGAGAATACCATCATCGCTGCTTTCAAAGGCTGTGACTGTCTCAACGAATCTTTCACGACTCATCCACCTCTTCGATCAGCCAGCAGTGGCAATCCACCGAAAATGAAGATGGACCCAGCGCCAATGCCTGTGCCAGCACAGGATGCCCCTGTTTTCGAGCCAGATGCCAAAACTCTCCTTTTGGGAGATTTGACCGAGAACTCCACTTGGTGGATGAACGAATGGGCTGAGGCCGAAGGGCAGACCCCAGTCTCTGCCAAAGAGAAGGATACGCCCAAGTCTCGGATGGTGTCATCACGAAGCCCTCGGATCAATTGGGCCGAAGTATCTCAATGGTATCACTTAGTTTTGAGTGCGGGGAGTTCGTGGGCTGAGCAGTGGGCGGCTAAAAAGCCTGACCCCCAACGTTCAGAGGCAGACATGCTACGAGCCAAGAGATGGGCATCCGTTGACCCGACCCTCATTGGGAGACAAATCAGCGAGTCTCGTTCGCACCTACAACGGACTCTGCTGAAGGCCACTGAGAACCTCCTCAAGCGGCCGCGCCGTGTCCTAAAGAAGCCAGAAGACACGAGGTTCTTGTTCATTCTGCTGGCGAATCCTATCCTGTCGTCTCCTACATCTTATCCCCAGCACGCACCGACATCAACATCTCATCGCGAGGAGAGGCGTCCATCGCACCCAAAAGAATATCCAAAGTCAACAGCCCGAAATGGCAAGCAGAAAGACTCAACCAAACCCCTTCCTCGTTTACCGAGCTCCAACCACTATGGAATCATCAAGCGAGTATTGGGCCTCATGTCCAATTTACCAAACGATTGCCATCACTACTTTGTATCTTGGTCTGCGCGTTTCTCAATAGGCCACTTTGAGCGCCTGGTGGAGCTCATTGGTGGATTCCTGACCTACCGTTTGAGCCGACAGCATGGAAGGAAACCTCCCCAGAAGCCTCAAAATGGGGATGACCTGATACCAAGCTTTGCTAGCGCCTCGGGTAACACTCCAGCTGAGCTTCATGCTGCTATAAATCGAAGGGGCCCGAACAAGAAGCCTGCCAAGAAGACCGAAGATCCAATAGTCTACACCGAGGACTGGCAGATCCGAGCTGCAGCAAGGATCATGTCGTTGCTTTTTACTGCGAACATTTCTGGCTCTTCGAGGAAATCCGATGGATCACCGCGCCACGTTGAATTACCCAAAGCCCCAGGCCCTCGTCAAGGCCACGTGATCCCTATCAGTGCGTTCTATAACACACTGCTGGACTATTCAGATCTGATAGGAGACTTTGAGATCTGGGAGTCTCGAAGCTCGAAGTTTTCGTTCTGCCAATACCCATTCTTCCTCAGTATCTGGGCAAAGATTCACATCATGGAGCATGACGCACGCCGTCAAATGGAAGTCAAAGCCCGCGAGGCTTTCTTCAATAGCATCCTCAATCACAGGGCGGTCAGTCAGTATCTCGTACTGAAGGTACGGCGCGAGTGCCTGGTTGAAGACAGCCTTAAAGGTGTCAGTGAAGTTGTTGGTTCCGGCCAAGAAGAAATCAAAAAGGGTCTTCGGATCGAGTTCTCAGGCGAAGAGGGAATTGATGCCGGTGGTTTGCGGAAAGAGTGGTTCCTATTGTTGGTTCGAGAGGTCTTTGATCCGCACCATGGATTGTTCATCTATGATGACGACTCGCAATATTGCTACTTCAATCCTTACTGCTTTGAGTCATCTGAACAGTTCTTCTTGGTTGGAGTTCTACTTGGGCTCGCCATCTACAACTCTACCATTTTGGACGTTGATCTCCCGCCATTTGCTTTCAAGAAGCTACTGGCGTCGGCACCGCAGACCAGCGGGCCACAGCCTGCGAATTCTATGCGTTCGAGCTTCAAGTGCACACTGGAAGATCTTGCTGAGTATCGACCGGTTTTGGCCAAAGGACTTCGAGGCCTACTTGAATTCGAAGGGGATGTTGCAGAGACTTTCTGCTACGATTTCGTCGCACAAGTTGACCGCTACGGAGAAAACATCTCGGTTCCGCTCTGCGCAGGAGGCGAGAACCGACCGGTGACCAACTCCAACCGACGTGAGTTCGTGGATCTGTACGTGCACTATTTGCTAGATACCGCCGTTGCTCGACAGTTTGAACCCTTTAAACGGGGTTTCTTCACGGTCTGCGGTGGCAATGCACTATCGCTGTTCCGACCAGAAGAGATTGAGTTACTAGTCCGTGGTTCTGATGAGCCACTCGATGTGAACTCTCTTCGAGCAGTAGCCACATATGACAATTGGTCATATGCACAGCCAGAGTCAGTTCCTGTGGTACAGTGGTTCTGGGATTTCTTTGAAAGTGCGCCACCAAAACAGCAGCGCAAGATCCTATCTTTCGTCACCGGCAGCGATCGAATCCCCGCAATGGGCGCTACGAGCCTCAGCATCCGGCTTGCCTGTCTTGGAGATGACTCCCCCCGCTACCCGATTGCACGTACGTGTTTCAACACGCTGGGTCTGTACCGCTATTCTTCACGAGATAAATTCCTACGTCTGCTCTCTGATGCAGTTGTTAACAGCGAAGGATTTGGCTTGAAATGATTTTGTTTATTAATTGGTGATTCTGGTGCTTGCACATTTGTACAGACGCTGGACGTTGACTTCCAAGGGAGCTTTTGGTACTTGGAGTCGTGACTTTTTCTGTTCTTTTCGGTTATGGCGTCCCTTGCGTTTTGTTCCTGTCTCGGTTTGTGGAACAGGCGCACTTTGCTGGATTAGTCTTCATGACTTTATCCCTATTTGCATAAAGTCATGGATGTATGCTACTTTGCGAATACACGAAATTCATTGGCTGTGATCCTTAAGTGTTTCATATTGCAAGCAGATCGGCTCGGCAGAAGCTTAGATAGGACAAGCTTCTCGGAGCCCCGGCGGACTCCGCGTCTCCAGACCTCGCGTAGCTGAAGAATTAGTGTCGTATGAACCCACGCTTTTGTTGTTGTCGGCATTGCCATGTAATTGGAGTACAGGCTGACGCGTCCAGGAACCAGGAACCAGGAACGACCACAAACACGCTGCCTAATGATCCTGAGGTATCTCCACGCCCCCATACACTTTACTTATGAGGTATATCGGCTAATTTTCCACGTTATTAACTGATGGAATGTAACCCTTGTATTGTGTTTACTCAGGAACGCGGAGTTCCGTCGGTTTATCCCAACCAAAGATCAACACAAACCACGCTATTAGGGCGAGTGGCGTGTTGTGCATAACTAGTTGCCGAGCACGATACATGTACTCACGCAAGGTGTGATGAGCTAACAATCCGCCAGATAAGTAGACTAGTTCCTCCTGAGCACGCCTCCCCAAAGTCTAGAGACGCCGTGTACAGAGAACAGACACAACATGCATCCAGCCATCTACACGGGGCTACTCTGCACCCTAGCTGCACCCACCCTGGGTGTAGTCTGGGAGAGTCTGGGCGGAGGCGTACCCAGCAGCTGGAATCTCCAAGAAACTCCCTCATCGGACTCAACAATGGCCCTTTCCATCGCGTTGAGCCGCCAGAACCTGGACCAGCTAGAATCGAAATTGACCAAGCTCTCAACCCCCGGCGAGGCCGAGTACGGCCAATGGCTCGAAAAGCACGAGATAGACACCCAATTCCCTGTCGTGGACGATACAGCAGTCGTGAACTGGTTGAAGAGTGCCGGAATCTCGAATTTCGCCCGTGATGGCGCCTTGCTCAATTTCACTGGGAGCGTTGAGATTATTGGCCAGCTGCTCAATGCCAGCTTTGCCTATTACAGTAATGGTGATGTGGTTAAGTTGCGCACGACTGAGTATTCGATCCCTGATGATCTGGCTAGCTATATCGATCTCATTTCGCCCACTGTTTTCTTTGGCAAAACTCGCAGTGCTGTTCCGGTGCCGTCGCCTTTGCAGAAGGTGCAGGAGCGCAGGGCTTCTTCGACTGAGGTCTCGCCCGCTTGTCAGACTTCTATTACACCTTCTTGTCTGAAGGAGATGTATAATGTTGGTGATTATACACCCGAGCCTGCGGCCGGTAGTCGTGTTGCATTTGCGAGTTTCTTGAATCAATCTGCCTCGTACTCTGATCTGGCTGATTATGAATCTCGCTTCAATATCCCATCGCAGAGTTTCACCGTTGAGCTGCTCAATGGAGGAGTGAATAATCAGAGCGCGAGTAAGAGTAATATTGGCGAGGCCAATTTGGATGTGCAGCTTATCGTTGCTGTTTCGCATCCTTTGCCTGTTCATGAATTTATTACTGGCGGCGTTGCGTATGGAAGGTCGTCTCTGTTTGGCTTCTATGGATATGCTAACATTTGAAAGACCTTTCCTTCCTGATGCCGACGAGCCTACCGAGGCTGATGACTCGAACGAGCCATATCTGATTTTCTATGAGTACTTGCTCTCTAAGACCAATGCCGAGCTGCCTCAGGTTATTTCTACCTCTTATGGAGATGATGAGCAGGTTAGTTCCTACCAATCAATCATTAGTCGACGGTTTACTAACTGTATACCAGACTGTCCCCGAGAAGTACGCCAAACGCGTCTGCAATCTCATCGGCCTAAACACACTACGCGGATTGACTATCATCCATTCTTCCGGTGACGAAGGTGAGAAGGGTGCTCTAAATCCTCACTGAAATGCATTCTAAACTAAACCCAATAGGCGTTGGCTCAGCCTGCCAGGCCACGGACGGCGTAACACCCCAATTCAACCCAATCTTCCCAGCAACATGTCCCTACGTCACTGCAGTCGGCGGTACATCAGACGTGAGCCCGGAAGTAGCCTGGAACGCCTCGTCCGGCGGTTTCTCCAACTACTTCTCTCGGGCTTGGTATCAGAACTCCGCTGTCGAGAAATATCTGACTAACATCACCCACGAAACAAAGGAGTATTACTCGAAGTATGCCGACTTCAAGGGTCGTGGGTTCCCAGATGTTTCTGCTCACAGTTTATATCCCGAGTGAGTCCACAAAGCTATTCCATAATGCCTTCTATACAAGAAGCCAAACATGTCTAAAATAATCCAGTTACCAAGTCATTGCTGCTGGTAATACCTCCGCCTCAGGTGGAACATCCGCCGCGGCACCTGCATTCGCTGGTATAATCGGTCTCCTCAATGACGCCCGTCTGCGCGCTGGTAAGCCGGTTCTTGGTTTCTTAAATCCGTTCTTGTACTCGAAGGGATTCAAGGCGCTGAATGATATTACTGCCGGTGCTTCTTATGGATGTGGTGGTATCAATCCGCAGAGCAATCGGGCTGTGCCTGGTAGCTTGGTTATTCCTGGTGCGCATTGGAATGCTACTGAAGGCTGGGATCCGGTTACTGGACTTGGGACGCCTGATTTCCAGGAATTGAAGAAGCTGGTGTTGGCTCTGTGAGGTTAAAGGTCACGACGGGAGACTCTCAATAAGGATAGTTCTATTTTTGTTGTTGGTTGAACTATCAATATCTGTAGTATATCACCTTTTCTTCTTCCACTCCCAATCTCAAGATTCGTCCCTGTCATCTCGGCGCCGTTGGCGCTTTGAAGCTGATTGGCGGCCATAGATCCAAAAGGCCAAGACCAATTTCTCCAACAAGGTGGTCGCCAATGCTCTCAAGCGTGGTGTGAATATCCTTGGGAATTTGGGCCATACTGGCACATACCAGGTTGATCATATTCTCGTTTTCCCGCCGTATATTACGACTGAGGAGGAGCTTGAGAAGATCGTGGCACATGTGACGGGTGCTATGGTTGAGACAAGCCAGTCTTTTATTTAGCTGTCAGCGTCGACAGAAGAATGTGGTTAGGTTTGGAAGATAATTAGCTAAATGTAAAGCCTATCCCAGCATCAGGCCATGGATAACATAGTAATAAGCCGCTGTACTAGCTTCGCATCCTTGAGGCTTCCGGCTTTCTACATCACATTGTGGGGTTAAGATCTGCCTCACTTTTATCCATTTCCCGTTAGTACACACTTGCATAGTACCCCCATCCTTGAGTGTTGCAATTACAGGTCAATGTCAGAAGTGAAGCCTTGTAATAAAACGAACGTACAAGTCATCTGGGCACCATGCAGTAAAAGCCTTCTACCCCTGTTTCGGACAATTATATAGGGAGTTCGAGGCTCAACCCCCAGCCCAATGAAGAGAATGACATGCGAGAAATTTAAAGACCTAACCAACATCAGATCATATACACAGTCCTCAATAAAACAAAAACAGACCCAGCCAAGCACTCCAACCATCAAAAAATAAGTTGAGAACACATAAAAAGCAGTGAAACGCAGATCCCAACCGAACCATGTCAATCGCCCCCGAAATAGTTCGGGGTAAAAAAAGAAAAGCAAAGAAAACGCCCAACAGCAGATCCAGTGTGACCAATGCATCTCTGTCCTACACGTACAGAATAGCCGATAGCCATCTGCATCTGCACTCCCCTCACCGGCGGTCAAGAATCCAGCACACACATGTTTCGACGAGTCGAATTGGGCGCCTCTCAGACTTCCCGATTTCAAAATTAAGCTATCAATATCCTCGTGATCGTGGCTGCATTTGGTGGGCTTGGGGAAGGTTGCGGAATTGCTTCTTTGGGATTTGGGTAAGGGGAGCGGTGAGAGTATTGGGGTGGGATCTGGTGCTTTTGCTTCTTTGCTTCGAGATATTTGCTGGGAATTTCCGAGGAGGTTGGTCAGCTGAACTGCAGAGACTTTCTCTTTATTTGGGTTTGTTGTTTTAGGGACTGTGCCTGTGTCTGTGTGTCTGCAAAGGGAGTGACACGGATATTGTGTGAGTTTGGTTCAGGTACCGAGTTTGATTGAGATGGAGACTGTGATGAAGCTGCTCAATGATTTAGCACACGTTACAAGTTGAATTGAGAGATCGAGAATAGGAGAATCGTTGCTCCAGTCAAGGCTCATCTCTGAAGCGAAACCCGAGATGAAACGCTGCAGCGCGGGGCTCTCCCACTTTGGCTTCACTTGGCAACGTAAATTCCATAAATTCCAACACCAACGTACTGTAAACGAAAGCTTTGGAAGTCAGAAGCGAAGCGAAGTAGACCAATTCGAAACAGAGATAGTGGAGACAAACGTATGACACCTGCCGATCTCGACTCCACCGGACGTACTGTAAGTGTCGATGTAGTATGTGAGCCTGTATAGTTCGGAGGCGTTTGAGGGCATCAAGCGCTTTGAAGCCAGACATTCCCCTCTTTCCGTGATTATTTAAAAGGCCTGTACAGCTTCCCCCTCTTCTTACTTGTCTTTGCTTTCTCCAGATTCTTTGCTTCCTCTTGTTCATTTCCCTTTCCTACTTACCACCATGGCCGACATTCCCAAGACTATGCGGGCTCTGATGTACACAGAGCCCAAAAATCACAGCATCGTCGAGGTCCCTGTACCCGAGCTGCGTGAGAATGATGTCTTGGTATGAAATGAAGCTGATCGACTCGTGAAGAAGGGAGCTGACTACTCAATCAATAGATCAAGGTCAAGGCCTGCGGTGTTTGCGGTACTGATTTGCACATCCACGAGGGTGAATTCATTGCCAAGGTATCTCAGGTCTTGAACAAGAGCCGGTCAACTCATTGGATGCTGACAAGTGTATAGTTCCCTCTGATCCCCGGCCACGAAACCGTCGGCGTCGTCGCGGCCATCGGACCAAAAGTCAAAGATTTCCAGATCGGCGAGCGTGTTGTTGCGGATAACTCTGAGCTGTGCGGAACCTGCTTCTACTGCCGTCGTGGAGATGAACTGTTCTGCGAGCACTTCGAGGCCCACGGCGTGACGATGAACGGTGGTTTCGCCGAATACTGCGCCTACCCGGGTGAGTAAACATAATCATGATCTACCGGTTGAAATAATCAAAGCTAACGTATCACTTTAGCCGGCCGAGTCTTCAAGATCAAGAACCTATCGGACATCGACGCGACCCTCCTCGAACCAGCCTCCTGCGCCGCTCACGGTTTGGACAAGATCGCCCCGAAGATGGGCTCATCCGTTCTAATCTTCGGTGCTGGACCAACCGGTCTCGTGCTGGCCCAGATGCTCCGCCAGAACGGTGGCTGCAATGTAGTCGTTGCTGCTCCGCAGGGATTGAAGATGAATCTTGCTCAGAAGCTCGGCGCCGGTGACAAGTACATTGAACTGTCGCGCCAGAACCCGCAGGCTCAATTCGATGCATTGAAGGCTGAGAACCCATACGGCTTTGACATCGTTGTTGAGGCTACTGGCAACCAGAAGATCCTTGAGGATTCGATTAACTATGTTCGCCGGGGTGGTAAGCTTGTTGTGTATGGAGTGTACTCGAGTGAGGTGCGGGTGTCGTGGTCGCCAGCCAAGATTTGTGAGTTTTTCTTCTCTTCCTTTGTGCTGCTGGTGTTGTGTTCTCTTGCTGATCCCTTCCAGTTGGTGATGAGATTACTATCCTTGGTAGTTTCTCTGAGACATACAAGTTCCCTGCTGCTGTTGATTACCTTGATTCTGGAAAGGTTAGGGTGGATGGTATTGTCAACAAGGTGTACAAGATTGAGCAGTGGGAGGAGTGCCTTGAGGCTATGCGCAACAAGTCTGCTATTAAGGCTGCCATCACATTTGACTAGATTTGAGACCGCTGTGATTGGACATTTCTTTGTTTCATAGAGGTTGATTGGATAGAGAAATTGACAATTCTTCCTTGGAGTTGGGGAATCAGTACCTTTATGTAGGGTGAGGACCTTGAGGGACATCACCAAGGTAGCGGGGTAGATTAACAAAAGAACTAACTCTATAGGATGACACGCCAACATATAGAAAAAGAGACATAAAACCAAGGACCGGATGATAATGTAGAACCGTTGACCGGATATAGTTCCTGCTTAGTCGTCCTCCCCCCACCCTCAGACCCACAGCAGCAATCTCGATCTCCAACTTCAACTCCAACTCCAACTCCAACCTCACACACACGTCCAAAATGGTCAAACCCCTAACATTCAAAGGCGACAAGCCCAAAAAGCGCAAGGTCCGCACAACAGACAGCGAAAACCCAACCCCCAAAACCCGCAAAACAACCGAAGCCGCCGACGAAGACACCAACCCCGAAGACCAAAGCTGGGTCTCAGCCGACGCAGCAAGCGACATCGCCGGCCCAGTAGTCCTAGTCCTACCATCCGACGACCCAACCTGCATAGCCAGCGACGCCAATGGACAAGTCTTCGCAAGCAAACTTGAAAACCTAGTAGAAGGCGACCCAAGTACAGCGGAGCCACATGATGTGCGACAGGTTTGGGTTGCGTCGCGGGTAGCAGGGACGGAGGGGTTTAGTTTTAAGGGACATCATGGGAAGTGAGTATCGCCTCTATATTCCCCTTTCCCACTCTCCAACCTTCAATGCCCAAGCTAACCGATCTACCTCCCTCCCTTCAATAGATACCTAACATCCGACAGCCACGGCCTCTTAAGTGCAACAGCTTCAGCGGTAAGCCACTACGAAAGCTTCCTGGCAATTCCCTCCCCAGAAGTCAGCGGCACATTCTCCCTCCAAACCCACGGCGGCGACGCCGAATCCTTCCTCTGCATCAAAGAAAACAGCAAAGCTGCCGCCGGCGTGGAAATCCGCGGGGACGCCAGTACCATTTCGTTCGAGACGACTATGCGCGTGCGCATGCAGGCGAAGTTTAAGCCTAGGATTCGGGCTAGTAAGGAGAGCAAGGCTTATGAGAAGATTAGTAAGAAGGAGTTGGAGGGGATTGTTGGACGGGGCCTTGATGAGGATGAGGTTAGGAAGTTGAGGAGGGGGAGGAAGGAGGGGAATTTCCATGAGGTTTTGCTTGATGTTAAGGTTAAGGGGAAGCATGATAAGTTTGCTTGAGTTCTATGCTATGTGTTTGCAGACGCGCTACTTTGACTCGAAGACTTGACAAGAAGGGAAAGGAAAAGAGAAAACTACATAGAGCCTTAGAATATTGGTAAGAATATTCAAAATATATCAATTCATAACGATCTTCCTTCGTTTTCTATCAAACGTCTCATTTTTGTTGCCTTGCATATCGTATCCAGCGAGAGAGAAGAGCAGAAACAATCAAATCAAAATTGCAATCTAAATTGAAACGCATCTCCATAGATACTCGACCAAATCCACATGCCAATTCTTTCTCAATTTGTATTTAACGAATATATAGGAAGGAATACCGAAAGCAAAGAGCAGAGGTATGAAAATAAAGAAGTAAAAGAGGGAATTTCAAGCGTGCATTCTTTTTTTTCCAAATTCAAACGATCAAACAAACAACAAATGAATGAGGGAAAAGAACATAAATCAAAACAGAATCCTTTTATAGATTAGATCAAGATATGGATATTTCTTCATCTGAAACGGATTACGAAAAGGAAGAAACATTCGTCATGCAAGATCGAATCTATGGCGAATAGAGTAAAGGAAATGAAAACTGGAAACTGAAAATAGAAATAGAAATACTGGGCAAGTAATGGTAACGACCGAGCGGGGAGTTGGTTGTGTCCTGTCCGGATTTTCTGGTACATGGTTTCAGGCGACAGGACCCAGGGTATGAATTCTAACATTTGACAGTAGTACAGGAAATAGCCACAGAGAAAAGAAGGGATGAGTTTCTGATGACGATTGAGGGAGAGGGGTGGAGGAGGAGTAGAGGGGAGGTAGTAAGTCTTGTGAGGGTATGAGAACTGGGAAAGAAAAGAAGAGAAAAAACGCAAGGCCCAACCACATACCGTAGGAAACATTCTTTGAGCAGAAAACAATAGCAAAAAAAGCAGAGGGAAATCAGGGAGAGACATGCGCGGAAGCCGCAAATGAAAACGAGGCTGATCAGGTCTAAGTTCATAAATCTCTTTCGTGTCGCGAGGGAAAAGATTGGAAATAATAATGCGGCACGCAAGGATGAAAAGAAAGAGGACGGATTGTACACAAAGAAGGAGAAAAGATGGAAGGAAGAGATGACGTATATGATTGAGTCCAGGGCACGTCCGGCGGACTAGCCCATGTTGTCGGCGTCTTTGTTCTATCCAAACCGCGATCGATTCCATGCGGAATCCTTTCGATATGGAATATCAGGAGTTGAGGGATAGACCTTGGAATCGACCGACCCATTCACCTTGCGCTGGGTGCATGCGTGTAGCACCGTTGGAGGCGGCACTGACGGCACCATAATCGAATGCTCCATCGAGAGGACCATATGCCGGCGGGGAATATGCGGCGAAGGGATCCGACTGGGATGAGTCTGGCTGGCGAGAAGGCTGGGTGAAAGGCTGGTAGGTGTCGCCATAGGCTGTGCGGAGCATGCCCACTGGGTTCTGCATGTCACGGCCTGTGTCGACGGGCTCTCGCACTCCATGTTGTCTGCCATCGTGTTGATGACGGCGGTCTGGAGTCTCTTGGGTGTACAGCGGGTTAGGCATTGAGCCTGGGCCTGGGCCGGGTAGACCGGGGGTTGGGGGAGTGACGAATGAAGCCGGGTTGATGGCGGACATCCAGATGCGAGTTTTGTAGATCTTGAAGAGGTCTGTCACTAACGAGTTGAAGTTGATGTATGAATCCGCAAAGTAGTAGAACGTGAGCTTCTTCCAGTCCCTGCTAAAACGTTAGTCGCTGATTCGTATCAAGACTGAGGAAACTTACATTTGGAACTCAGCATCGAGGATCTCCATGTTCAGACGATGCTCAACTACCTTTTGCTGGCAGACACGTTTGGCCTTGGCCTCGTTTCCTTCCTTGTCGCGCAAAGTCAGGATTTCGTGGGGCTGTGCTAGGCGTTTGATGAGCTTAGGCTTCAGGTCGGTTGTAGGCTCCTGCACACTGTGTGGACCATGAGGACCCATGCCACCGGTGGCACTTCTAGCATTCGGGCCTGTGGGGCTGGTGACGTTGGAACCTTCAAGCTGACCCTGCCGAGAGAACATCATAAGCCACTTGTAATGCTCTTCAGCGTATTGTTGCTTCAACTCTCTGGCCTTTTGTAAAGAGATGTTTGCATGTTGAACGGTGCCCAGGTCTGTGCCCCGGTCCGCCTCAACAATGACCAAATCGCCCTTGTTCACTTGGAGACCGGTGTCTTCTTGGATGTAGAAAACGTCTGCGCGGTGACACTTGAAGGTGACGATGTATAGAAGCTGATTCTGGTGGGCGTGGGACAAGGCGGGTTGCTGGCGACCATACGCACCCGACATGGCGTATTGGTTAAGAGAAGCAGGAATACCCGAGGAGCCATCGCCACGCAAGGTCTGTTCACGGGCATAGTATGATGCTGCAAACCTGTTAGCACGTAACAAAATAATGAGTGGATGTACTCACGGTTAGAGTAGTCATTGATGCCATAACCATCTTCGCGATCTCCCATAGCTGCACGAGGAGCGGCAGAGTTGAGGGAGTCAACCGAACCGATTGAACCATGCCGCATCGGAATATCTGCAAAGGAGTGACGGCGGCTCTGAGGCATGTCGGCCATACGTCCAAAGCCGAGAGAAGTCTGCCAGTGAGCCTTGCGCACATTCTCCAGAGCACGGTTCTCGAGCGGGGGAGCGAAAGACGAGAATGGCGGTTCCGGGTGTGGTGAATGTTCAGAGAAGCGACGTCTATTATTGCCGTGCATGTTGTATCCAGAAATATCACGCAATTCTCCCAGATCTTCCACGGCCAAGTCTTCCTCTGGAACACCACCTCTAATGCGATGCAACGAATGAACTCCTCCGCCTAGAGACGCAGCTGATCCAGCGCGCTCGCGGTATCTATTGTCTGCTTGACCTGCAGCAGCAGCTTGTCGTAAAAGTGCATTCTCACGTGCAAGCTGCTCGATCCTTCGGGCCTGACTAGCCGAATAGTTCGTGTCACCTTCTGAACTGTTGAGGCTTTCGTCACCATCATCGTCCTCGCGGACCTGACCGAGCATGGCAGGATCGTGTCCTAGTTCACCCAGTACACTGGGACGCGATGCTCGAGGCTGAACAGCCGACATCTGTCCTGGTCCGCGCGAGCGACCACCCGCAAATTGGCCAGTACCAGCGCCCGCGCCAGACTTACCAGTGAGGCCAACGAACTCAGGGTCCATTTGACCAACAGAATATGACTGGGATCGATAGGTTTTGGGAGTAGGGTGCAGCGGGATAGAGAATGGAATAGCGGATTCACCAGAAATGGTACGAGTTATCGGGCTCAGCATTTCATCTTGCATGGTGGTGGCAGGAGCTGGATTCGTCATAGTAGGAGAAGGGACCATTTCTGACAGGCGGGATGGCGGTTCCTTGCGGGATTCGGTATTCCAAATGCCTGTACCTGGAGCCCAGGGAAAGGAGCTTCCTCCGGTTTGGTTCCAACTGAAGGAGCCAGCAAGCCCGGGACTTGTATTTGTCGTCCAGGGTGCCTGTTCTGTGGCGGGACTGGTAGGATTGGAAGGAGCAGATGACAGGAGACCTCCCGGTAGGGAATGTTTGCGTTGGGCTGAAAGTGGTACCTCATTCAGCCACGAGGTTCGGCGTGCCGGTGGTCGGGTAGTAGGTGGGATTATGTTCTGGGCTTGGGCCACATGGTCTCCGTCGTCATCTGAAGAAGCAAGCGCGTCCGAGTCAGGAGTCGAGCGACGCACACCAGGGTGAGTCTTCTCGAGAATAGCAGAGGCAGCCGCCGCAGCAGGCGGCGGGGACGACTGTGCCGGAACTGGTTTCTGAGATGGCGCAGCCATAGCTTCTTTTCATAGAGGGACACTGCTGTCAAGTCAGTCAAGGCTTTTCGAAGTGTGTGACAATATGATTATTCCCTGCTGGCTGTGTCACCAACAGCGCCACTTAAACACCCATTGAAGCGACACAACCAGAGCGGGGTTGTTTAATCAAATGATAGTCCGAGGGTCTGGAAGCACGGGCGATTGACTGACCTGTCTTTGAACTACAATTGCGAGGCTGTACGGTATAGACGTGTCTTAGGTTCAAGGAATGAACACACAAAACTCCAGTCTATGTTCCACGTGCTCGATGAGGTTGGGGTAAATAGCCAATCTCGATCTTTCAAAGACACGATGGATGACTGGGTATATGCGCTATGTCCACAGCTAAAGAAAGTTAGCTTTGTGCATCTCAGGATGAAATAGTGAACCAGAAACGAAACGCTCAAAACGCTCGAAGAAAGAGAATGTGGGTGGCATGACAGGAGCCGCAGCGCAAAGCGGGGATATGCATATCTGCAAGTCCTCGGCCCCTCTTCTCAGGGCCCAGAGGCACCGGAGCCCCAGAGTGGAGGTCAAAGTCCACACCGGTGTGCCCCAGCCCGCAAGACGCCCGCGGAAGCCCGCGAGAGGCCCACGAGATGCCAGGCAACCCCCAGCGCAAGGGAAGTAAGGAGGAACAAATAGACAAAAGCCCCACCGTCACGCGAAAAACAAAAACCCCAGCGCAGTATCGAGAAAAGCCGCCTCGCCACAAAAACTCGCCTGCGATCGCAGAACCAGACCAGTACGTACCTAAAAGACCCGTAGATATCTAAAAAAAAACCTCAACTGTAACGCGGGCGACGATCAGACGGCTCGAAATCAGGCGACTATCAACGAAATGGCGTCGGGGGAAAAAGCAGTCGTGTGATCGTGATTGTGCCTGGGTTGTGATTCCATGCATTAGCCAGTCGCATTCGGAAGAGGAGGGAATGGGACAAATGCGCGATTCACGACTCACGACTCTAATGGTAATGGATTAATGGAATAATACGTCCATAAGAACTCCGGGAATCTATTCAAATCAAAGTGCGCACGTGTGATCGTGGGTCTCGTAAAGAGCGACAAGGCGAGAGGGTGAGCGATGAGGGTGGGACGACAGCGACAACGGGAGGTGAGCTCCTCTGCGCGGAGTGGAACTGAAAGACGAAGATGCAGCTGGAGCAGCTGGGGGGAGGGAGAAGGTAGAAGATAGGCGAGAGGAGAGGTTGGTAGGGTAGAGTAGAGAGGTAAGAGGGGGAAGAGGGAAACTGGGGTAACCTCTGACGGATCTGGCAACGTTGCGATGGACACGGACCACGTAGAAGTACAGGGGGGTGTGTGTGTGTTAGTTATATGTTAGTTTCTAGTTAGTGAGATAATTTTATTTTATTCTTTCACTTTTACATTCTTGACTTCTTATGTTCTTCCCAGTGGGGCAGCGGGTCGAAGATCTGGGGAACGTAGCCTCCCTCTCTCTCTCTCTCTCTCTTTCCCTCTTCCTTGCTCTCTCTCTACTCTGGTATACAAAACGTCACACAAAAAGCTTAAACGTCACTGTTACCCCAAATCCCAATATACCATATACAAAAAGTGAAGTAATGCCACATCAACTGACCCCCTACATCCATGGAAAAGAGTGACAGTCTTTGCGGGGAGAGCTTTCCCGTCCATGCATGCCATGGGGCTAACAGCCTCTCACAGCGCACCCAATTCCCCACGCGACTAATATCCTCGGGTGGCGGGGGTCCGATGCATCTGGACCGTTGTACGGAGTACAATACACAGAGTAGAGCACAGAGTTCCAGGCTACACAGTAGGGAGGGATATTGGGGATATTGCCCCTCTATGAGTCTAAAGAACCGATGTCTTGTCCCAATCACACCCCACTCCGGACCTCCGTATTCTCTGTCTTGGCACTACACGACATGTTTGTGGCTCCTAGCTAACTTATTACCTTGGAACTTGCTCTTCTGAGAATATGAACTTGAAATTGAACATGTATATTCAGTCTCAATTTCATATGACTACAATTCACGTCTCTTTTGTACGTTGTTAGCATATATGTGCCCAGGTGGGGTTGGGCCTCGGTAGCATTACCACTATACCTCAGACCTGCAGGTTAAGCTGATGAATGAACGCATAGTTTCCATTAGACCCCTAGAGCATTATTAGGGCCCATTTAGGGGAGAGGAAAACATAAGAAATTTGTTGCCTAAGAACGAAGACATCTTGACCCTATTCCCTAAGTTACTTGTGGCAAATAAGAGCCTAGCCACTAAGGCCGCTACTCAGCAATACGGACCATATAGCAAGGTGGCATAGATGCGAAGGGCGCTGATCTAGTCTCCAGTCCAAGTGGAGATCGACATGTGAAAGCTGTAAAGACCAAAGTAGTCATCCATTTAAACCCAATTAATGTACACGTATATGCATCCTCTCAACCCCTCACGGGGCACTATCTAAGGGAGCAGAGGCGGTAGCAGCAGCGCCCTTCTGCTGGCGCAGCTTCTCCTCAAACCGAGCGAACTCATGCATAGAAACAACTTCCTCCTCATCCATAACCTGCTCAACACCCTTGACCTCCTCAATCTAGAGTCCAAGTCAGCATAGAACTTAAGAATCAACCGTAGAACAAAACTCACATAATGCATCAGCATAGACTCAATGCCATTCTTCAGCGTGACAGTACTGGAATCACAAGTCCGGCAAGCACCACGAAGCTTCAACATAACAATACCATCCTCGAAACCGCGCAGCTCGATATCACCACCATCCTCCTGGATAGCAGGACGGATTCTCGTCTCGAGGAGTTCCTTGATCATGCCGACGACTTCGTCATCATCTTCATTGTAGCTGAGCGAGTCCTCGACACTCTCTTCGCCGTCAGCACCGGCTTCGACTGTGGTCACGATCGTCTCGCCGGATGTCACGGCTTGGGTGATGATGCTGAAGACTTCGGGCTTGATGTGTGCCCAGTTGGCGTCGCCAGCCTTGGTCACCGTGATGAAGTCGGCGCCGTAGAAGACGGAGGTCACGCCTTCAACGTCCAGCAGCTTGGCTGCGAGAGGGGAGGGGTGGGGTGGCGCGAGGGTTGAGCGTGGTGAAAGGTATTCGAGGAATGTGATTGGGAAGTCTTCTGGGAGAACGCGGTGGTTGGGGATGAATTTCAGGGCCTGATTGTTGCTTAGTATTGTATTATATTCATCTGTAGCTTGGACTTACATCGGGGTTGGGGGTGTTCTCAGTCTGGATGAAGATGGTGCGCTTGCTCGTCGGCGAGAGCCCATTAAGCGGGTTCTGCGAGACAGGCTGCTGGTTTGGTCGCATGGTAGGTCGGCGACGGGTCTCTGATGCTGTGAGTGTAGGGAGGCGGGCTGAGCTGGAGACATTTCTGTATGCTGCAAAGGCCGGTCGGATGGTTCGCGCCGTGCACTCGGAGGTGGCGAGGCGGCTGCTCAGAAGAGCCCGGCGGAACATTGTCGTGGATGTGTTGCTCATAGACATTATGTGAAATGAAGCAAAATGCTCAGATAGTTGGTAGTTGAAGAATCCTAGAAAAACACTCGAGGCGTTTGTCCGATGGCCGACTCTGACGCAATTTGATCATCACGTGACCTTCAATCTGACAAATAAAGATGGGCTCTCCACCAATCAGAGGCGATGCTTTTTACCATTACATATATGGATTCGCCGAATGTCGGAGGTTAGAGACCAGTGGTTTATAGGCAATTGTCAGTCTTCACTGTTTTGAGTTGATTCTATGAAAGATTAGTACGCCGCTGATCTTAGATGCTCTTGCCATCTGATAACTGCTTTATCATTGATCTAGACCATATCTTTACGTAGCGTTCCACGAGCGGCAGCCAGATAACTGAAATTGATATCGGTCTTGGCCATCATACGACCACAATGAAGCTTAAAATCGAAGGCATCACGTGGGAACTTGATGAAACACGTCGATCATCAGTCTGGGGAACAGGTGGCGCTCCTAGCTTTTTAGTGTTGGCTGGAGACAACATGCGCAGTAAACTTTGTTTTTCTTTTTTTGCCACAACCTTCATGTCATACATCTGATTTGATTGCAATTTAGGCTCTAAGGGTTGATGTCTAGAACAGCAAAAATTACTTCTATAACTAATCTTAGGTCTGGTGATAACATGATAGGCAGAGGAACTGAAGGGATGCACAGTGGTGATCTATTCAGATACCAAAAGAGCTGAGACTAGAACTAGGTCTACCTGCTAGTCTAGGCCCCTGGATATAGATGCCGTAACAAGATATCCCTATCCATTTAGTACTCCCTTATTCGAGGTAAAGCTACAGTACTTCCACAGACCTCGACAAGGAATCTTGTAGAGGATCCTATCACAAGCCAAATCACCGACAAAAAACAAACAAAGTGTGCAACAAACTGAATTGAGCGTCGAGTCAAATCGGGAAATCAGGATCCACTCGGAGATGGACTGACTGCTTTCACTACCTCAAGTGGATCTCATAATCGTGTACTGACTCTGTATGGAGTGAGATCATGCCGTTGCCCATATGTTACCTGTCGAATTAATCTCAAGGACATGACTTCTTCCACAGACGTGGCCGTTAGTGATGCATCTCGTGCATTCTGGCTTTGTTTCGTCGCACTAGACCAGGGGCTAGGATTGTATTGGACGCGGAAGATCGTGATCATGCCACACTTTACTTCCAGGTGGAGATTGTAGTTCCACCTTGAGTTTTCGTATCCGGGAGGTATTTGAGCCAGTCGATCTATATGATGCGCCACTTCTTATAGTGCTTGGCGGGGCCCATGGAGGGGTGGCCACATTAGAATGAGTGTGGGTTTGTCCATGCCTGGGATGTTTGCGTTGTATTTTCGGTCACAGCAACCTATGCCAAACCATGCACAGTAACTTAGCAAACAGAATATACATGTACTGCAGTGTGTCACGCGGAAATCTTTACTTAGTTAACTTAAGTTAGTTAGCTTATTCACGTCAAAGGGCATTCAGGCACCAAGGCAGGAAAATTGGCCTGAGGCAGCATTGTCTGAGCTTTATCGAGCAAATCGGGAAGTCACTCAGCTCCCTGAAAGTTTTCCACTTACTTCTGGACCAGTCAAACATAGTGGACCAAGTTTGATTGTTGAGCTCATGGGTTCTTTAGGAAACCGTCACAATGCCTGGTTCCTGTGAGGTTTGCTCTTCGGAGCCCTCCAAATATCGTTGTCCCACCTGCGAACTGATGAGGTACATGATTGCCATTCCTATACGTGGACCACTTACTAACCTTCCTTGTCGCTCTAGCTGCTCGCTTGCATGCACCCAGTCTCATAAGATATACTGTGCTCTGAAAGCCCCATCCAACGAGGGATCGAGCAATCCACCCGATGCCGATCCATCGCTTCAGAACGGCGAGGTCAACACTGAAAATGCCGAGCGAACCGAGTCGAAACGGCCGACGAATGTCGCGGCTGTAGCGACATCAGCGGAGATCAAAGAGCTCCTCGAGAAGTACCCTCAACTCCGCAGCCAGCTACAGGAAATTTACCAAGCAACGCTGGAAGAAGAATGGGTGGAATGGCACACAACTCCCATCCGCGGACGTGGCCGTGGACGAGGACGAGGTGGTCCCACTCGTCGCAGTCGGGGCTCCTGGACTACCGAGAAAGGCTTCAACCGTGGGCTAGGCAAGGTCCGAAAGCTGCGACAGGACTGTGAGGAAGGCACAGAAACTGGTCAAGCCGCTGAGGCATTCATGCGGTTTATGGCGCTTGTCAATCAGGGCCAGGAAGCACACTCAGCCTGAGTCAGATGCGGTCTCTTTGGGGGAAAAGGAAGAGCATACGCGGTGGACTTTCGAAAAGAACCATGTCAGTGAGACATGCAGATGTTGCATCTACATAATATCAAGGGGCGTCTTAGTTGCGCCTCAGGATGTCCCAATAGAGTGTCAGCAATCCCCTTGGGGGACACAAGTCTACGTCCACGGGTCTGTCAGATTGATTCAGATTGGTTTCTCGGCATTTGAAGAAATCCACTGTCTCTGATTTCTGTAAATATAGGGTATCCTGTATATCCCAACGGGTCAAGCCAAGACTGAATGGCGGGTTAGCGGCCCTTTAGCGTACCAATCCAGGCGGAGCAACGGCCCAGAACTTTGGAGATCGGTAGAAAATGCTGAATTTTTGGGTAATTTCCAGGTTTCTGACGAGTCAAATCAAGGCTGAAAATAATGTGTTGGATGCATCTTAAAAGTGCGAAATCGGTACTGTATGAAACTTGTGGAGTAAGATCCGAAAATACCAGTCGCCACTTGGACAGCTCCAGCTGCGCGTTTTCAGCTGTACTCCGTAGTAGGGACAAAGACCATCTCGCTTCCGGATCCAGCTTCCGCCAAAGAACGGATCTCGCTGTGATCTGTCCACGTTTCTTTCTCTCAACTCCCTCAATACTCCAACCGAGCTCTACTTCCCCATTGACTGGCCTCGAACTTGACCTGTCCAAGACAACCATGGCACAGCAGTGCTTCTCTGACCTTACACAGTAGAGCGTCACACGGGGATTGCTTCACTCCGGAGAAGCTCTATCCGACTGCTTCCGACATGGCATCCGCATCCCCATCCCGCCGAGAGCGGGCCCAGAGTGACAGAGCTCAAGCAATGCCCGGAATTGCTCAGCGTCCTGCTATGGGAGGCCGAACTACCTCGGCCCCGGTGGGTGAACTGTACAAATTGGATGCGCGGAAACCGGGAGGATCAGTTAATACTTTGGTGGAGGAGGATGAGGGGTCACCGACTGCCGATGAGGCCCGCAGGTCCCGTCAGAACGAGGTATGTCTTGATTTGATTGCGAGGACTGGAGACTCAATTTCTGACGGTGCTTTTTCTACAGGACTGCAAGGCCGGATTCCCCGAAGTGACTATTGCCGTGGTGGGCGAAGAGAACGCTGGCAAGAGCAGCTTCGTCAGATGTGCATTGGATATGAAGAGCTCACCTGTCGCTCCTTCGAATAAGAAGAAGATGTCGTTGGACGGGTCGGTCTACATCGTGCGGCTACTGGAAGTCGACTTGGCTCAGGTTCAATTCGACCAGGAGAACAACGTCCTGTGGCCTCGGACAGGACGTGACAGAGCTGCGCCAGCTATTGATGGAGTTCTTGTTCTGCATGATGCCACTAAACCGGACAGGCTTTCGCTCACGACAAACCTCATCTGTAGGTCTGCCATGGGTAGCTTTATTTCTCTTGCTGATCATATCCAGACTCCTTGGCGACGTCGACTCTGCCGTTCTTACAGGTCGCCTGCAAGTGCGATGTCCACCCCGAACCTCTGGAAGAAACCGTGGATGCAATCCACGAACGATATGAGATTTACCGCACATCTTTTTCCTCGCCGCGATCACAGCGAATGTGCATTGCGTTGGTACTGCGGGCGGTGATCTCGACTCGAGAAGGTGAGCACAAAACTTTGGGGTGTGCCTTGACCCCCTGGAGCGGGCCAGGTGGGTCGCAGTAGTAGCGTTCGCTACCTCTGTCAAATGCCACTCTCCAGGAGACGATTTTATGGACAATCTAACTCCTCACCAGACCTTTTTGAGCCTAATCCTCTCCCTTCCCCTCCGAGAACCACCACCAAATCCTTCCAACCTCACCCTCCCGAGCATCACACCCGTACCAACTCCGAAAACCCCTCCGTGTTCACAGCCGCTGGCGGCCCACAACCGACGGTTCCAGATCGATGTGTCGATGGAGACGGTGATCGTTCCTCCAGCGACCACTTGAACAACCTAACGCAAACCCCAAGTTCCACCCACTATGCCCAACGTAATTCGCAAGCGTTGCGACCGCAAACTCCCCCTGGAGCACGTTTGAACCCGCGCAGACCATCAGCAGAAGCGAACAACTCCCCGCGTCACGACAGCCGTCAGCAGCGACTGCATTCCGCCTGGCGACATAGTGGAGGGTCGGACGCCTTCAACAGCTTCTTAAACATGGAGGACGATATTGATGATGGACAGAACCGACCGCCGAGTCCTGGTGCCGTCGTGCGACCAAAGCCGAGCAGCGAGAGCAATTCCAGCGCCGAGACAGGCTTGTCTTTCGACGAGCTTGTTGACCGTTTGATTGCGCTACCCATGTCGAAGCAGGAGCAGAAGTTCGGGTCCATCTTCCTATGTCTATACCGCAAATTTGCAGCCCCTGGAACCCTCTTGACTGCCTTGATCAGTCGATTCGAGCGAAATGAGCAGAGCAACGTCGACCAGCTTACCCGCATGGCAGATCAGCTGCGCTTGTTAGACGTTATGGCCCAGTGGGCCTCGGAATATCCAGGGGATTTTGCTCACCCTAAGCTACGCAAGCGCATAATCGACTTTGTTGCTACGCTCGAGAAGAGCCACTTTTATATGTTCGCCGCCAAGGAAATTGGGTCACAGTTGGATTCCAATGCAGAAGACGACGATGTTGGCTGGGCCTATGGCGGTGATGTCGACCCCGATGATTCTAGTCTCACAGAGACATTTTACGACAACTCTGGCCGAAGCTCCCCAGCGCCGGTTCATACTGGCCTGGACATCGGCACTGGCGCATACGAAGACGAGGAAGAACAAGATCCCATATATAGTATGAGTGCATTGGATCTTAGCGATGGCCCGCAAGACTCTACATCCCGACTTTCTGGCACTCTTTCGGTTTCTTCTACTGCCGACAAACCTAATACCATGACAAATCAGTCATTCACACTCCTAAGTCTCGAGGCAGCTCAAAAAGAGGCTTTGCGTCTCGAATTGAGTCCGAAGTATCCACTTAGCAAACTCCAGTGGCGATTCTTCATGGAGACGCCTGACGAGGAGTTCGCCCGAGAATTGACCCGGATTGACTGGGTCATGTACAACTCGTTCCGGGCGCGTGATCTGGTCCGCCATGTCAGCCTTTCAGGCATAGACAAGGACAAGATCAAGAGCCTGACGAACGTCAACCGCATGATCAAGCAGTTCAACAACCTCGCATTCTTCGTAGCGAGCATGATCCTCCTACGAGATAAGCCCAAGCACCGCGCGAAGGCGATGGAAAAATTCATGAACATCGCAGTAGTATGTCTACCCCATACAGTCCCGAATCACGCCCGCAACTGACCTCTTTAGAAACTCCGCCGCCAAAACAACTATAACTCCCTGGGCGCCGTAATCGCCGCCATAAACGGCACACCAGTCCACCGCCTAACGCAAACTCGTGAACTGATCCCCATCCCAGTTCAGAAAGAGTTCATGCGCTTGGTTATCCTTATGAGCACGCAAAGAAGTCACTTCGCCTACCGTCTTGCCTGGGAAAACTCGTTCTCGGAGCGAATTCCCTTCCTTCCTCTCCATCGTCGTGACCTTGTCTCTGCCGAAGAAGGCAATAAGACTTTTGTTGGCGAGAACAAGTCTCGCATCAACTGGAAGAAATTCGAGGTCATGGGTGAGGTTGTTCTCGGTGTTCAACGTAGCCAGAAGGCTCCTCATCCCCAGGCGCAGAAGTTCGATGATGTGGAACGACTGCTTCTGGAATCGAAGCTCTCTGGGGACGAAGAGGTAAATTCCACCGTCTCCACAGAATATCGATCGTTCAACTAACGTTGTCTAGGACTTGTATGCTCGCAGCTTGCACGTCGAACCGTCCACAGGAGCCGAAGGGCGAAGGAAGTTCGGCTGGCTACGCTCTTAGAAAGTCTGAGAGCCCAGTCACAGCTCTCAGCCTCACCCCGCCTATATTGACCGACTTTCACGTCCCTCTTAGCATCCTCCACCTCCCCACCCCACGTCACCCCTCCTCTTACCTCCCCTGCCCCACCAACCTTCTCATGTCGCCACGCCCCTCTATGATTGATAAACATTGCTACTGTTCTTTGCCCGCTTTTCGTTATGAACTCAGTTCCCGAGAGAACAGATATGACGCTTGGAGCGGCGATACATCTAAAAAAAAAGCTCCCTACGACGTTTTTGTACATATGCGCCTGCAGAGTATACATACCGGAATTTCCCTGGCAAGTGGGGCTTTCCTATCTGAGCAGCGGCTTTTACGAGGTACCTATGTAGACATTCTGTTTCGTATCAACCTTGAAATTCGTAATGATGAAATAAGTCGTTGTAGTACCGCCTTTAGAATGTTCTGCGTAAACAGATCAACCATAAGCTTTTCGCGCCCACAGAGATATAGCCGTGAAAGGAATGATGTCCTCAGTATCCTTCACCTCGCAAAGACTACGTACCTGGTCCTCTAACTTATGCACATCATACCCTCAGACTCTATCCCTGATCCTCATTATGATGCTGTTGCTGTTTCATCACCTCAGTCACACCATTTACACCCACGGGGTTGCTGGCGTACAAAGATTCAGCGGTGTTCGTGAAGGTTCATTCCGATATTCAAGCAGTTGAGTGCCATGATCTTGGATAAGACCAGGGAGAAACGACGTCCATCTATCGATTATTGTTTTAGCACTTTGCCATATACCAGTTTCTCGGTTTCCGCAGGTGAGGGAACATTCCCAAATGATATTAGTCAAAGCCAGAAACTCTTCGTATATTTCCAGAAATTTCTCAGTGTTCTCCCCATAGCCCGAGAATATATCTTTAGACGTATCTTCCATTGAAGTAATCCACTTGGTTCTAGCTCATTCGTGTCAGATATGAACTGAACCGGAAAGCCCGAGTAGAACAACATACTCAGAAGAGTCTTCGCATTTTCGATCAATTGATGAGGATCATTATCCCAAATAAAAAATGCCCAAAGACGTAGATGTACAATTTCATATCGTCCTACCTTGCTGGCGGGGACAGTAGCAGTATCGCCAAGTGTATCAAAGGTGTGAAAGGACATATTGTCGGGTACCCTGTCGGGTGAGATATCGGCGCCGTTGAGGTTTGTTGTTGGTGGGAGATGTTCTGCTATCTCTAGCAGCCATACCCTTGTACAAGTAAGTAGTTAGCTCGAGTGGTCTATTCCATATATATCTATCTTTTGATATTTGACTCTCTTTAAAGTGAAGTTGATACACGTAGCCGTGCCAATCCCACACCTACTCGGATGGAGTTGGACAAATTCTAGGGTCTCAGACAATAGTGAATCCATTAAATATGGCGTTGTTATATGCACATACAATTGAGAACCTTGATACGTAAGTAGCGGTACTCCGTATATACATGTACAGCTCTTATAAAATCAACGCTAAACCTTTGTTGGCGAGACTCCACATGGATCACGTGCCACAATCGATCTGCTCAATCTGATATCCAACCAAAGCCACCCTTCACATCCAACAAAGGAGCCAAACCAACCTCCAAACCAAGCCAAATAAAGCCCAGCTCGACCGCTCAACCGCTCAGCCCCTCAAAACCAACCCCATCCAAAAAGCCACCCACCATGCCCCAACACATCAAAACACGAGCAACCTACCGCGCCCTCCTCCGCGAACTCCCAAAAAGATCCCTAAACACCCCCAGTCCAATCCACCAATCCCTGCGCAAAATCTTCCGCTCAGAGCCGAATGCCACTACAACAACCACTACATCTACATCCACATCCGGATCCAGCGCGCTCCCCTTCTCGGCACCCAAAACACACGAAGAATTAACTCTCCGCGTGCAAGAAGCCGAACAATTGGCTCAGTATGTCCGCGCTCAGCGCTCATACTGCGAATTGCTAGAGCGGTATAACCCTGGCATGAGCATGGATGAGGAGGAGAAGATTCGTCTTACGGCTAGACGGGTTGGCTTTGATTTGCCTCAGTTGCATACTGCTGAGGGGAAGACTGAGTAAGATTGGTTTAGTCGAATTGGATATGGGCTCTGTCGTGATTCCTTTGTCCCGAGCTCTTTCTCTGAGTAAAGTCTCGGGATCTGGCTTCATGTCTTTGCCTAACTGGGCCTGAAGGGCTTAACCGATCTCGGTATTGACGGACGGTGCTGCCATGGCATGTCACCTCCGATTACTGTATAGATAAGCTGGGATGCATTGCATTGGATGGATCCCATGGAAAGGGCGTTTTTTGTGATTATTATTGGGTATTTGTATACTACTACCAGCGACTTCGTGAATAAACTACCCTCGACTATGTATAATGTTCATATTTGAGAATCTCTCGGACTTGCTCTATGCTATGGATAAGCTCTAGCTTTGGTGCCTTGAGCTCTGCTCTAGCTTTGTAGGTTGCTTGTGGGGCTGGGCCCGACATGTTGAGCTCCGTGATTCCAATCTTAGCCTGACACGTATGGGCTGCCGTGCGGTGCAATGATACCGACTTAGGTACTGCCTTTCAATGTGACTTCACGGAGGTGCATGTAGTGGCGTGGCAGGTACGATGACCTAGGCGATATGGCTGTGGTGGGAATGCTCAGGATCCTGACTCCGGTGTCTGTGGAGTTTGACCACTTGGGCATCGTGAATAGATGTGCTTCACTGATTCATTGTTCAGGTAGCTCCAAGCTGAGCCCGCTCCATCTGCCTCATCAAAGTGGAACTACCTTCTTCGTCCTCCATACTGACGCCAACTTCGATTGCCGTCTTGGGTCGGTTCCGGTTGAGGCCGTCCAGGAGTGTGCAGGCTTTGCAGATCCGCTGACTGGAGATGTAGCCACAGCGCTCACAGTGTCCCATGGTCTGTCCCTTGATCTGCTTAGCAGGCTTAGCCGGGCGAGACTTCTTCGATGCAGCAATTGGAAGCTTGATCTCAGTCTCGCGTGACTCGGCAGCGTCGTTCTCAGTGAGTTGTTTCTCCATAGCGGCCATTTCTCCACCACTTGACCGACCGTTTTGACTACCACAGCCGCCGGTAGATTCGTCCTCTGCTCCGCTCGAATGCTTTGATTTTCCAGAGCCTCGAACTTCCACCGGCACAAGCGCAGCCATGTCCTCGCCACTCTTGACAATATCAAGGATTGAACTAGGACGAATCTTCTCCAGGTCTTTGATCAGGGTGCGCGCACTACCGCGGAATGCCTCAGGCGAGTAAATACATTCAGTGCTGAAGTAATCGAGTTGCCGGTGATGAGCGTAGAGGACAATTTCCTTCTCATAGGCATACTTGAGAGGCTTGCTGCGCTTGATATCCGAGGCGTCGGAGTCGGTGACGATACTGGTTCCGCGCGATAGACGGGGAAGATCACCACGCAGCAGGTTCATCATGACAGTCTCGGCGACGTCGTCTGCATTGTGGCCGGTAACAACATGCTTGATACCCAACCGAGCAGCGCCTCGGTCGAGAGCCTGTCGCCGGAACACACCGCAGTAGGTGCAGTTGCCCTTCTTGCCAACTTGTGCCACCACTTGATCCATTGTCCAGCCGTAAAGCTCGCCATATCCCACGATCTCGAGGGGCATCTCGTATTGGATTGCATTGCGCTTTACAGTTTCAAGACTGTCATCGCGATAGCCGCGGATTCCCTCGTCGATGGAGAGCAGGCATAGGTCCAGGCCGTAATCATATCGCTCGTTCAGTGTTTTCAGTACTGCTGCCAGTACTGTGCTGTCTTTGCCGCCGCTGGCTCCGATCGCGACTCGCTCACCGCGGAAGAAAAGTTTGGTGCCGGTGATGGTCTCGTGGACTTCGGTTTCGAATATCTGAATGAAACAGGCCCGGCAGAGTTTGTGTCTGTTCTTTGGCCGGATGATGACGGCTCGCGCCTCCTTGCAGTTGAAACACGCTGTGGGAGCCATGATGTTGTTGCGAGACGGTGGCGGGCAACAAGAATTTCTTTTCCCCCGCGATCAGTGAAATGGTCCGTGCACGCATATCTAGATGTCCCCTCGGAACTATGTGATTTTGAATAGCAGGTAATATGAGTGATCTTTTATACAAATATTACCTCATGCCTTAATCTATCGACAGTAAAGTATTTGCTTCGACTTTGACATCGGTCAGAAAACAAGATCGCACCATTCGAAGATGTATATATAGTTCAGGGCTAATGAAAGTCGATTGTGCATCTCATATAAGTCTCGCTATTTTGATAATTTCAAGTTCAGAAGAAAGATCGGACATAAAATACACGCCGAAAAAACTTTGCTTGGAAAATCCCCAAAGAAAAGAAGATACAAGAACGTACCTTGAAAGTGCATCAGTCCATCCAACTTTACGCCTTCACATTACTACCCAAATGAGTCACAGGCTTCCCTTTTCGACAAAACATTTTAGCATAAAAAGCAGGCCACTTATTCGTCTTAGCATGCTGAACAGCCATATGATGAATATGATGTCTCCTCAAGTGCAAAGAATAAAGCAGAGACCGATCCGCAAACAACATAAGATCCTCCTTCCGACCCCCCAACTTCTCCGCCACCTGAACAGTTTTCTCCTCAGAGAAAGCAAAAGAAGTCCCAATAATCTTGAACCGCCTCGCAATCTGATGAAGATTAGGCGAATGCCAATCCTCAGACGTCCAAGCAAGCTTCACATTCCAAGGAATCCGCCTCTCTTTCTTGAACGCACGCCACCATTCGTCAACAGATAACCTACCCTGCTCTCCGCTGACAGCATGAACACATCCACTCGTCCCCACCGCTACATGAACTAGCGCCCGATCAACCACCACATCCACGGGGACTTCATCGATAGTGGCTTCTTGACCTGGCTTCTCGCATCGAGATGAAAGTGTGATCCGTCGCCCTGGGTGGAGCATGTATGCCGCTGCAACGGCTGTGGAGGGTGTACCTTTCAAAGTTGCATAGCCGGGGTATGGATGCTTGTCGGCTGGGCCGATGACCGAGGGTCTGATGATGAGGACTTTGTCTAGCTTGCCGCGTTCTGATGCCTTTTGCAGGACGAGTCGCTCGGCTAGGTGCTTGGCGTAGGCGTATGGCCAGGGAAAATCATGGGCGTCGTATTCATCTGATGAGCCAGTCTTTTGTACTTCGCGCCATGAGTCCAGTGCGCTTTGGTAATAGTCCTCGCTTTCGGTGCCGAGGGGGTATATACTTTCGTCGACTCGCACATCGGAAGAATTGCTTGTCTGCCATAGATGGGCGTTGGCGTATGCGGTTGAGAAAAAGACAAAGCGTTCGAGGTTGGGGAATTTTAGGGCATAGTTTGTTAGGCACAGGCTGGGTGCCATGACGCTATATGCTAGTTCTCGGAGAGAGTTTTGTAGTTGGACTGAACATGCCGCGTGGATAACTATGTGCACTGTTCGTTTGAGCATCTGTAATGTTTCTTCTGGTAAATCCATAGTGGCTGTATCACCCAATTCACCGTCGAGAACAGTCAACAGTTGACTCTCGGTGAGGATCTTTGCAGTAGACGCTGGAAGCATGCTGGACCATTTTTCTTCTGCTTTGCTATTGACCTCAATTAGATATTTGCATCAGAAGAAGGCCCAAGAGCACTCACGCATATCCACCTCGACATAGCACATACACTCGTTCGGGTGAGGATTGACTCAAGAGTCGCCAGAGAAGTGCGGTCCCAATGAATCCTGAGCCTCCCGTCACAAAGAGGACCTTGCCATCGTAGTAGTCCCATACCATGATGAAGACTATAAAGTACCTGTTTAAAGTTTTCTAGACAAAAAAATACCAAAATATGCAAGTAGGAGGATATTTATCAAACCAAGCTCGTGCAGTTGAACCCTAGGTGGGTCCACCGACATGTTATATAGTAGAGACGACCGTCCTTGATGTCAAAGAACTCGACAGTGCAGTCCCAAACCGGCTGCATGCAGATCTGCAACTAGAGGGACATTTTGTGCAACCATCACACGAAAGGCCCTGCGTCAGCCAGCCACTCAGATGGGCAAACGAAGCATAGATATCCAGCACTGTAGGATTGAGCCGAACAGCTCCTAGCGTTTTTAAGCCTTGGTCTGTTATGACGCAGTCTCAGCATCCAGCCGCTACGGTCGTACATGTGCAACTATGCGCTATGACGGCAGGATTGATGTCGGTCGACTTGAACTTCGAGTGATCTGCCGTCAAATCAAAGGAACCGTCTTTGATAAAAATAAATAAGAATAACGAGCTCACAAGAGAGAAACCAACAATGCAAAAACTGGATATGAAAAAATTTGATCAAGCACACCGCTTTATGCAGCACTTTGCCAGGTATCAACGGACGGAATTCAACCTCGACTCGTATCCATTCAGATTTTTAGGGTGCATGAGGTGCATTAGCCCACGCCCGATCTTGAACACTATAACACTATTTGCCAGGTCTGTAGCAAGATCCATGCCGAACGGATCGCGATCACCGCCTCTGGTTTCCAGATACAATGACCAAGGGTCGAGCTTGTCTTGATCAACGAATCCAAATGATGATTCCTGCATGCATGATGTCGACACTCCGTGCTCGACTGTTAAAATGTGCAGAGATCATTTGTGATGTCCCTTCCCTCTTGCGGTTCAAGTAATTTACTCCCAGTATTCAACCTGATCATCAGGACATGTTCAAGCTTCCCACATACCCTTTGAAGCAATCAATAGCACAGTAAGATGTGATAAGCATCTCACTTGGATGTTCTGCACTGATGCAGCGGCCCTTCCCGCCCCTTCGTTGCGCTTTGACCTCGTTCGTGAGTCGCTTCATCCCTGCTTCACCTGCCGTCTGATCGGCCAATCATTCCCTTTGGAGTCTTTCCTCAAAGATAACCCTTGCCCTTCGACAAGCAATGACATCGCTGTCGTCATTCCCGCCTTGACACTGGCTATCATCGCTCCTCCAAACTTTCTCAAATTATCTACTTCCCTAATCAGCAGTTTCCAGGGGAATCGTTGGTAATTGGGGCCTCAAGTCCCGTGAATCAAGCATACCTCGAGCGAGATTGCACACGGATCCTGATTGGGGATCGCTATCTTGATATATCGGTTATTTGTCTGATTGCATTTGTCCAGTGCGTCTGAAAGGATCACCTGGGGAGAAGTTCAACTGCCATCACAACCGACGATGTTATAACCGATACCGAAACAAGCTGGAATTTGTGCCTTACAGAAATTAATATTTAGGGAATGACAGGTTACAGCTAATTGGCTATAGGGCTACCGGTTGTAGTATCCTAATTCCCGTCAACCATGCTACCCCGGCCTTAGTGGGTAATTATGAGCGATAGAGACGTCTGTGCAAGGGCAAAGACATCGCCTAACATTCCAGAGGTGCCGCTGCCATGGCACGGAATTCCAATCGTATAAGCCAAGACGACAGTAGAGGCAGAAGCCGATCACAGGTTGCGCATTCCAGAGGGAAGTTATGTGGAGAGGGCCATTAAAGTTGTGATAAACAAGCGAAAATCATGTACTTCTTGTCTGTTACGGCCTCATTTTCCTGATTATTGTTGATATGGACTGCTAGATTGAGTTCATACAAGGACAGTCGTTCGTTTTCATCTTTTTCTTCTATCCAATCGCTGATATCCTTTTAATTATCTTTAATCTTTTCTTTCAACATGAAGCCAGGACCGCTGGATTTGGGTTATGCTCGTCCTCTCGAGTTTACCCTGTCGGTCATCGTGAAAACTAAGCCGAGTCCATTGGATTTTCAGTTCGCTGCGGATACACTTGTCTCACAATGGCCTGTGTTGAACTTGCGAATGGACCCGCTGGTAAGATCTGCTGCATCTATAAACAACAGAACCAAGGCTGACATGTATCAGAAAACAAAATTTCTAGAGCCAAAAGATCCTGGTGATCTAACCGATGTCTGGGAAGGGCGGGAGATGCACCAAGACCTCGATGAGATCCTCTACGTATCCCCCGAGCCGGATTTCCCACAGATGATCGATACCGAGGCGCTGGATAAGGCATTGGATTTTGGTTACGGAATTTTGCAGGCATGGAAGCAGCGAGTCTTCTCCATCCGAACAGTCTTCTTGAACGACGCCTGCATAATAGGATTCAAGTTCCTGCACTCGCTCTGTGATGCGAATGGTAATTCATTCCAAAGCAAACATGCAAAAACAAAGCTGATATGTGACTCCAGGTGCTTATGGGATTATTCAGGCTTACTGCACTCTACTCCGGGGCGAAAGAATCATGCATACCCTGCACGCTCGACCATCGCTGTCGCTCAAATCGGAAGTTCTGGAGAAGTGTGCTGAAATGATTGAATCGCACCAAATCGCAGACTTGCACCTGCATTCTGTGCATCGAACTTGGTCTGCTGGGATTGGTGCTTTGGGAAAGCAGATTACAAGGAACATTTTCTGCCCTTCTGCTCGACGGGTTGGCAGGACCATGCTGGTACCACGAGGCCAGATTCAAGGATGGGCAAAGGAAGCAGAGATGCAGAACTCCAAGGTGACCGAACACGATTTGCTGGTTGCTTTCATCTACAAGGTAAGCATACTCCCTACTCTTATTGACGGGTGCCATTGAAACTCAGCCATTTATAGGCGTCTCTACACCCACCTACTGCCCACAATTTTGGGCTGGTAGTCGACATCTCACAGCAGCTCCAAACTGAAGCTAACCTTTATAACCCGTGGTATATGATGCCTCTGCCGGACCCAATGCCATCTAGCGAATATAGTATTCCGTCAATGACGCGCCTGGCAACACACATCCGACACACAATCGATGAGGCACAGCAGCCAGAATGTATCGGTGAGGTTGTAGAGCAACATCGACAGCTCAAGAAGAACCCAATGGTCCCCAAGACCTACGGTAGCCGAGCCGCGCAACCCCGGATCGCATCATGGAAAGGCCTGCCCCTTTTCGAGATCGACGTTCAGGGAGAAACCCCGCTCTTTGTTCAGGGCAGTGTCGACTACTGTGGGATTTTGCGCGAGACCAAGTGCCACTTGGATGACTTGTTAGTGACGTGGAAAGGACAGGGTCGGGATGGAGGAGAGGGCGGGTATTGGATTCATGGGAGACTGCCCGCGGCTGTTTGGAAGAGTATGGCGGATACTTTGAACTGTTGACAGGTATTTTCTGTACACGACCGGAGCGTGTGAAGTAGTGAAGATATGAAGATATTTAATGTGAAGTTGTCGACTGTTTACTTCCCCGCAAACTCGCGCTTGAGCGTTTTAGTCAAGTCCACCCGAGAGTTTATCAGGGCTTCTCTTGGCTTTGATCTTTTGCTCCTGACATCACTTCAGATGGGGTCTTCTAAGACCAACGTTCACGCCTGAATAGTGTTTATCGCACACGCTGAGATATACTGATCGAGGTAGGCATTCGTTGTCTATACCCGGAAATGCGGGGACCTGATATCAATAGACCCATTTGAAGACGGACCACGTTGAAGAGAATCCTTGATTGAACAACTGAAATCCCCTACAATGCCTTCTTCCGCGCCCAAACGAGCCTGCGACCAATGCCACACTCTGAAAGAAAAGTGTCGTCGACTGAGCCCTGCAGCACCATGCGAAAGGTGTGACCGACTAAATCACAACTGCCAAACCACACGGAATATCGCGAAGACAGGTCGAAAGCCTCGAATGGCAAGAAAACTATCATATAATCTTCCAGCCTCCAACCTCAATGCCGACCCTCATAGCCCGACACCCGTCTCCACGTTATCGCAGGACACTCCATATGCACATTTCTACTTCTCGCTCAATGACGGACTAGGCAATAATACAGCATTATTCCCCGACCTAGACCAGTGGGAAATACATTTTGTGAACCTCATGAAAGACATTGTCGCACCATCCCCACTCGACAAATACCTAATCGGACCAAGCTTCCATGAAACACACCATAGGTCCTTCGTCCAAAACTTGCTTCAACCAACACCTACCCTAAAGCATGCTACAGTAGCCTGTGCTGCAGTGTTATTAGGCGACAAATATGCCCAATATAACAAAGCCAGCGTTGAAATCGGCCACCGGCGAGCCGCATTAGCCGTGTCTGGACTTCGCTCTTTGCAAATATCTCAAGATCAGGATTTGATCACCGCGGTGAGAATTGGCATAGCGATGGTGACATTCGCTATGCATGTTGCACATGGACAGTCGTTCCTTATATCCCGCTATACGCTTTCTCTGGTTAAGCCGATGTATTCGAGGCTTCTAACGATGGATTCGGGTACGATGGATTTCCTGATGTGTCTTGTTAGCACGGAGACGCTTGATTGTCTCCTGAAGTCGGAGATACCAACCATCAGAATTGGAGAAGACGACCGCAACAATGTTGTTGATCGCTATATTGGGCTGAGTTCTAGTCTTTTTGCTCATCTTTATGACATTTGCGAAGTTGCCAGTATACTTCGACACACGGATGGAAGAATGGATATCAAAATTACAAAGCAACTCAAGACCATCCAAGATCGTTTGGATCAGTGGCAACCTTCACCACCGCCTGACTTTCTTGAACAATTCAGTCAAGATGAGGTCGTTCGGATGCTTGCGCAGACTGAAGTGCTTCGTCTTGCCGCATTGCTCATTATTCATCGGCTAAAACATCCTTTTGGGCAGTACGACGAGAAAGCACTATTGCTCTCTAGAGCCATCACTGCTGAATTTGACATGGTGCTACAGGTCACGGGGAGGTCGATACCATGCACTGCACTTGCTTATATGGTAGCCAGTTTTGAGATCACAAGTGCTGAAGAACAGTCAGCTATTATTACCAAAAGTGACGAAATGGTGACTTTTTCCCTACAGTCACAGGTCCGGGTTAAGAATATTATGTATTCAGTATGGAACGCGAGGAGCTTTGGAGACCAGATTCACTGGTTTGATCTAGGAGATTATATCGGGAAGGCAGAGACTAAATGAAGGGTGGAACTCGAATTGAACAGAAATTATATATTAGTTTACAGTGATATTCCAATTCAGTTATGACTTCACAATCTTACGATTTGATTCCCAGATAATTAATTCGGCTGCCGTGAGTCCTGATGTGATAGACCGTGAAGGCCCAGCTTTGGAGACCGCTTTGGACTGGTAGTGTAAACAGCCTTAGTACAGATCGGCTGATGGTAACACTCGGCGGAAAGTAAAAAAAAAAAAAACAGAGTGAGGTGAAGTTAGCAAACGTCGGAATGGGATGCTCAGAATCATAGTTTGGCTGGAAGGAGAGGAGGTATAATAGGTTACTATCCTGAAATTTGATATTATAAATCTAGATGCTAGGCTGAAGTCTAAACTACAGATTTTTGTGTGAACTTATGAGAGCAAATATCGCATTACTTTCCAAACGCTCCACACAATCTCTAGCAAAAGCTCGTTAAGGAGGCTTCCGATATTTGGCGGTGATTTATTGGCTCATACTGAAACTGGACCACTAAGAAATAGTTAAAAAGGTTTAAGCATTTTCAATCCTCTCGGACGGAGCTGGAATGACGTCATCTATCATATCCGTGCAAGGTATATAAGGAATAACAGCATCCCTTCGGTGTGCATACGTATATCGCCACGGCAATGCAACTTAGTGTCGCTACACTTGGACTTGGCTTCATCCTCTGTACTGCTGCGCGCTCACAAACCTCACATATCAATAATATCAAAAATGTCGTCGTGCTTGTGCAAGAGAATCGGTCATTTGACACTCTCGCCGGCGGTTTCACCTACAATGCGACAATTGATGGATTGGTTAATCATACCTATTGTAACCCAGCAGATACACTGAGCTCAACCTCAAGCAACTTTTGCGCGGCCGATACAGCAAAAAACATTGTCATAATCTCCCCCGATCATTCTATTACAGGTGGCAATATGCAAATTTTCGGCGAGTATCATCCGTCTACCGATGCGAACTCGTCTATGAATGGGTTTATCACTGAGCAAAACCGGATTTACCACTTGAAAAACAAGCCGGTGGTGACTGAAGTGATAAATTACTACAACCCAGACCTCGTTCCCGTCACCAATGCCATGGCGGAGAATTTTGTACTTTTCGACCGCTGGTTTGCCTCAGTACCCGGAGCATCGAACCCAAACCGCGCATATTTAACATCTGGCACCTCATACGGACAGGGCCAGGATAAAGGGCTATTCTATCACTCCGGCTTACCCCAAACTTCGATCTTCCAGCAACTATCAGAGAAGAATGTCACATGGATCAACTACGAAAATACTACCAACTTAGGAAAGTCAAGCTCCCCGCCGGATTCATTATTTTACAAATGGACTACGAAGTCAGGAAAGAGCAAGACCAACGTTCTACCTATTGATCGCTTCTACCAAGATGCTAAATCTGGCGCGCTACCACAATTCACGTGGATCAACCCAGAGTGCTGTAAATATATGTCCATGCATCCAAAGTCCCCAGTCAATATGGGCGAGAATTTCATGAAAGGTATCTACGACACACTACGGAGCTCGCCGCAATGGAACCAAACCCTCTTGATTATCACCTGGGATGAACACGGAGGATTTGGCGACCATGTACCTCCTCCCACCGGTGTTCCGGCCGGCGACCATTTGACCTATACCGAGAAGGCTCCTGATGGGAAGAAATATAAGTTCCATTTTGATCGCCTCGGCGTTCGCGTCCCCACCATATTGATATCACCCTGGGTGGAAAAGGGCTTGATTCAGAACAGACCCAAGTCGGGCAATAATGATTTTACACACACCTCCATCCTCAAGTTCATGTCTGAGCTCTGGGGACTTGACAGCCTGAGCCCGCGTGTGGAGTGGTCACCTTCCTTTAGTGATTTAATCACCAACCACCTACGGAACGATACCCCACGGGAGATGCCAAATGCGGCTGGATATTGAATATGACAGGGTCTTGAGTATGTGTTTTCGTCCTCCAACGTGTCCTGCGAAACCAAGTACAGTTGAGTTTATTGGGTTCTTTTTTTTATTTTATTTTTCTCCTTGTCAGATATAGACTTCGAGGCTATGTTGAGCAGTAAAGTTAAGCTTTGCAACGAGTGAAAATGATGCAAAGAATGCAAATATATACAAATTCGGAAAATATTACTCCAATTGCATACGGATAGGTTAGCCTTAGAGCTTTGACCTAATCCACCATCAAGTTCAATCGTCAGTCTTCTTGGCCTCCATAGATGACTTAGGAAATAAATAGTGTGGGGTGACCCAAAAAGTAGCAAGTGGATGACAAAGTGCGTACCATGTACCATATTTTGGTCCCAAGGGCGAAGGGAACTGCCAATATGGCCAAGCTTTGACAGCGGGGCAACCCAGCACACGGTTACCTCCAGCTTATGGTACGGTACCCTCATATATCCTCTCGTATAATGGAATCGTCGTACATGCAATACAGCTCTGATCTTTGTTGGTATCGAAAACGTCAGATTCAACCACAAGCTTATCAAAAGTCGTTGCCTCCTAGAACAGATCACATGGTATCTAAATTTTGTAGTATATTGCGCTTTTGGGTTTGAGAACTCGTAACAATACTAACAGCAAGGTGAGAAATGCGGGAGAGCTATTCGCGGTTCGGGAACGCGTATGCTCGTGTGGCCACACGCGACCGGAGTTTGCCTTAGGTGGCTTCCACTGCCAACTACTCCGCCACCTGCGCACTTTCCAAATTGAGATGGCTTACGCGTCTTCCGATCGTATCGGTCGGCAGATATCTAAATCCATGTTAAGTAGTTAGCACCCGCCACCAATGGCTTTAAGCTGGGATTGGGAGCTTCGTTACATCCAGCGACTGAAGAGTTAAGGCTAGATTCCCGCCGCACCTAGTATATAATTCAATAGGTATCCAATTCAACCGAGCGCTACAGTTCGCTGCCAATCAAAACAAATGAATTGTCACCTTACGCAGCACCTTTCTTTGACCATAAAGAACAATCTTTCCCAAGGCACCATCTCCCTGAGGAACCTAGTCTGCACACGGTATGATCATGAATTCAAATGGTACTCCCGCTCGTTAACTAACGGTATTACCAGTGGCCAACCCTACGAGAAGGGCGACACTCCCAGGCTCATCTCCCCAGAAGATGTCAATCAGATCTCAATACCACATGGCCAAAGTGCCGTGGTATCGGTCTGCGGGAGTGCAGCATTTGGGCTAGGCATTGAGGGAATGATTGATCTCTACTACGATGAGAAGAGTTTGATAACGTCCCTGTACTGGAATGGACCTTGGGAACGAATTGGGAACGAGCTTCATCTGGCCGACGTTGACAATGAGCATTACCTCGTGGAAGTTTCTACCCCTCCTTATGAAGGTATACTGGGAGATCTCGCTGTTGAGGTCAGAGAAGTCCCTGTCAATAATACGCTGCAATAACATTCATTGTGGCTTGAAGTATTTGCGTCCACAGGAAACTATTTTTTTCAACCAACAGTATAGCTGAATCGACGAATATAATACATAATTACTAGTTGTACTTAAAGAGATCATTTGCCATTCTATCTCAGTCATGATTCCTTGGCCACCTTCGGGTTGCTGGAATCAAAATCAACCTTGCGAAGCACGCGATCAAACACAATCGTCAGTAGACGGTGAAACAGGGACAATCCAGCAGCTAACCCAGTCGCTCCCATGAGGAACCAAGTCCATCTCCTTTTTCCAATCCACATGAGCACCTGTGCGTCTGTTCGATGCCAACTGCCGCTCTCCATATCCGTGATGTACGGCGCTAACTCCGTTGCATTGATGACCCCTACTAGCGCCGAAGGTAGCGAAGGCTGCTCAAGCAAGTATTCCTTTATCACCAGAGTGAGGAACATGGGCCCAGCAGATATCATGATGGCACTGTAGGGTTGCCATCGAGCCCAGAGGCGAGTTATCGCATGATAGATGGGTAGTTTGGCAATTGCCTTGGCATAAAGTGGATGCCGGGCGGAAGTTATCATGAAGTCGTTGGTCACACCGGTCGGCACTGTTGATTTAAACAAGGCGTAGTGTGTCGATGTGTTGCGTTCAATTTCGTAAAGGGGGAAACTCTGATTGCACCAGGTGTCCATGTCGAGGTAGACACCACCATAATGATACAAAACGAAATAGCGTAGAGCATCTGCACGCTGAATTGGAAAGGCGTAGGCATCCCAGGTATCCACGAACCAGGGATATTCGATAGAGATGAAGTTTCGAGCTGACTCATCGGTCCATAGCTTAGAAATAGTCAGTTAGGTTCAAAAGTAGCTAGTTCCTTCGACACGAAGCTAAACCTTCGTATGTCGATGGCACTTTCCACAAGGTAGGATAAGGATTACCTTGTATTCAAAGTCTGAATAGGCCTCTTTGCAACTCTTCTGCGACTCCATCCACTTGTTTGGAATCGTCTCGGTCGCGGCGGTTTGGTGCAGGATTCGCGGTATCTGGCCTGATGAGGTCATTTGATGCCGAGAACCTGACCTATACGAGGTGGGCAGTGCTACTCGAGACCCGAAGAGCTCTTCATTTCTGCGTAGCAAAATGATAAGCGGCGCAAAGGTGTGGAGTAACAGCCCGACCACCATTAGGTCTATTAGAAGGAAAAGCACTGTAGCCTTCCTCAGCCTTGGTCGGCAATTCAGTCGCTGGCATTTTGATAACCCAGTTCCCCATCGAAGATTCTCTTCATCGTATGTTTTGTCGTTTTTTGCGTTGAAAGCTCCGAAATCCCAGTGGCGAAGACTTCGCCAGAAGCTCATCATTCTGGTTGGTAGTGCATTTGCATACCCTAGGGACTCAGGTGTTATCTTGCGGAATCTTCCATTGACTTATAGAGTCCGGCAGGTAAGATAAGAGTTTCAGCTCAGTAGAAGTGAAAGCTCGCGTGATTTGGTGTCCGGAAGACGTAAAGTCAAATTTGAGCACTTTTATGTAGGATAGGAATAAGATTATTTGTGAAAGACCCTGTTTCCCCCTCATTTACTTGCACAGCCTAAGCTTTGCTTGAATCTAGACAGACATTGGCTGGCAAACACCCGCGGTTTCCGTTCCGGAAGATAGCTCTATCCGGTGACAAGTTCATGTCGTTCCAGCACTCTGAGTGGGTGCCACTTATCTACTGACCAAATCCGGCCACTTTTGCCCTGTTGTTCCTAGGAACCAAATTGTTCCAGAATTATCATGAAATTGAAAACGAGGCGAATATTTTAGCCATTTGACCCAAGTATTCATGCTATGTAAGTGTAATAACAATGTAACTATGCCTAACTTCTATGAGACATCGTCATTAAAACACCAAAATCGTTTACTCAGCCTCCACCCAGGCTTTGGTCAACGGTCTAGACTTTTTTCCCCAGATAGGAAGTGTAGGAAAAGGTGCATACGAGGCGATTTGTACTCTTTGCATTTTGGTGTACGATTTCACATTCTTACCTAGCAACAACGACACGCTGCGGGAAGCGGCGCCCACTTTTCGTCGTAGTGTCTGCCGCAGCATCTTCAATCTCGGCTTATCTACTATGACATGAACCACTGGTTCTTGTGCACTGCACTCACACTTGTCGTCTGTTTGAAAGCAAAATAGCGTACGTTGATAGCTAACAGTGGCCTGTTCGCAGTTGGGTCAGTAGGTAGGATCGACTCCTTGGAAGCGTTCCATGAAGTCGCCTTGTATATCTAGAAGGCAGGGTGACATCTATCCCGCGAAGATGGTCGCCTGTTCTAGAGGGTTTATTCTTGCCCCTATCGGGCACCGTTTCATCCCGAATGAACGCCATATCCATGGAGAGATGGGGGCGGAATGAGTGTGTTTGGCCAGCCGATTCACTGCGTCGTTTCCAGAATCATCGCAGTATCCAGGCACCAGACTATGACGGTATGATTGCTGGCGCGACTTCCTGGTGGATTACCCACCAACAATTGTGGGGTTTGAAGCAAACAACATACCAGGCACCCGCAAATGGATCTCATACCATCCAAAAAAGATGTTCGATATTCTTGCTGCGGAAGTCATCAAACAATGTGATCCTCAAAATGGCCTCAGCGAGGATATCATCTCTGACCCGCGGGGCTGCAACTTCAATGCCAAGACCCTGGCCTGCAACATGCCTAGCGCCGCTGAGGAATGCATCACTGCCGATCAGCTTTCCACATTGCACAAGCTTTATAATGACTGGACCGATGTGAACCAGACATTTGTCTATGGCCACCTGTGACTCGGCAGCGAAGCATCGTAGTTGATAGGAAATATCGGATTGGGAAAGAACAGCACTATCGAACAGCAGTACTGGTATGTGCGGGACCTCATGGGTCTTGAGGATAGCTTTACCTGGCAAAACCTCGACTACAGCACTGTCCAGCTTGCCGAAAAGTTGAACCCAGGAAATGCGACCGCCGACACGTTTGACATCAGTGATTTCCACAAGCGCGGTTTCAACATCACGGCCTGTCAGATGCGTATGTTTTTTCCCGGATGTTAGTGTTTATTACTACGACCAAGCCTCCAGTGCCGTAGAGCCCTAAGGTATTGAAATGAATGATTTTTATCGTTTGTTTCTCATCCCTGAAATGGAGTTAGTTCAAACATTCAAACATTCAAACAATTCAAACAATTCACTAAAATAAACAAGGTCAAACTAACCACTCTAACCTCAACAGCATTGTCTTTCCACCCTGACAATATGACTCCTCCAAGGTACATTGCCGGTCCAGACCAACTGCAACTATCAATACTGGTACCTACAGCACTCTTGGATACAGAGACTCGCGCCACGATATTGCTCTAGCGATGATGGCTTGGGCCGAGAACGGCACTGCGCCCAATGAACACGCCGCCACAAATTGGAAGAACAGTGCCAGCGTCCAATTTGCCACTGCCTTTACCAGGCAAAGTATAGTCGCAAGGGCGACCAGAACGACGCGAGGGAGTTAGACTTGCAAAATGCTGTATTAGGTTACGGGGACCAAAGCCAACGCGGTTCTCCCCCGGGTGGGGAAGTTTGCTGGAGGGATCTGCGGACAACTGAGTTTCGGAAAAAAGGTTGTCTGCATCTGCCGTTGTAAAGCGAGTTGACCCGCCATAAACTAGCGCACTATTAGTGGAGATGCACCAATCTCCTCTATGCAAATGGAACGCAATGAAAACAAGTATATATCCTCTTGGCATCTCAACGAGTCGTTCTTCTGGTCAGGGTCTTGCTGTTTTTGTAATAGACGAGTCGGACTTCTCAACTTCTCATGCAGTCAGCAGGATGAATAAGTGAAATGTATGTCTTTCAAAACCCGAAAGAGTTAAGGTCTGTCGATCTCTGTCTGTGGCGCATGAGATGTATAGAATCTGTCATGGGAGTAGAATTCAAATTCAAACGGCTAAATCTCACTAAACGCCACCATGTGGATCGCGATCTAAGGCATATGAGATAGAATCGACATATCGCGCCTTGTGGCTCGGACGGGGCTAGCCGAGCCCCAATTTCAGCTCCTCCCGTCTTAGTCCCATTATTCAGATGTCAGTCAACCAATCATACGAGAATGTCTTGACGCAGAAACCGGGAATGGTATCTAGGGGCCTGCACAACGCCCCAATTATTGGGCGATCATGGCGCTTCTTGCTTGAGAGATGTCGCCCGGGATCCACTCGATTGACTTGACACAACTGCGGCATCAAACTTCCCCTGTAGGGCAATGTCCCGGGAAAGCTCTACCCCGCGACCTTAGATTTGCCTCAACCTTGTTTTTGTTAATCCCTTACTTGGGAAGAAGGGGTGACTGCCGATTTGGATTGCCGCTAATGTTTCTTGTCTATCGGAAATGGCTTCAGGTCGAAGAACAGTCAATGTTTACTAGATTTACAATTACTTTCTGCAATCCAGATAGAAAGAGAAGCAGGCATATATTTCTTATTCAACACATTCCATTTACCTGGTTCTCGAAGTTGGCATCTGCAACCAAGTGGAGCATACTGTGGTAGGGCCGATATGACACATCTACTCTCTGAGGTGACATATCGGAAACGATTTCCATCGCGCGCATCCGATTGGATAAAAGCACAAGATCACAGCGTACATAAGATTCAACTTTTTATGATCTGGCAAGCCATAGACTGAAAACTTATTGCTTTCAACGCGAGGTACATGTAGTTGCGCCTGACGCTCCGCAATTGTGGTTCGCACAGAACACTGCCTTGGCTGTGAATGTGTTTATGCACTCATACCGCGCCCAGAATATGATCTATGTGATCTGTAGACAGACCATGTCACTTTGCGGCATTTGGATTGATGATGAACAATATGATACGTCTCCGGTGTAAGAAGGATCTAACACGCCTATCTCAAATCCTTTAAAGTATATTAAGGGAGAGGCGCAGCCTTACAATGATTCCAAATATTTCAAACCAACTACTTTTCTCGTTTTGCTTTGCCATTTGTTTAAGGTGCTGACCCACTTGACTACTGCCCGTCATGTCTTCAGCCCAACAATCTCCCGGTGCCACATGGACGCCAGGCGACTTTGAACACCCGAACGAGGACATTCGTCGGCCTATCAAGATCGCGCTTGTGTTTGCTTTCACATTGTCTACACTCGCCGTTGTTCTGCGTCTTGTAGCCCGACGAATGACAGGAAGCAGACTTTTCCTAGATGATTATCTCATTCTGGTGGCTCTTTTCTTCAAATATGCATGCTCCAGTGGAGTTGTTACCCGTGAGTCTTTTAGATATGCTGGAGCGATGCGACAACAATACTGATAATGTCAGTTCTGTTCAATGGTCTCGGATCACACATTACCATGATTCCACCCAAGAATCTGATTTTTTACTTCCAGGTACGCCACCAGCAATACCAATTTTAGCACACATATTGACTCTAATTAGATCGGATACTCCAATAACTTCATCTACACCAGTTGCGTGGCGTTCGTGAAACTCTCCATCTTGGCACTTTACAAGCGTCTGTTCGCAATCCGATACATGGTTGTTGGTGTGCATATAATGACTGTCGTTGTCCTTCTCTGGATGGTCGGCGTCTTCGTTTCTGGTGCTCTTCTTTGTATCCCAGCGAACAAGTTCTGGGACCAATCCATCCCAGGAGCCTGCCTTAACCCATACAAGTTCTACTACGGCATTCAGATCCCAAACATTCTCTGTGATCTCATCATCCTCCTCATGCCGGCGAAAGTTGTTTGGTCATTGCCCGTCCCAAAATCTCAGAAGGTGCTTCTGTCGGGTATTTTCCTTGTTGGTGGCCTGTGAGTTTTACCTTCCCAATTGTGCTATTATCAATGCTCTGACATTACCCGCCACAGAACCTTCGTTTTCGACATTGCCCGATTGTATGCCATGATTAAACTGCTCGATGCCGGCCCTGATATCACTTGTAAGTATCCAAAATCACTTCCCGCTTGACGCATTCTAACGATTTCCATAGACCACCAAGTTCCAGTCGTCGTATGGACCTGCATTGAAGCCACAGTCGGTATCATCGCAGCCTGCCTGCCCAATCTGAGACCTCTATTCAAGCTGGGCAAGTCTGGCTTCTGGTCCCAGCTCCGGTCCACAGGTCGCACATCCGAAAGGACTCTGGTCAGCTCGAACAAGTCTGGAACTATGAACTCAAACGAGACTATGAGCAGTATTCAAAAGCCAAATACTGTTGCTTCCTATGTGGCTGAGGAGAACATTGAGATTGCCGGGTACAACAATTTCGGTAAGGCTGGAAAGGTGTGAGGTTGCTATACTCAATGTTCCTTTTTGTGCTTGCACAAGGTAAAAAGGGTGCACATTCAATATGTTGCGTTATGATATGGGACCGGGAGTCGTACATTGCTTTTACTTATACCAGATAGTCATTCTCTTGTTCGGAATCTTTTCTTAATTAATACTTTGTTGGATAACTTATCTCGGTATGAATCAGCTCTCGTATTTTTTTTGGACTTTAAATATGAGTTTCTTAAGACAGAAATGGAGAATAAATAGATTTCAGTATTGCTTAAGGCGTGGCGTGGTACCTACACAGTACGGTGACTGAGCTGGTTCGAAGCCATCTTCCGGTACATCGGCGCAGTAGCGACTCTTGCCTTTTTGCCCCAGATAAGCAATGGCACGGGGATAAGCAAAATAACAAAAGCAATGACTGCAACTAGTATATGTAGGTCGCGCATGCCCGTGCCTTCGACCCACGGTGTGAGCACGAAGAGAACAATCACGGAGAAGATGTTGCGCATAAAGATCACACCAACCAGTGCGTCGCCAATGATCTAAAACCAGCATATTAGCTAGAGAAGGCAGTGGCGTAAGAAAAAAAAAAGAATGTACTCACATCTTGGTAACAATCCATGAGATACGAAAGTGCAATCCCGCTAATTGCGGCAAGTGCAAATCCGAAGAAACCAAAGCCGACTGCCAGTAGAGCCCAGTGCGCACCCTATGTATTATTAGAATAAATAGAACAGGGCTCTAAGAACATATACTCACATAGGCAAGTCCTAGACCAAACATCAATATACCTGCAGGACTGATCACCGCGATAGGAAGCGCAAGCCAAAGACGCATCTCTGGCTCATAAACACCACCATTTCGCTTAGACAGCCACAAAATAGACCTATCACTTAGGTGTCCGCCGAATGGGAATCCAAGAACAGCGCCGACAAAGGGAGCCACGTTCATAAGACCAACGCCAACTGCATCGAAGTTATATGGTGGGAGAATCATGTAAGACGCCTGCAGCGAGGTCATAATAGCGAACCAACTCAATGTAGTCCCATATGTAATAGCAGCATAGCTAACTGCCGGGAAAGTGAAAAGCGCAACAATAGGCTGATAAAAGTGCGGCCATATAGGGTCATCAGTAGGCGTAATCAATGCCATACGCTGGAAGTATGACTTCGGCTTGATTTGGGTGTTGGTAGTTACCCGACTGGCAATAGTTTCACTGGGATTCTTCGTATCCCGCAAGTCGTCATCCTTGGGATTCTTCGATGAACCCGCGACCGATTGCACTGCCGCGGTAGCATCCACGCTATTCAGCACGGGGATATATTTCGATTCCTCGAAGAGGAATACCACACAGAGCAGTGTCACACCAAAGAAAATAACACACCACCACCACATCCACCTCCACCCTTGTGCCACGACAATGTACCCCGATGCCACTGGTCCCAGGAATGCGCCTGCCGATTGGACAATAACATACCACCCGTTCATGGTGGCGTGTTGGTGTACGAAAAACATATCGGCGATGGTCATCTGCACAATCGTTTCGCTGATTGCACCGCCAATACCGGATATCAGGCCGCTGCCCATCAGATCCCCAACGGTGTATGTTTCAGCCTGCCAGATACATGATGCGAATTGGAGAGCAACACTGAAAATATAGATTGGGCGGCGTCCGTACTTGTGTACCAGTGGCATGAAAAATATGCAGCCTACAGCTAGACCGCCGTAGTTGACGGCTGCTTCTGCGTTTAGTATATCCACTGAGAAACCCAGCTCTGTTTGCATGGGTCCCCATGCTGTGAAGCCGATGTCCAGTTGGACGAAGGTCCATAGCACGAAGAAGCTGACGAGAGTGAAGTTGAGTGCTTTGCGGGCTGTTGACCAATTGAGGGGATCATTGGGGTCGGCTGAGGGGGTAGGGAAGAGGACGAGTTGATCTCTAGAGGCGTGGACTGGGGTTGTTAGTCAATCTGCTATTGTTCTTGTTATTCTTTGGGTCATGGATAATTACTATCTTCTAGGGCAACTGTTCCTGGTGCCCAGAAGGTCTCGTCTCTATCATAAGGGTCGTTATCCATATCGCCAATTTAGAATTGAGTCAAATGAGAAAAATGTCGGATAGACATGGTGCCCCTGGGCATGGCCCTGGTTAAGAACCGTCAGTCCTTGCTATATCTTGAGAAACCCGTGGCCTCGGCCTTATCAAAAATCTAGTCGAGCTGCGGGGAAGCTATTAGTGTTGGTACCGACGATAGCATCACATCGAATCAGAAGGCGTGAAATGTGCCGGCTTGGCACTACCCTGGACAGGCTGCATCAGAGTCTCCACACCTATCTCCTAAATTGCATATATTCGCTCGTCTTCATTTGACAGGCATTCCGTTGCCTGAACAAGCTTTTAGTGCTCATGTCCTTGTATTTTGCTTGGCAGAACGCCTCCGCTACCAGTTTCCCTTTTCTGCGAAACGTACATTCAGATAGCAATAAGTAAAAAGCCATTGTGTTTCGTCACTATCTGCGATTGAATTAATTGGTCATGATCGGGGAGTATAGGTAGGTAGGGTGAGATAAGCGACCATTATTGGAACTATACAGAAAATATGTACAAATAAGCAATCCCTGCCAAAGCGTAGATAGAGAAAATAAAATAAGAAGTCCTAGTGTTTTGCAAGCAATCCCTGCTTTTGTTCTCGTCAGCAGAATCCACAAGAAAGCGAGCTCTAGAGAAGTGACCAGATATGAGCAAGGAACATTTCCCGACTATAAGCTGTCCGCGGATAAACAGTGAGATCAAAACGAGGATTCATGCGCTCCCGATCCTCCTCTGTTACCGAGAATCCGCGTGCACGGTGACAACAGCCACACTGCTCAGTACAATGACCCCGTCCCTTCACCCGACGAGGATCGGGCAGGTTATCACAGCATTGACATGCCCGGCCACAGCATCCACCTCGATTCGCACAATCCTGACGAAGCCACTGACTCATCATATGCCACTGTGGTTGGCTTCGAAATGATAGATAGACACTTTTCATCGACCCCTCTGGACATTTCGCGATCACAGCAACGTAAGACTGTTCAAGGTTTCGGTAGTCACGATCCAAGGATATGAGTTCGTCGATTAGTGCCTCTAAGCGAGACTTCTCGTCGACCGTGCGGTATGATTGTTGATATTGGATTAATTCTTTGAGGTAGGACTCGCGTTGAGTAGTTTCGCGTAGGCGTATCTCCGTCTTGATGATGGATTGTGCCCATTGTAGGAAGACTTCTCGGTCGGCATCCCACCATATATATCGCATTCCGCGCAAGAGCTGGGTATATATCCATCTTCCAGACTTTTCAGCTATTTCCTCTGAGAGCTCCAAGAGACTCTCAAGTCTTTGTGGTTTCCGTGTCTTTGCCAACTTTTGAAGCTTCTTGGCCTTGATCGGGTTCTTCATTTTGAATGTGCGTACTGTGAGGGAGCTACAGGAGGTATCAAGGGGCTGTATACATTAGTGGCATCACTATTCATCATCGAGTTGTTAAGTGTTTTGAGACAACAAATTATACTCGCAAGGTTCGCTTCATCCATGGATGCAGCCCGACGAAAAATAAAAGCCGGAGAATCAGATGTTGTAGAATTTATGCGAAGTAAACGATACTTCATTAACATAATGTCACCACTTTAACATCAAGTCGACGATGCTGTCTTGAGGCTCGGTGTCACTATCCAGTTAGGAGGATATAGATAAGAAAAACAGGCAACAGACTCCGACCAACCAATCAAATACCATAGATTCGCCTATGTCGGAGCTCCCGACTTACGTAATGATTTCGGCGGGCCCTCCGAGATCGTATAGAGTTGAAAAGCCCGAGTTCTGGACATGTTTGGCCTCTTAACGTGTCTTATTGTCTCAATTACTGCTGGGTCGTTGCATAGCTTTTACACCAAGCCATCCTGGGGAAAACACCATTGAAGCAATCCACCATGCCAGATACAAGAATGCCAAAGCGGAGAGTATTGGTGGTGGGATCTGGTGGAGTCGGCACGATGGTCTGTGTCGCGCTCGAGAGATCTGGAATGGCATCAGTAACAGCTGTCTTGCGATCCAACTATGAAAAAGTCCTACAGCATGGATTTGAGATTGATTCAATTGACCATGGCAAACTCTCCGGCTGGAGACCAAGTTCGGGTATGCAAAACCGCAGCCAGTAGAGATACATTACGAGATTGACAGAGAAATTAGTTGTCAACGCAGTCCCGCTTGCGGATCAAGAAAGCCCATTTGACTACGTGATCGTCACAGTGAAGAATATCCCAGAAGTGAACAACGTGCCAAAGATAATAGCTCCAGCGGTCACACAAGACCACACGACCATCGTGCTGTTTCAAAATGGACTTTACATTGAGCCACCGATTATCGAAGCATTCCCATCAAATGTTGTGCTATCCGCCCCCAGCTATATTGGCGCACACGAGCTCAATGGAAGCGTTATACATGATGACCATGATAACTTCCACATAGGCGTCTTCCACAACCAAGCCTTGGATAAAGCAATGGAGCGAGCCAAACTCGAAGAATTTGCGGCCATCTATAACGGCAGCAAAGTCGTCGATGCGGATATTGTGGATGATATCGTTTTCTACCGCTGGCGCAAAGTGTTGTGGAATGGAATCTTCAACCCAATGTGTGCCATCACGCAGCTTGACAGTGCAGCGATTCGAAGGTTCGGGGGTGAACACAGCCTAATCAGGCCTGGTATGGAGGAGATGGCAGCGATAGCTAAGGCTGATGGCTATGATCTCGGAGCGGGAATTGTGGATGACGTGGTTGATGGCACTCCTCTCGAACTGTCTTTCCGCCCTAGCATGTTGGTGGACGTTGATAAGGGTAACCCTATGGAAGTGGAGGTTATTCTGGGGAATGCTTTGCGGGTTGCCAGAGAGAAGGGCGTTCAGACGCCCATTTTGGATAACACCTATAGGTTCTTGAAGCTCACGCAGGCGCGATTATTGGCTGCGAGAGGATTGATTGTTGAGCCGAAAGAACTTCCGACGACAGATTTCATATAGTGATTTCTTGGTTGGCAAGAAAATCACCCAACGGGTTTGCTTTATCATGTTCGACATTCCCATTGTTTGTAAAGAGCGATATAGACAGGCAAACATTGTATTCTCCTACATGAAGTCCAATCAATCCAGCCAAAGCAATATTTAGTCACGAGGCTAATGTTGCATATTAATGCCTAACCTTGGAAAAATGTCAATCTGCGGTCAGCACAGAATGCGGGGTGACTTCATGTAGTAAATTTGCACGCTCAGCGCCAATTACTCAAGCCGTTGTCCAGTACCTCGAAATGGAGAGAATCGATGCCCACACTCACTGTGTTCCACCCTCATACCGCGAATATTGCCTGCAGAGCGACTTCGCGGGCAATGGCTATCCAGATGGAATGCCTGCGATCCCGGTTAGCACCCCTAGAGACCAGTCAATTTCCCTTGCTAAATACTGAAACCCCAGGAATGGAGTGCATCAGCCCACATTGAACTAATGAAAAAGCTCAACATCAAACAATCAATTCTCAGCATGTCCTCACCGGGAACACATCTGACACCAGGGAACAACGAAGAAGGGCGATTGGTAACCCGGCGCGCCAACATTGACATGTCCAAAACCTGCGCCGATCACCCCGACAAATTCCTTTTCTTCGCATCTCTCCCCCTCCCGGACGTGGAAGGCTCCCTTGCAGAAATAGACTATGCACTGGACCATCTAGGCGCAGTTGGGTTCCAAATCCTGACCAATTCGCATGGCATCTACCCGGGTGATGCGCGATTCAAGCCTGTTTTTGACAAGTTGAGCGAGCGCAAAACGATCGCGTTTCTGCACCCCACCACCTGTCTCATTCAGCACCTAGGGGAGAATACCTTAAGCAAGGTTATGCCGGTCCCTGGGTTCTCGGCGCCAATGATGGAGTTCATGTTCGATTCAACCCGGGCGTTGATGAATCTGCTCACTTCCGGCACGGTGGATCGGTGTCCAGGGATTACCTTTCTGGCTTGTCATTGCGGTGGTACTTTTCCTCCTATTCTGCAAAGGGTTGCCGAGTTCTCTCCCATGCTTCCAGGTCTAGGGAATGGTGTGAGTGCAGAGCAGATGAAGAACGTGTTGCAGACACGCTTCTATTTTGACCTTGCGGGGGTTCCGTTTCCTGACCAGATACATGGTCTTCTTCGAATGGTTGATTCTTCCAGATTGCTGTATGGGAGTGATTATCCCTATACACCGGCCGCGTTGGCTGACTCTTTGGCGAAAAGAGTTGATGATGGCTTAGAGAGTAACTTTGGATCGGAGACAAAGCAACGGATTTTGTTGAAAAACGCGCAGAATCTTCTTCGGTCCGTATGTCCATAGCCCTGGTAGATATCTACAACGTTCTCAGAGGAGGCACGCTGGTTCTTTCTATTTTCGCCCGAGTAAGAACCGGGCCAGAAACCTCAGGCAACAAGGCCCCAAGCAACGACGAGAAGCATAGAAACTGACAAAATGCGGTGGCCTAGGATGTAGACTACATTTGAAAATGGTCTCTCCATATCATAATCGGCCAATCGGTGTTCAGGATATCATCTTAGTGGACTCGGCGTGAAGAGTCGATATCATCGTGCGTAAAGAAATGCGGGGAACAGCTTAGTGAACATATTTAAGCCAGGCCGATTGAACGTTCCTGAATAAACACTATATACTGTCACTTTCTTTACAAACTTTGCAGGTTTCTTCTCACAATGTCTCACCAAGAACTCCAGTCAAATGTCCATGATCCCAGATTCCGAGAAGCTAAGCAGCCACAGGGAGGCACGTCAGTCGCAGTCGCGGATTTATTTCGACTTGACGGGAGAACCATAATCGGTAAAGGAGCCAACAACTATTTGAGGAAGAAGTGGACTGAAATTCATCTCAATCAGTAACCGGAGCAGCTGGCTTCATGGGCACGACATTGACAGAAGCCATGCTCGAAAGTGGCGCAGACGTCGTCTGCCTCGATGTCATGAGCTCACCGAAGCAAGAAGAATGGGGTAGGCAAATTCTGCACACATAAATATTGCGAGAGTTTTCTAATTACCTCGAAATAGCAAACCTCGAAGCAGCTGCAAAAAAGTACTCCCGCCTTGTCTCATACTTACAGTGCGATCAGCGGAGCGACGACTCAGTCAACGTCGCTTTTGATAAAATAGTCTCAAGCCTTAGATACCCCATTCGCGGTCTCGCAGCATGCGCGGGCGTATCTGACAATGGGCCCGCGACAGAATTTCCCTCTGAATCATTCACCCGCTTGCTTGATATCAACGTGACGGGGACATTCCGGGTTGCGCAACGTGTCGCAAAGGAGACGATAAAGGCTAATTCCACGGCTAGTATGGTACTAGTGGCTAGTATGAGTGGATATGTCTCGAATAAGGCGAGTCTGCCACTGAATGATCTATCAGCTAGTAAACTAACAAGCAAAATAGGGCGTTGATACCGCTGGATATAACTCGTCGAAGGCAGCAGTGCATCAGCTTGCTCGGTCCTTGGCTGCTGAATGGGGTTCTCGTGTTGGAATACCCTTGATTCGGGTGAACTCGCTTTCACCGGGTTATATTCGTACTGCAGCTACTGCCGAGCCGTTGCAGAAACCCGGTATGGAGACACAGTGGGTTGGTGATAATATGCTCTACAGACTTAGTACTGCGGATGAGTTCCGTGCGCCTGTATTGTTTTTGTTGGGTGATGGGAGTAGCTTCATGACGGGGTCTGATTTGAGAGTTGACGGTGGGCATTGTTCATGGTAGAGATGTTGGTATTACAAGCTTGTTGAATGTGGCATACAATTTGTTTTCATTGCAAAGCTATTCGATATTACTTCCCATACTTTTTTGTTTGTTCCCATCACATTTCCTCCTCCGGTTCCAATCTCCCTTGGTTCAAGCAAAGTTCTTCCCTAGCAAATCACAGTCTCTGGTTCTGCGGGCTTTCAAGCAAGATATCAAGCCAGAGAACGTATTTCGAAGCGCATCTCCCCGAGAGATGGGTCCCCCATATGTTGCAGCTTCTGCGTAACCCACGCATCAGCCTTGGCGTGTAAAAGCTCCCATACTCTTCGTAAATCAGCATGTTTATTCTCCAGATATCCGATAGCCAGTAGAGTTGCAATCACAGCCTTTTCCTCGACATTTGGAAACTTGGCAGCATCCGTGTCCCAGTGCTGATCATACATTCTGATAATGCTCGTGGTGATCTCCTGCTCGCGCAGACCGAGAAGATTGAACAGTTTGTTCGACCACATCCAGCTGCCTTCAAAGGTTTGCAGCCCAATAAGCTCATAAAATTTGTCCATTGGGCGACCAGCAGATGGCATAGACTGACCAAAGGCCCCCATATTGCCGGCTGCAGAGCTAGCTGGACCAGAAGTAAGAGAATACATTCCAATCCTCCCTCCTGGGGCAGATGGCGCATAATCCGAACTCCCTCCAAAGCGACTCTGGGTGGAAGGAGAGTTTGCTTGGGAGGCTCCAAAGAGACCGCCTCCTCTCCCACCTCGTCGGCCACTCCGTGATTCTCCAAATCCTCTCTCTGATACTCCTCCACTCCTTGCTTGGCCAAAGGGTTGCGCCAGCGTCTCACTAAAGTTTCCAACGTACGCCTGCCGAACAGCTGGGCCACCTCGATAAACTGGCCCTGCTCGGGCCAATAGTTGGTGCGACTTCTGCCCAAATGGCGGCTGATAGGGCTGTGCAGTTCCCGCCCGCGGGCTAGTGTCCATAAACCTCGCTTCACCATAGATAGGCCTTCGAAAGCTTGACGTAAGGTTATGGACAGCATGCTCCTTGGACCGAACAGATGTGATCTTTCTCCTAGCCGATGCTCTGCGTGGGCTGTTTGGATTGCTTGAGGTGTCTGGAGTGCTCGAGTTATCTAGGTGATCTGACTTGTCAAGCTTTTCAAGATCGTCCTCCAAAGCCACGAAGGAGCAATGTCTTCCGGTGACTTGGAACTTGATTCCAAGACGCTGACATTCACGTTCTGCAATTCGCTGCTTTGTGTCCAGGTGGAATTGCTGGAAAGAGTTCCCACTCTCATCCTTGGCATCAGAGAGCCAACCGTGCTCCTCTTCGAGCTCGATAAGTGCCTTGCGACAGGCTAGCTGGTGAATGATCTCACCTGTTCCAATGCTCTGAATGGGAATCTTTAATTGCAAAGGACCTTTTTTAGAGGTTGCGCTGAATTTCAAGCTTTTGGGATTATGCTCGGCCTTGTCGGAGTCCATCAAAAGATACACAGTAGTCCTCACGAATGGGTAAAGAGTAGGAATCTTGTATGGAGCTTGAATTGCTTGTGGTGGAGTGAGAGTTGGAAGGCCAGCTGATGGACTGGTGTCAGTGTCAACTTGCATCATTTCAGGCTCTATGAAATTCTCGTCAAACAATGAGATCGGTTCCTGTGAGGTGCCTGGTTGAGCCCAACAGAAATGTTGTCGTCGTTGACTTCTGTGGCAGAATCCTCTCCCTCCGTTTCGACATCGCTCACGATATCAAACTCATGTTCTTCTTTGGAATCATCGTCATACTCAACCTCGAGTTTGTAGTCGTAGATATGAGGAGTGAGAGCAGCCTTGAGCATCCGCACTACTTTGCGATCGAGCTCCTCATACTCCATAACCGATTGACAAATTCCTTTCCCCGCTCTGGCAATACCTTCAATCAGGGAGTGGGATGCCGCATCGCCGACACCGAGAGAAAAGAATCGGGTAGTGTTTTTGGCAGCCGCATCGCGAACAAAGTCAAACAGAGAGCCCTGGTTATAGATTTCACCATCCGTGAGAATCAAAACCTCTAGGCTTTTGCCTTCCAGTCGGTTTCCCACGGTGGCAATGACTGCTTGTTCCATCTCTGTGCCACCCATATCGGCGTTAATAGAGCCAACAAAGAGTAGGGCCTGCTTCAAGCTAGAAGCATCATAAACCTTGCTTTTTGGCCACATAAATGAGAAGCTGTTTCCAAATGAGCAAATGTTGAAGCAGGCTCCCACAGGCAAAGATTTCAAAAACACTTTGAGTGCAGATTGCACGGTTGAGATCTTGTCACACATGCTGCCGCTCCTATCGATAATGAAAACCACCTCAGGGGTAGCTGGGGGGAGGGCGAACTTGGGTACAAGAGTGGCCATCAGAGCTCGCTGGTTTGCAAGGGTAGGATGGGTCTCAACCAAGGCACGGGGCGTATCAAGTCCATCCGCATTTATGAGGAGGACAAAATCGTGCTGTAGCAACACCTCTTTGGTGGTACTCCGGGAGCTCAAAGTTGCGGAGGCGCAGGATGGCTGGAAGCTAGATGGCTCGAGGCTAGAAGACTTTGTGCAGGAAGTGCGCCCCAGCGAGACTTTTATCTGGTGGCTCGGAGATTGCAACTCTCGAAGAATCAGGCCTTGCTCCATTTGAACATCAACTGTGAGGGACATCCCTTGGAGGACTGCAGGCTGACCAAGTGGGGACATGTCAGTCAGGCTCCATTGCATTTGATTTCGGTAATGAGGAGCAATAACAGTCGGAAGTGTATAGCGGATACCGTCTGTCTGAGTGTCTTGCTTCAACTCTCCAACGAAGGTGATGTCAACTGTCACCTTCTCTTGAGCAGGAACATTGCCAAGACGTATGACGAAGACGTCGTTTTGAGAGGTATGGTCCATGATAGCAGCAGTCTGCTTCTTGGCGATGGCATCCTTGTAGTCCTTGTCCGCTTGTTCGGTGGTCTTAACCTTGCTGTGCAATAGGCGATCTCCGACCTTGCATTCAAACCCGACAACACTGGCGCCATCGTAAAGAGGGAAAGTGTAAGAAACCTCTTTCAGAATGCTCATCGATGGGTTAACGAAGGTTTGGGTCAAGGTCGTGCTAGCCGCGGAGGAAACGATAGTGGCATGGGCTTTGAGCGAGACCTGGGGAAGATACTGGGCGTAGCCACTATTAAGGCCTTTGCTTGGCACATAGTAGCATCCACAGTCGGTTAACATGTTGAAAACTGAGCACAATAGGGAAGTGAAAATAGGTTTTGTGGTGATGAATCTAGTGAAACCAGTACAAGATGTTCGGGGAGGATATGGATCAAGAAAGCGTGAGATGTAGTGATAAAAAGAAATATCAGGAAATTGATGAAGTAGTTATTCAATAGGCTTTTGGTTGTTGGAAGAAGAGAAAATGAAATGGATGAGGAAGGTCGGCTCCAGGCTCTTATAGATGGTTCAAGCAACACCCGGTTTGTTTGTCGGAGGAACGATGTCCGCTTGACTCATTTGTTATTTGCTACCTAGGATGCGTAAGTTGAACAGAGTTTATTGTGACTCCAGGCTAGAATAGATTGAGACCCAGTACCTAAATTCATAATTGTGATGCGTTCACAACGCCCATTAAGAGTGGATATGTGCTGCCTCAGGCACGGTGTCCACTCATAGATCTCCCTTCTCTTCTCTTCGCAATTTGCGTGCACTACTCAACATGCTGAGTCTGAGTTCCAAGTTCACCTTATCCAGCCGTTCAATTTGAATATCCCCACAGTCGGCATATGCCGCTTGTTAGACAGTGTACCACGGTCGCTGGAACAGGCTGTCCAAGGCTTCCAAAGACCTTCCAGTGGTGTCCTACAAAGTCAGTATCATCATTATCATCAATGATCTAATGACTCATAGAATAGCAAAAAAGACAAAGAACAATGATATTATGCAGATGCAACCGAAAAAAGCGAAAGCACCCCATTTCTGAGTCGCCGCTAGCGGACTCGACATCGCCTGTGAGCACCCAAAACAAATACCCAATGGAATCCCATTGATATAGACAAGTTGAATGTCCGGATCTTGGGAAAATCTCTGATCCAACCAAGTATGGAATACTGAACCATCCAATACTCCATGCCACTGCGTGGAAATAGATTGCGACAATGGCTCCATTAGAGGCCCGAGATACGTTGGGTGCAGTACTGATATATGATGTGGTCATGTCTTTAGTTCTGCCCAAGTACCCCGTCAACATAGGTCAAGGTCACCAGTGCAGGGTGATACCTGCCATCAAGGACCGACGCTATCCGACTAATTCAACTGTGAACAGAGCGAAAGCGAGGGTACTGATGAAATTCATTGCGGCGTATATACCCGTTGCCAGGAACTTAAACTGGTCTCCGTCAATTCCAAGGTATCCGAAAATTGTCCGCGAGTACTGTGTGATTGCGTTGGCTCCAGACCACTGCGAGAAGAGAGTCGCCATGGAAAAAGGGAAGAATCGACGGCGATTCTCTACTGGAATACATGTCTCCTTTGCGAGGTCCCACATTCCTGTACTGACAACAGATCCGCTCTCATGGAGAATTCTTGTATGATTTTGGTCATCATTCCTATTTCGTTGCCGGTTATAAATCTGATGGAGATTAGGGGTGTGATTTTGCCGGCGAGGATTCGGGTTCAGATAGGGTTGGTTCTTGAATGGATCCCACGGTGTGGCGTTTGGCGGATGGTATAGAAGGGTTGGATGAAGTCGAAAGAGTTTTAAACTTCCTTGAGCTTTGGAATTGAGGTTGGCTTGGTATCATAGGTGGTCTATTTATCTACTGTTGTTGCTAACGTTGTATGCTGCTGCGGTAAATGTCCGATGCGCCGACGGCGGGTTTTTGATATAGTTCACAGGTGGGGACTAGGTACATAGGGCATGGACAATCCCTTCAACGCTTGATGGTAGGGTTTGGATTATCACTAGTACTGTTGTACTGCTAGGTTGGAGATAAAGAATGAGTAAAATTAGTGTTCGGTAAAGCATAATTGAAACTTACTTCGAGGCGCACAGATTCGAGGAACTGGGATGCATGCGACAATTCGAATAAGAATTTAACAATTGGCAATCACGCAGTGGTTACTGCTGTGGCTGAAGACTCGAAGTCGATAAATTATGCTGGTCTCATGTTCATCCATGAATATTGCCCGATGGCTACCTTGCCTTGCGTAGTCCCGCAATGATTTCCTCTACAGCAATCCCTTGCTTTTCCTGCCAAGTGTCACCTAATCTACTGAGACATTGATCAATGTTTCTGAATCAGCGTAGCAATACCAGCCGAACATTCATTAGTTAATTCTCTATGCAGTACCCATTAAGTAGTCTCGCAAGTAACTTTTGCGGCGCCAAAAAATAACACCAATCACTTAATCCAACATAATCCTCCAATTCCTATGATGTACATGCCACATATAACATATCGGGGCTTGTCAATGAACAGAAGCTCCATCTAGCAGAACCCTAAAACTGTAAAATAAGTTACAGCTTGAATTGCAGCAAGTTGGAGATCATCTCGCGAGCAGTAATGCGCGAGGTAGCCCACAGGGTGGGGAAGTCCAAGGTGCTAGAGAAAGTATCGGCGTAGCCGAAGAACAGCATGGGAGGGATCCAGCCACGAGCGTACTCGAGCGCGAAGCAAGACTCGTCCATCTTGTACTGCTTGACCTCGCCGCGAACCAGGTGATGCACGCTACCGGCTGGGTAAACCTCCGGCTTGAACTCGCCTGGAACGTAGGCCAGCTGGGTACCCTGGAGGATGTTGAAGTAGTCGTCGGCGGTGTGGCGGCCGGTGTGGCCCTCGGTACCGATAGCGGTGCCTAGGAAAGGAGGAGAGGTTAGAAAGGGGAAATGGTGGAAAGGAAGCACAATGCAGATGGGATACACACCGAAGATGATCAGGTACTCAGTGATACTGGCGTGAATCACGTACATGGCGCCCATGGCACCGCCGGCATTGTTGAACACCCACTCCTCCTCGGTGCTCAGATAGTTGGGGCCGACCTTTTGCTCTAGCTCGGCAACAATGAAGTTGACGATGGAGCGGGTGTCTTCGCCATGGGTGCTGATGGCGCGCTGGGAGAGGTCGTGCAGGTGCTCGGGGTCAAAGATGTAGAATTGCTCGAGGCGCGCGTCGAGGTAGCGGTAGACGGCGGAGAAGAGCGCCAGGAAGATGGCGAGGAAGCTGAGGGTCTTCAAGGAGAAGCAGCGGCAGCCACAGCCGGAGCTGGAGCTGGAGGACTTGGAGGATTTAGAGGGCATCTTGTGAATTGGTAGGGTCCTGGGGAAAGGAAGAGGCGAACATTTAAATTGAATTTTGGGCCCCTGGCGAAAACCCCGGAGTTCCACCTGTGGGGCGATCAAAACAGTCGATTCATACCTTGCTCTTTTTTGTTTGTCATTTACATGGTTATTCTTCTGTTACTATAGACGCAAATACTTCTAATTGAATATCCCTCGACTCTGGACTCTATACATGTTCACACATGCACAATTGTCTCTATGTTTTTTTGTGTTTGTTTGTGTTTGTGTCTATTTGCCCTGTTTGCATCTGGCGGGCCCGCTGAGTCAGCAACATGCCATCCGGATCGCCGCAATCCGAAGAGTCCGAATCACCGTCTCTTCTATTGGCTAATTGCTCTATCAGCTTCTTTGCTTGACCATGTTATCTATCTGTATAAGTCTATATCATTGCTGAGATCAGATATTTGCCAAAACTAACCGATGTTCAAATGTTTAGATCGGAGTAGGAATAATTTCAACCCCGAGAACAGAACAGCCTCATAGATATACTGGCGAATACTACACGGAAGCTGGTAGCAAGCATGGAGAAAAAAAGGACTGTATGACCTTCTCTCATGGGAATCTATAGTATTTCTCATACCATTATCTTAGCAGGTTGTCTCTGGCGATCTGGATATCCGTTCTGTTATCGCATGCTGTCGAGTTGAATCAAGTTTAGTGAACAGCTAAATCACTTTGCGGAGAAAATGATCAATTGACTATCTGAGAGAAAGATTAACGGTATAGCAAGTGACACGTGAGTCAGATGCCAGGCTCGGTTCACATCATCTGTCCAAGAGCCTAGCACATGAACTACCAACTCCTTTCAGAGTCACCGTTTACTGAAGGCGCGTGACAATTGATAGCTCCTGTTACTTCTCTTGGCAAATACATTTGAGGTCTTGGTTTAAATTAGTGTGATCCCCGGTTAAATTGACAGTCCACATTGTAATCGTGGTCTAGATATATATACTTCCACTCAGTACCAGATGGCCATGTCGATCATCGCCCATTGAAAAACGGCCAGCTCTCCGCTCTATCTGAAATCAAATCACAATTCAGTCGAGTTTGAGTACTATCGGCCATTCTTTACAAAGATTCAGGTGTTGCACTAGTTTGCGGGGTACATATTACTGAAGACCATGGAGAAATATTGACGACGTGGCTTGCTCGGCGACGACCTCCCGCCAATCTCTTCTAGACTGACTATTTAGAAGACTGCAGCTCGAACTTCTGCATCAATCCTTTATACCGGCACTGGTAACTTCCTGCGACACCGAGCTCCACAATAAAATAACGAAGCCCCTATTCCTCGGAGAATTGTCGCACTTACTGCAACCGTTAGATTATTTTGGATCAGCTTTGAGAATTGCGGATACCTTTCTAGAACGAAATGTTATTTGATCATGCTCTAGAAGTGGCAGCCAGTCGCCCCGCTATTCACCGTGGTCTCAGATTCGCCCGGAGATCTTCCCCAAACCGCAATCTCTCTCCTTTCCGCAGACCCCAGTCCCGGAAAATTTCACGAACTCAAAAGGATATGAGGACTGTGATTGCGGCGATCCCTTTCGACAAACCCGGCTGATAGGCAGGATAAAGCATCCCGAAACACAAGAACTGGGATAAACTAGCAAGCTTCAAGCCTGATTTTATCCGGCGTGTGGAGTCCGGAGCAGAATAAGATATCAAATGTGAGACAGGACCACTCCGTGATCTATACGGAACGTGAGCCCACTGAGTCCCATCGGATAAACTCCCGCTTGAGAAGAAGGGGCCATGTATAAAACAGCCAGACAGACCCGGTCAATGGACCTCGCTTGAAAAACTCCCTTCTCTATACCAATAATCATTCATCCATTCCTTTCGACCAACTCCGTGCCCAAAATGAAGTCCTTCGCACCCCTTTCGCTCCTTACCATGGCGCTGGCCGCCGTGGGCGACACCGCAGCCGTCCCCACCAAGACTCTCAACCGCCGTTCGGACTTCTGTGACCAGTGGGGTTCTACTACCACCGGTAGCTACATTGTTTACAACAACCTCTGGGGCCAGAGCTACGACACCTCCGGCAAGCAGTGCACCGGCGTTGACTCGCTGAGCGGCAGCACTATCGCCTGGCACACTTCTTGGTCGTGGGCTGGCACCGCCAACCAGGTCAAGAGCTACGCCAACGTTGCTCTGCAATTCACTGCTAAGCAGCTGAGCGCTGTTAAGAGCATCAAGTCCAGCTGGAAGTGGAGGTATGTGGGACCTATATATCATCATTAGGCCCAAATGGAACACCTCGGCTAATCACACATCTGTTTGACAGTTCCTCCAACACCAATGTCGTCGCTGACGTCGCCTACGACATGTTCCTGAGCTCCACTGCTAACGGTAGCGAGGAGTACGAGATCATGGTCTGGCTCGCTGCTCTGGGCGGTGCTGGCCCCATCTCCTCCACCGGCTCTGCCATCGCCACTGTCACCATCAACGGTGTTTCCTGGAAGCTGTACAAGGGCCCCAACGGCAGCATGACTGTCTACAGCTTTGTCGCTTCCTCTACCGTTACTAACTTCTCTGGTGATTTGCTTGATTTCTTCACTTACCTTGAGAAAAACCAGGGTCTCAGCTCTAGCTTGTACCTCACTCACGTTCAGGCTGGTACTGAGCCTTTCACCGGTACCTCTGACCTCAAGGTCTCCTCTTACTCTGCTGTTGTTGCATAAATGATGTGATCTCAGGTACTTGAGTATGTTGAGTGAGGAGAGTATAGTTCATAGCAGTTACATTGGGTGATCTAACCCTTCTCATTCAACACCTGTTTAATAATTATTATTCTTGATAATACTAGAATCGCTTTTCTGGTAGTCAACTTTCTCATTTAGTACTAAAAGGCCACTTACGGCTTTGTGGAAGTAGGCGCAAGTCGTAAGACCACGGCTAACTGCCCCATGACGGCCATCGCAGGAGTCACGGCTGTAAAATCATCCGCTTGACCGAGCTTTACTCTTGTAGTTCGTTGTGAGAAAGAGACACTAGTTACGACTCTCATTGGTTATTGCTAACATTGTCCTGCCTTTGTGATCATCTGACATATTTGTCCCATGATACATCGGTAGCTTGAACGAAGGAGAAATGGAAAATATAACTGAGCGACCGGTACTTTTTCTCAGACATGCTTTCACAGAAGCGTGAGCCAGGTTGCAATCATAAAGAGCCCAAAACATGTGTTAGCAAATTTGGTGGGATGCCACGTAGATGCTATACATCCAAGCGGGAGCTGCTTCCACACACCCGCCTTCCCGTCAGCGTTTCATCCCAGAACCACACCTCAGGGTCACCTTAAACATCCTCTAACCGCCGGACGAACGTCCACGTCACAGCTGAAACAAGCAGCCGTTCAACTATGAAACATAAGTATCGTTTCAGGCGCCTAGCTTCTCATCCACAATCTGATGGTTGTGTGTTGAAAGACACTCCTAACCAACCGAATGACACACAAAACATCAACATGAAATCCAGCGAGACGCTCAAATCCTGGAACAAGCATGTCGCATCATAGACTCAACGGAGTGGGACGAAGCTAGTGCGAAGATCCAGAACGCGGCACCGTCGCGCGCATATCTAAGAATAACAACCTTACCATTCTATCAATAGAATAACTCCATCTCTTACCGTCATTGTCCTTAACAAAATTAGCAACAACAAAAAGTGTCACAGCAAGCGCTGTGTGCTGAAACCGTGTAAGCGCTGGCCGGCGGGGAGGAGGGGAAGGAAGGACGGGCGCTTATATACATGCAATGATCGCGAGTAACAACAAGAAAGAGAAGTATCTTTTTTTAGACCCGAGCACACCACAGTAGTTCTGCATGCACACGGAACATTGCATGCATAGACTGCAGCCTCGGACACATATGGATACGGACATGGACATGGACTGTAGTATGCATGCTCCGTAGTGTCGGGGAGAAATCGAAGGCTGGGACGATCAGAATCGATACATCCAAAGCGCGCCCCCCTCGCTCCCGATCCGGAAAACTCTGAACGTCCAAAGGAGATGATATCAGAGGATTCGGGAATATGTGACTCCCCTCATGCGAGGTGTAAAGACTATTCTTCGTCCTTCTTGTCCCCCTCCGTTCCCTTGTAGGAGGGTCATCTGGCATGTTCGGGATGCCCCTCGAACACGCTAACTCGTGGCGCGGGCGTGACAGGGGTTCATTTGGTATGAGGGAAGCCTATGCCTGTACATGTACATGTCGAAAGGGAAACTTGACAGGGATCGTGGCGTGTCTTGCCCCATGCCAGGCACGGATGTGGGCGAATCATTAGGCATTAGGGGGTTTCTGTATAGGCACCTCGAATTGCCACGGTCGGCAACTGACAGGTATTGGGCACTAACGCGAGAGATCAAACCACATTTCAGAAAGAGATAGATAGGTTACTAAAATACTACAATACTACAATACTACAGAGTACAATACCAGTAGAGATAATAGATCTAGTATAGTTACTTCATCGGGTCAAGGTTGGGAGGATCCATGGATCGAAGCGTTTAGCGTCAATCTATTTCCATGGAATGAAAGTAAGTATAGACATATCGCATCCCCCCGCGTCTCGCGCAATGATGAGACGGTCGCGAGTTTCATGATGGGGCTGGTGAATAATTGAGCCCTGTCCACAGTCCACAGGGCGATCCCCCCTGATACGTTCGTCTACTTTATTCTTTCTTTTATTACTTTTTTTTCAAACACACAGCAAATGGTAAATTGTAATTTGCAAACGAGAAAATTAATCATAGTTGTACAGTCGAGCCCATAGTAATACATCCGTGAGGATGTACAGCTGAAACTAGGGATAGCAGACAATAGTGTGTCTATCAAGTATTTCTCCACCACATTCCCGGACAAATCATTTGTCTAGACTCCGCGCGCGAAAGGTTCGAGCATCTCAGATCCAACTATGCAGGTCCGCTCTGGCTATTCTGTGACCCCTGTGCTTGGCCTACTCTCCTCCAGGGACTCTGACTGGACGAAAGTCCTTACAGCTGGAAATCCGTCTCCCCCTCCCGCCTCTCTGGCGCATACCAGATGCTATATCTAGAGGTATTCCCACGGATTCTTCACGGGGTTCATCCACATGCTCAACGTCGTCACCCATCCATCCTTTCCTTTTTCTTTGCTGGTTTCCCTCGCTCTCTCGGAAATCATTGTCTCTCCTCAGACGCATCTTTTTCGATCTATTGCTATAAATTGTGGGAATTGTCTCTCATAAATTCTCCGAGTCTCACTTTTCTGGAGAAGCTCAGTTAGGGCTATCGATAAAGAGGGTTGACACGACAACCCCAACTATCCTTACAGCAACATTCCTTCACTCAAGAACTACTTCATTGTCAAGTTATCCTGCTGGCCAGGAATTTGAAAGCGATCCAGCTTCATATTACTTCGATTTTGCTTTTGTTGCTTCTGTTTCTGTTTTGGTTTTCGCCTTTGTGCTGAACCTCGTCCCATCTATACCCATACAATTGTCATTGTCTTTTGTCTTTCTTCGCACAAAGAATATCTCCCGAGACAGTCGTCACTGCCTTGATTTACCTATTCGTCTGCAGTGTGCCGACATATTTAATTACACCCACCTCGACCTCCGCAACCACATACAAAATGGATTCCTTGTCGCTCAACAGAGCAGCTCTCGACGAGTTCGTCACTCAGCGAGTGACACGGGAAATGGTGACGCACCTGGCCCAGCAAGCAGCTCAGGTCATCCGCTGTGAAGCCCATGTGACCAACACTGTCAACCAACATGGACAACCCACGCCTCCATCCACTCCTCCCATGGAAGCTTCCGACCTGCCTGCCCTTCCTTCAATCGAAGCCTTCATCGCGTCACTCGTCGCTCGCTCCCAGGTTCAGGTGCCTACTCTCATGAGCTCCCTGGTATACCTCGGTCGTCTTCGTGCCCGTCTTCCCCCGGTCGCCAAGGGCATGCGCTGCACCGTCCACCGGATCTTCCTCGCCTCGCTCATTCTCGCCGCCAAGAACCTGAATGACTCAAGCCCCAAGAACAAGCATTGGGCCCGATACACCGTGGTGAAGGGGTTCGAGGGCTTCGGCTTCTCCTTGCCGGAAGTCAACCTGATGGAACGCCAACTGCTCTTCCTTCTCGACTGGGATACCCGTGTGACTGAAGAGGATCTTCTCACATACCTCGAGCCCTTTCTGGTTCCCCACCGTCAGCGCCTGATCGCCCTCGAGCGTGAGCGCAAGTCCGAAGAGGAGCACATCCGCAAGCAACAACAACACCGCGAATGGTATGCCCTAGCAATATTTGACAACTTCCCATGGTAACACCCTTGCTGACCGAATCCTCAGGCGCCGTCTTCATGCATCAGCGGACCTGCTGGCCAGCCGCCTGCGTCGCCAAAAGCTCGAAAGCCGTGGTGAGAGCCGCCGCGCAAACGACAATTCACTCCGCCGTCTCCCAAGCCATGTCTCCTGCCCGAGCATGCACAACGCCCACAACACACAGGTCTCCGCTGAACACGATCGTTACAACCCTTACCACCGCCAGCGCGCATCTCCTAACCGACCCAACCGGTCCATTTCCCCGCCCTCAGTTCGCGATGTGCCGGCCCTGTCTCACGCCGAGACCTTCAACTCTCTCTGCTCGCGTTCCTCCAGCCTCGCCCCAAGTTCAAAGGGAACCCCCGCCAGCATCAGCACAGTCTCTTCTCATGGTGGTGCCGATGAAGTGATGCTCACAGACCTCAGCCGCAGCCCATCGTGCGCCTCTTCCCTCAACTATAGCTACGTCAACGTCGCTCCCATCGAGACGAAGCACAAGCACTTTGAGCCCCTCCGCCAGCCTAGCAAGAAGGTAAAGGTCAACAGCCACGCCCACGGTGGCGGTTTTGTTGCTCGCTTCCTCGCTTCCGCCACTAGCTCTTACATGAACGGCCGCGTTGGTCGCTCTCACTAAACCGAGCTGGCCTCGATTCACATTTCCTACTTCTCTATCTACCATATACCGACCTAATCGCCGATGCATCCGCATCTCTCTCCTACATCTCAACGCCATATCGCTTTTATTTATTTTCTCTCTACCTATTGCCGCTTCAAAAGCATTTTCACCCGTCGATACGCCTTGTGCCAATACCCTTCGCTCACATTTGGTTTTATTTGTTTCCTCGTCATCACCTTTCCGCCGCCGTGTGTTTCAGTACTCTATTCTACTAGAGATGAGATGATTCCTCCGCTATTTCTTCTCTCTTGTCTCTTTTCTTTTTCTTCTCTCTCAAAACACTCGTTACATTGCATTGCCCTCGGATCGGTATGGCGTTCATGTGCCCGGTCTCTGTTTTCCAATGGGCATTGTCTCATCTATTGTGGTTTATTATTTCATTATTGTTATCTCATGGATGTTCTCTCCAAGATGTGGATCGGACGGCCTTATTGTTCCCTCCAGATTAGATTCTGCTCTTTATGTATCTTATGGATGTACCTATCTTCTCCGTTTGTATGTCCGACGCGGTGGACACACTGATAATGATACTCATACTCAAATTTCAATTGCCTCCCAAATATTTAGACTTATTGTAATCATAGTCCTTCAACACCGACTCTAGCCTGTATCTCTTCCCTCACATTCGCAGTCAAGTATCCCTCAACCCCTTCCATATCCCCCTCAAACCTTCCCCTTCGCCTCATCCCTCTCTCTAAAAAACTCCCCAATTATCCTCCCAGGCTCCGTTCCCCCATCCCCATTCCCAATCCCATTCCCATCCCTTTCCACCTCAAAAGCCTCCCCAAAAGCCTCTACACCGGCTATAATACCCTGTTCCAAGGAAAGCTCCTCCCATTTAGATATCAAGGCCTTCTGTCTCCGCACCGCAAGCGGCCCATTCTTCTCTAACAAAGTAACCCACTCCTCAACAGCATCATCCAATTCACCATCTTCAACAACCTTCTCGACAAGACCCCATTGTAACGCCTCATCGGCGGATATAGTCTCCCCTAATAGAAGGAGTCGCCTGGCCCGACCCCATCCTATCAGTCCTGGTAGGAGAGCAGCTTCAACAACGGAGGGGATCCCGAGCCGGACCTAATGGTTGTTTGAGAATATTAGTCTATGTATCCAATCCATCTATAAAAAACGCATATAAACCCAGCATCAAAACCATTAAAAAAATAAATTTGACAAACCTCCGGCATCCCGAAAACAGCCCCCCGCCCACAAACCCTAACATCACAAGCCGCAGCTACCTCCAAACCCGCCCCCAGCGCAAACCCATTAACACGCGCAATAACAGGAACAGGACACCGCCTCAATGCAGAGCAGGCCAGGTGGACCTTGGATATGAACCCGCGCGCAGCAGCCGGTGAATCCAACGCGGCTATTTCCCTCAGGTCTGCGCCACCGATGAAGGATTTGGGGCCGGCGCCTGTGAGGATTATGGCTAGGAGATCTTTGTTTGTTTCTGTTATTTCTTTGATGGTTGGTGGGAGTTGGGTTAGGAGGGTGGTGTTTAGGGCGTTTTGTTTTGTAGGCCGGGTTATCGTTATTTTTGCTAGGGTACCTGTTTTGCGGCGGGTTAGGGTTGTTAGGATTTTGGAGGTCATTTTTGGGTGTATTTATTGGGGTTGGTTTTGTTGAAATGTTGTGTTTAGGAGCGTTTGATGTCTTTTTGGATGTTGTCTTTTGTAGTTCGCGTAGACCGAAAAGCACCGAGGCGAGTGCGGGGAAAGCTCGTCACATAGATCCTCGGATGGAAATTGCATTGAAGATGTGGAGGCAGAGAAAGATAGAGAGATAAATGGTATTCTAGCAATTTGTTTCGTGATTATATTAACATGGTGGCATAAGAGTTTGAACAAGATATCACATTTGTGCTATCATCATGAACCGTCTTTATACATTTGCGATTTTCCTCTTTGGAAGGCAAGTATATGCAACAATGCAGGTGAAAGCAGACAATGAAGCTATAAGAAGTTAGCATGGAGCAGAGAATCGATAACTGAACTTGCTTACCAATAACGCAATTCATTACGTAGTAACCAAATTTCTCATTGAGCGTCCCAGCCAGGACAGGTCCAGCACAAGATCCCAATACATAAGTGATACCAGATAGAGCAAGGGCTCGCGACTTACCACCACCAGGACCAAATGCCCCAGGGTGTTCCTTTGCCAGCTCTTTGGCAGCCATTGTAGCTTCAATGGCTCCTGCTGCGTTCAAAAACGAGGAGTTGAATCCAATCAAAACCATGGCTAACACATACAGAGCAGGTCCCCGGCTCTCGGTGTCTGCCCAGGAAAACAGCCCACTGCCTGGAATGCCCAAAAGCCAGATTAACGGAGTCAATATGGCGTATCCATAAACAGTTGGTATCCGTGTCCCTATCCGGTCTTTTAACCAGCCCACAAATGGAGACATCATGAGACGGGGAGCTTGTAGGGCTGCGAACGTAAGCCCAGTTTGCATGCCACCCCATTGAAATGCATCACGGACATGTAGTGTGACTGTGGTATTAAATGCAGTGAATATGACACCAAACATGAAACCGCACCACAGGCCGGCACAGAAGTTGGGCTTGCTGAAAATGCATTTATAGAAGTTTGGCATCGCCTTAGGAGGATCCTGGGACTTGGGACCATCATAATGGTCGGAGATGCGCTGGGTAGAGAGAAGGGGCGAGTGCTCAGAAGGTGAGTCTTGTTTAATCGCAGGGTCTCTAGTAGTATCTTCAAAGTAGCATGTTAGAATCCAATAGACATTCAGCGATCGGAAATAACATGCCTCTTTTCTCCAAGGAACTCTTCTCCACCATCAACAGACGAAAAGCTATATCGACACCGATGATCGCAAAGGCCAAGGCCCATGCCACCCAGTACCCTGCCAGCTGGAACAAAACACCAGATAACATGGGGCCAGTGGAGCTACCCAGCGAGTTTGCCACAGATACCGCAGAATAGACTTTCGCTGTATGTTGAATCGGAACTACATCTGCTAATGTCGAGAATCCCACGACCCACATGATACTATTTGCGAAAGCCTGCACGAACCGACTGATGAACAGCACAGCCACTGTGTAGTGTGATTAGCTTCAAAATAAAACTTCTGCATAGAACTGAGCAATTTATACATACAAGACGACGAGAATGCAGTCGCAATAGTACTACCAAGGGCGATCACCAGCGCGGACATAAACCATTTGCGCTTCGAAGTAGACTGATCTGCAAAATGTGCTAACGGCAATCGAATACACACACTGATAGCTGCATTCTCAAACAATAACCAGGTAGTCATGCTCTGTGTGCGGGAGGGGTCTAAGCTGATTCGGTCTTCGAGCATATATGGAAGGATGGGGACAATGAAGCTGGCTAGAAAAGTATCTGTTGTATGACGTAAATTGTTAGCCTAGGAATCTTCAGTTCAGAATCAGTGAAGAGAGGCAATACCCGTGAAGAGTGCCACGACCATTGTTGTGACGATAAACCACGCTGATGACCGCCAGCGAAGGCCCCACACTGAATCCATAGAAGGCATAGTCATGCCCCCAAATAAGGCAAATGAAATTACCAACTTTGGTTGAGAAAAAGTTTCCGAAGTCTTTTTTGAATTTGTTGGAGACTGAAATCGTTTTGAATGAGGAGAAAAAGAAACAACACACCATTGCCTCCTTGCATGCATTTAGTCAATAGTGTCTGGGGACGCTGCAACAACCTTGAACATCACAATTGTGATCGTCAAATAGGGGTTATCAGTTGTACAGTGGTATCACAACTATATATACGCATTCTCATTATTTCTCAGCCCCAAATACTGGGAAACACCAGGCTACAATACCTTCCTGACCAACCAAGTCAAATATACGATAAGGGTAATGCATATCAAGCGGAAGCTGCTGCCTGCAGTAAGCATACAATCATCAGGGTATAGTTTAGTCTGCGGGTAGCTGAGGTGTTTAGCGAGTGAGGAACCGAGTACTCCCATCGAAGCTTCGATTAATTCTCTTGCCGGAATATGACTTACTGTCGCCTCCAGTTACAATGCAATCGCTACGTTCACAGAGCGACGCGTTGACGTATAATGAGATTATTTCCTTTGAAATACCTAATATAAGCGCAGGATGCGTAGAAGACGAAGCTGAGGATGTTGTCTATTTAGCAATGATACTTCATGACCTCATTTTTTTCGACACCGTATGGAGTAATCTGTTGCTTCGTTACATGATCCATACAAAGCTTAGTTTTATTGTGGCCATCTTCCCATGCTTCGAAGGCTGACTGACATATTTCTTCTAATCGAGGGGGCACGTTCCAACAATTGCGTTGAAAAGTTTGTTATGTTTTCTACCCGAGAATATCTTGCAGTCTTTGCATGTCCAATCTAGAAACTTGTCCTTTTTGGTCATCTTCTGGTGTGTGCAAAGCTCTTTACTGTCTTGATCGGACCACCAGAACATATCATCGCCTCCCTATATGCGTCATTGGCAGTAGCTTTGGTACAAGTTTGGATATCTGTCTTGGGATCCAATGATCTGGCATCGAGAGGAGTAGCTGCCGCATTGATAGCAATGGCGAAGATGATCAAGGAAACGCTCCAAAATTGTACCATTGTAACGGCAACGCGGTGGAGGCTGCTTTCTTGTACTCGAAGATCCGAAAGACGAGCAGATGAAAGGTCAAAGGAACGATTGATGTAGTTTGCCGAGATTCAGATCGAAGGAGCAGATTGGGACTATAATCACCTGTAGGTAACCGAGTATCTCAGGCGAGGAAACGCGAGCAATTTACATGTAAGCAATGTAAGATAATCCAAAAGAATGATCTAATCTTGAGGAATCAAACGACACCACAGATGAGCAGCCCTTGCAGTGCTTGTACTGCAGTATAACATGCTTGAAAATATAATTCGCAAGTAGTATAGCACCTTGTCCATTCAGTCGCCATGGTGGGATCCCCATTTCCAGATTGCTTTCTTCATCCAGCGCTGCTTAAGATTCACCTATTTTTCAATGATGTAAACGCTGGTTTCAGTGCTGATGAATCTCCGGAGAAGATCAATCATGGGTTGGACATGTACTTGGGTAGAGGTGGGCAACTCCCAACACTTCAAGTTGTGGAAAAGGTAGTTCATCTGACAAGAGGCATCCCAAAATAGTATACTAAAGAAACAGTGTAGGCAAAAAAGCCACTTGCTCTTGATGGAGATTCGACTCATGGGTATCTACCCACGCATGCCAATGTTGCATTCATTCACCACATCCAAAAAATTGATATTTGGGGAGACTCAGGCACATCGTCTCATTCTACCAGATCGGCCACCCTGTCCATACTATTGATGAACCAGGTCCTCGCTTTGCCTCGGTACAACCAGTTTCAGGAACGGGTGCCAACTATTTAGGTGCTCAGATTCTGGACAAACACCTCAAACCCCGGCGTATCTGGATCCCAGATGCGATATCAGGTAAACATAAATTTATCTGGGACATGATAAGCGAGTCAATGGACAAGGAATGAGGCCTCTGCATGTTTGGGTGTATTCGTATCATAACAAAGAGACTCATTTTTTGGAACTTGACGGCACGATGCGCGCCCTTGAAGAGGCTGAGGCGGATGACGTTCTTTTGCTCCATGCCTGCGCGCATAATTCTACGGAGAAGGGGGCAGTGGAAGGCCGTATCGAACTTGTGTTCCCATAAAAGGCTGTTTCCACTTTTTGACCTGGCATAGTATGCCACCCATTCCCAACCTCATGTTCACTTCACAACAAAAAACGCACAGACGAGAATTAATCTCTCGCAACTGGGTCACTCGACGCATGGGCGATTCGCCACTTTGTCGACAGCAACCTCGAGCTATGTGCTGCGCAATTCTTTTCTAAAAACAAGTCGCTATATGGTGAGTGCGCCGGCACATTTCACCTTGTTACGGGCACTGAAAACGTGTGGAGCCTCGGGTGAGCGGAGTTATATTGACAAGCAGGTAAGGGAAACCGCGCGCGCCCCCTCACAACCCCCGGGCACTAAACTTGAGGGTTTCATTTACCCTTAAACCTTGCTTTGACAGGTTGGCATGTTTGCTTGCACCTTGTTGACCGAGAGGCACACTATCCTTGGATGCATCATAACCATCGATAGAAAGGACACCCCGACAGAGAAGACCGCAGCTATGCAGCCAGCTACCCCATATCCGGACAATTCCCGCAATATCCTTTCGGTCAAGGATGTACAGAGCACGTAACGCATATGGAATATTGCGTCGAGGGTCTTACACAGACCGCTTTTTACGCGCATATATCAGCGGTGTAGAATGTGCCATCCCACTTGGAACTTTATTCTTGCTGTTCGCCATCGTAGTGGGTGAGATGTGTCAATACCCTTGACGATATGACCTGCACTAGCCAAAGCTAGGTCCAAATACTGCCCCGTTCTGCAACCAAGATCTAATGCATCCGAATTTGGGTGACTTGGTTAATGACGTGGTTTCGTGGGGGTTGGTAGGTATACACAGTGCAAGTGCATATTTGCAGCTTGTGAGCAGTGGGTTGTAGAAGCCACATGGGTAAGCCGCATGGCTACGAGGCCCCATAGGAGGCGCAGCTGTAATTGTACCTACTGGCAATCATCTTGATTGTTCCTGGGATCCGAGTGTATCGTGAGTTGTTAAACTAGTAGAGCTGTACGTCCTTCACACGCCAGGGCATCTTTATTTATATTCTGCCTTCCGTTGACGCTCAACTCATGTCAATTAGTTGTTGTTTGGGAGATCAACGTGCGCAAGTCAAGGCAACCTTGGAAGCTGCAGGGGACACGTAACCTAAGTATAACCCCTACAATGCAGCAAGTCAAGGTTTTTATCGGATTATGTAATATTATAGCCCATTTTAAGACACTGTTCATGAGGCTTCAAACAGTCACGTAACCAAAGTGAGGGATTCCACTGTTGCATAGCCGACCCAACAAACTGGCCATGGTATAGGCAAAATATAGAGCAGGTACATGTCAATTACCTAAAGGATTGACCAAGCCGATCTCTATTCGGTGATACATCAGGCGGCTAGCTGAATCTTGCAGATGATCAATATACTACCATGCGTATTACACAGAGTATACCCCGCAGAGACTGCAGGCCCCAGCTCCCCTGCAGGTGCTGCAGATTACGATCTCGCCATATGCACACTAATGCGGGTATTCCCGTACTAGCTTCAAACCAGATCTTCGATCCAATCGATCTTCCTAGCACGCGGCATGGCGTCTGCAGCCAAAGGCCGAGAAATGCACTGTGAGGGCCAATAGTTGACACCCGTGCAAAGAGATCAAAATTTTACCTAATAGGTACTTGTAATGACTCGAACTTTGGTCTTTTGGAGGTTTGGCACTGCAGCCCAGTTTCTTGTGACATTCTCAACTGTGCATATGCTAGGGAGTATATAATATGTCTTGTTCTCAGATGATGGGTCTCCTTTCTCCCATTTTCCTATTTCTGATCAACAAGCAGACCCGAAATACAAATAGTGCAACATGGGAGATATTGGTCAGACCTCAGAGCGTTGGTTACCCCCAAAGACACCCCAGTCATTCCCATTGGGTAAAAGCAACATCTACCCGTCAGGCGAGCAACATGTAAGTATCCCTATAGTGGTCCCAAGAGGAGATCCAAGAGCTCACCAACCCAGGGAGTGAGCGTTTCTTTGCCTACATGGGACTCTGTAATTGGACTTTCCCGAAAGGAGGACTGGGTTCTGAATAACCTGGAATGCAGCTATCCTCGGTATGCCATGTATTGACAAGATAAAGAATCGAACTAACGAAATATTTAGATTTTATATTAACAAACCAGTTCGAGAACTCTCATCTGCTGTTCTCCGACGGCTTCTTGTCTCGGATAACAGTGTGCGTTCCATGGTATTTGCCTCTGCTACCGCTGCACGAAGATGCCTCGCAGCCCTGAGAACCTCTAGGACCCATGTCGAGAATCCGACGGTCTTCGAGGTCGCTCGCTTCTTCATGCCTCTAGAGTCATTCCAAGGTGCTACAGCATGTCACTGGGCGAATTTCTCCGCCGTTCTTTTCCCATTTGAGTTATTGAAAGAAGCAATGGCATTTTGGAGAGACACTGGTAGTGGATTATCTACTCGGCATGCTGAGTTCTGCCTAGGTGAACTGGACTATCTTGATTGTGATTCGGACAACCCAGAATTCCGCAGTCCAGCTCCCCTGAAAAGAGATCATCGCCGCATCCCCCAATCACTGGCTTGTGTTCAAAGCGCAGCTTCCAGTGCCCCTGAACTACGGTCCATTCTTGCAAAGCTGGCTACCTCTGACAGGCCAGGTGAGCCGGATGTGCATGCAGATGATGTATTCCTCTATCCAAGCGGAATGAATGCCATATTCTCACTGTCTGATAGTCTATCCTCGATAACTCCTAACTCGAATGTGGCGGCTTTTGGGTACGATTATCCTATGTTCCCCCCGAAGATTATATACTAACAAAGTATCTACAGATGGCTGTACCCAGAAACAGTCGAAGTCCTCCGAGGCGGTTCCTGGAAAACTTGCCTGTCTTACAAATTCGGAACAGAGGAAGAACTAGACCAACTAGAGGAAACACTCAAATCCGGTCAACAGATCAAAGCTCTATTTTGCGAATTACCCAGCAACATCCTCCTCTGCTCGCCAAATCTCCCTCGAATCCGTACTCTCGCCGATAAATACGATTTCATCGTAGCCTGCGATGATACGGTCGCAGGTTTCGTTAACCTAGATGCGATTTCCTATGTTGATGTCATGGTATCGAGTCTTACGAAGACATTCAGTGGGACGTCTAATGTCACAGGAGGAAGGTGAGACCCAGTCGCACATTTCCTCAAACGTATACATACATGGATGCACAAGTGAAAGCTAACATTGACCCAGCCTCGTCATAAACCCCAACTCCCGTCACAGGGACACAATAAAAATCGCTCTCTCAACCAAACACGAAGAAACATTCTTTCCACTGGACATCTTCACACTAAGCGAAAACTGCCAAAACATGGCCTGGCGTGTGAAACAATGCAACGCAAATACACTCCCGCTGGTGGACCTCCTCAACAAACACAAATCCATCGCAACAGTCCACCATCCATCCATAGCACCGACAGCATCAGTATACGAAAGTCTCCGACGGAAAGGTGGAGGCTACGGTAACGTGCTGAGTATAATCTTCCACAACCCGGCCAGCGCGGAGCATTTTTATAATGTGCTAGATGTGTGCAAGGGGTCGAGCTTTGGGACGAATTTTACGCTGGTTATTCCTTATGTTCAGTTGGCGAATTATTGGAACCGGGAGAAGGTTCCTAAGTATGGGGTGCCGCAGCATATTTTGCGGATGAGTGTTGGGTTGGAGGATTGTGAGCAATTAGTTAATACTGTTGCCAAGGCGTTGAAGGAGGTGGATGTTTTTGAGGGTAATCCTGTTTAGCTGGTATATATTGGTAATAATTTTTTTTCGGCTATACTTCGATGCGGAATATTGGTGCATCCTCGGCTCCGGGTGTTGGTTAAGGTCTTTTTCATCTCTTCACACAGTACTAAGTATCGGTTTTCCTGCGCATGTGTAGCAATCAAGCTTGTCACTCAATATCCTGTTGTTTGTAAATAGAATGTGTTGATGTAGACGTATAGGTTAGTACCACTAATAGCCCGTGATGCAGCCCTATGTCTATCAGATTGTGGCCTCAGGCCGTACTATACACGAATTTCCGCATTGGGCTTGGCTTCAATTGCCGAATGCGGCAGGGATCTCCGGTTGCGATAGTCCTCAACTTTGCCTTTGCCTCTCTCGGGCACAGACCTGACATTCAATCTACTTGTACTTCATACCCTTAATAAGTTTCTCTTGTAATTTGCACTGCTGTCCCAACGTCCAGTGAACAGGCACTGATGCATCGTCCCTGCTGATCACCCCGCTCCTCCCCACCTCACAGTCGCGGCTGTCGTCATCTCCGAGACGGCCAATTTCGCTGCCTCTGAACGCCCGACCTATTTTAAATCTGGGTCCCACGCCATTTTTTGTGGCGCGGGGCACCAAATCGAACAGGTCTTGCGTGGTTGTTTCACTCTTATCTTGGCACCTGACTGACTGGAAACTGGAACTCTTATCACAGATTACTTTTCTTCCTCTTTCAACCTTCCTCTTCCCTCTCAACCCGCTCTCATGCCTCTCACTGTCCTCTCCCGGTCGCAGCTTCGCACTCTGCTGCACTCCCTCTCCCGCGACGAAGTCGTCGATCTACAGCGCAACCTGGCCGAAGCCCTACGCGAATACTCCAGCGGATCCCAAGATAAGGGTTGCTCGGCGGCTTACCAGCCCCAGAGAACTGCTATCACCCGTCACAATGGCTGTACAACACTCTTCATGCCCGCTAGCACGGGCAATACAATTGGCATCAAAATGATTTCCCTGCAGGACGGGGCTGTTGCCGGTTGTGCTGTTGAACGCGGCGCCATAGAAGCCCAGGAACTAGAGCAGGCCTTGTCCCGGAAGCGGGGTTCCTTCCGTAACTCGGTGGCCTCGCTTTCCTCTGATCTGAGTGACTTGTCTGTCGGCTCTTCCCAAGAGGACAAGGAAGACCAGGAGGATGACGACAACTCAGTCAGCCCTTCTGTCACTACCGGAAGCAGCGCGGACAGCTCTACCCTTCTCACTGGATGTGTCAACCAACAAAATGTGACCGGCAGCATTTCCACAACGCATGGCGCTTGGCCGGGCGCAGGCACTCGTGACACATCGCCTCGCGGCAGTGTGACGCTGCTGGACGGCGAAAGTCTGCCTTTTGCCTTGATCAACGCTCATGAATTGACAGCGTTCCGCACGGCCTTGGCCTCGCTGATGATGTTCAACAAGCGCAAGAAGGTGCGCACCCTTCTGGTGTTCGGCGCAGGTACTCAAGCCTATTGGCACATCCGCTTGGCACTTGTTCTCCGCGGCGAGGACATTCGTCGAGTGTACATTGTGAACCGTTCCTTTGACCGTGCCGCCGAGGTTTTGCGTGACATCTACTCGCCTGAAAACGCCGAATGGCGCCGAGACATCAAGTTCTCAGCAATGAGTAGCGAGTTCGGCGAGTACGGCCGTATATTGAAGGAGCATGTGCGCAAGGCCGACGCGATCTTCTGCTGCACTCCCTCTACTGAGCCGCTCTTCCCTGCGGAGTTCCTCACTTCGCGCGAGGGCCGCCAAAAGGGCCGCTTGATCTGTGCGATTGGGTCCTACAAAGCTCACATGACCGAGATTCACCCTGATATCCTCCGGGACGAGGTCAATGTGCAGCCGCCGCATCGCCACTTCCACAAGCACATCCACCGCAGTGGTGTGATCGTAGTTGACAGTCTCGACGCGGCCGTCAAGGAAGCGGGTGAGATCATCCAAGCCGGAATCAAACCGAACCAAGTGGTTGAACTGGGTGAATTGCTTATGGTCCGTGATGCTACGCGGCAGGCCGAGACCGTGGATGAGGAGAAGAGCTTGCGCGAGTGGTCGCAACGCGGCAATGTGATCTACAAATCGGTTGGTCTTGGATTGATGGATCTGGTCACCGGCGGAGATTTGGTGCGCTTGGCGCGGGAGCGGAAGCTGGGAACCACAGTGGAGGACTTTTAATGTGTAGAATACCCTTTGCATGTTTATTGCTTCATGTTTATTGGTCATAGAGAGTGGTCTGCCAAGAACTCTCAAGCCGGAGGGAGAATAGCGCCCAAGCTATCTAGAAAATGAAATGGAAAAATACGAAAAAAACCCACAAAACTGGGAAATAGCAAAATAGCCCAATAGAATAGCATTGAATGAGGGTAGAAATGAGTAAGTTAACATAGTGAAAAATACTTAAGATATGAGGCGGAGCCCCGTGTGGGCCGATGCTATGCGTCATCCAAGTCCAAGGTCGGACAAAGTTGACTACGACTGTGGACTGTGACTGTGGACTGTTATTCTCCCCTCCCACTCTCCTTATTCACATTACGAATTCAATCCTTAGTACTGGAGAGTGATCATCAGCTTTTTCCCTGTCAATCCCCGTAAGTGAGGGGCCAAAGCCAAAGGGATAAAAAGTCACCGTCAACCTTTTCCGTGTTCCTAAACTTTTTCTCTTTCTCTCCGAATCACCTCGCCATGCGATACACCACCTGCAACTTGCCCAATGGCCTTACCTTCACTGTCTCGCCAGTCTTTGGTGGGGTAACATTCAAATCCACCGACTTCAACGTCCAACAGAACCCCACCTTTCCACCGGGCTGGACGATTATCATACACACTGAAAAGCCCAAAGATGCTGTCAAACCTCCCCCAAGCTCAGACAGTGAGCGCGTTAATGATGACGATAACATTACGCGCTTCACCATCCCCACCTTGGACCGCGATTCGCTCTACATCTCGTATATAGTCAACCCGCCCTCTAGTGAATTCAAACCGGTCTCGTCGCCCACGCGCCAGATTGCCATGATGCTGTGGGCGACCATGTGGTGGTATTTCCACGAACCTGAGCCAGATCTGCACCTCGAGACGACGGCGTCAAGCTTGACGCCCCACGGTGGACGGCCAAAGGGCGAATGGCGCATTAATATCAAGCGCGAGGGCATCTTCAAAGGCCGGAACTTGCTCCAGAAGCTCGAGCGAATGGGTTTAATAGCCACCGAGGACTCCTCGGTAGGTCTGCAGCCGATTGAAACGAGGGACTCAAGCAGCTGGTCCAACATGTTCGTCAGCCGCCGGAGCTTCTGGCAGCTCGATCCGCGTCTTTTCCTCTTTACTCTGACGCCACGCGCCGCCGCCCCTCCATCTCCGTCGCTGTCACCATACCACTCACGACAAGCATCCCCAACCCCGGACGGCGTGTCATGCTCAACAACACTAGGGCCAACAGAGGCAACATTCCACACAGCCAATGTAGGCTCGTTTACCTCCGCAGGCCCCTTCAATTCAGGAAGCCACCTGCCAACATACTACCCGCCCGCCCCAACCCAATACACCTTCACGCACGGCGTGCGGCATCCCGTGCGCCCGAAACCACCGCACCAGGGCGAGGTCTTCTACGTACGGTACATCCCAAGCGTGAGCCAGTACCTCTCATTCCGAATCCCATTTGTGCCCATGACAAAACAAAATTCGATCCCGGGCTCGAGCAGTGGCGGTGGCAGTGGGAGTGGTAGTCGACCTGGAACACCGGTTACATCCGCTGTCACGAGTATCGAGCAGCATCTCTGCGAGAATGTCTCCTCAGATGTGGATACCTTGCACAGATGGATGAATGTCCCGCGCGTAGAGGCGATGTGGTCAGAAGGCGGACCGAAAGCTGCACAGGAGAAATTCCTACTTGCGAATTTGACGAGCCGGCATAAATTCCCTGTTATTGGATGCTGGGACGGGAAGCCATTTGGTTATTTCGAGATCTATTGGGTGAAGGAGGATCCGCTGGGCAGGTTGCTGGACCGGGTTGATAACTATGATCGGGGTATTCATCTGCTTGTTGGCGAGCAGGAGTTCCGTGGTGCGCATCGGGTTGCCATTTGGTTGAGTGCTTTGGTGCATCATTGTTTCCTGGCTGATATGCGCACCGAGGCTGTTGTTTTGGAGCCCAGGGTTGATAATCTCAAGTATGTTTCCCTCCCCCCTCTCCCCCCACCTTCCTATTCGCATACTGACATCTCTTACAGACTCATCAATTACCTACAGGAAGCTGGCTTCTATAAAGAAGGTGAGGTTAGCTTCCCGCATAAGCAGTCTGCTGTTATGAAGATTAAGCGCGAGTTCTGGGAAGCGCCTGTTCTTTAGATCGTCGCTTTAATGAGACAATTACAAGTAACGAATAATCAGCAGTTTTTGTCTGCATCTATCTTCTTGCCAGTACTTCACTTGATCACAATGGACATCTTAGATATTTGGATTGCTAATGACTGCTGGTGATAGTATGGAGTACTACCAGTAGAAGAAACAAATCCATGTATACATTTGGTAGGGGTATAACATGCCTGGGGGTAGTGATAATACCAGGGCCCCTGTCTTTCAAGTCTCAGCATCTCTCCTAACCCCTTTCAAACAGCTGTAACCCTATAATAAATCCCTTCCTACGTATAACGTCGGCTACGGATATAAATCGAAACATCGGCATCAACCACCGAACTCCTCGGGAGCCACACCCGAGATCCATGACTCAAAAGATATACAAACCAAACCCCTCCCCCAAATCTCCAATTGTCCCTCAAATCACCCGAAAACACCTACTACAAACCTAAAAGACCAAGAACAATGCCCACAGAGCAAACCCTCGGCTTCATCGGATGCGGTAAGTAACCACACCAATCTATACACACCAACCCAACATAAATCTAACAAACCACAGGAAACATGGGCGGAGCCGTCCTAAACGGCATCCTAACCTCCGCATTCCCAGCCAACAGTCAACAACAAGACGTCTCGACAAGACCACCAATAACCAACTTCAAAGCGTGCACAAAAACCGCCTCATCAGCCCAACGGCTGCAATCCACAATCCCCAGCCACAACACAAACCAAGTAGATATCCTCTCAGGAGAAAACGTGCGCACAATGCAAGACTCAAATGTCATCATCCTAGGCTGCAAACCGTTCATGGCGGAAGAAGTCCTAGGCGCCAAGGGCGTGCGGGAAGCGCTAGCTGGGAAATTGGTTATCAGCATGCTGGCCGGACAAAGTGTTGAGAGGTTGCTGGGGATTATCAGAAGCTCTGCCACTGAAAATGGAACTGAGACTGGGACGGTTGATCCGATAATCATGAAAGCAATCCCGAATATGGGCGCGCAATTTCGTGAATCGATGACTATCCTCGAAGAACCGGGTGTGAATGTCCCTGCTTCGATGATTGAGACGACGGAGTGGATTTTCAAACAGGTTGGTACGATTAAATACCTACCGGCCAGTTTGACGGGGCTGGGGACAGTCCTTGTTGGAGCGACGTTGGCGGCGTTGACGCTTCCCATCGAGGGATTACTGGATGGGTGTGTGGCGGAGGGATTGAAACGGGGCGATGCGATGGAGATTGTGTTGCAGGGGATTCGGGGGCTTTCTGCTTCGTTGGAGGCTGGGACGCATCCAGCTGTGTTGAGGGAGAGTATTTCTTCGCCGAGGGGGTGTACTATTCAGGCGCTTTTGAGTCTTGAGAGATCTGGGGCTCGGAGTGATTTTGCTGAGGCTATGGTTGCCGGGAACAAGCATTTGAGGGAGAAGATGTAAGGGATGGAGATGAGCATTAACGTTAGATTGCATTGGTATGTTAAATATGAAAGAATATACAGCCAGTGTATACAGTGTGTGAACAGTGCCCCGAGGGCTATATAATATCATCTGCACTTGAACTCGAACTCCATATCCATTTGTACCGTTTCCAATTGTTCATCCCCAAATATCATCATCACCCTTGACTAAATCATCCTCGTTCAATACTTGAAGGCCATTGCTGCGCTCTTCTCGCTTGCGCTGGCGCTTAGTCACTGTGCGTCCTGGTGTGAAGGGGGTTACAGGAGTGAAGGGCATGTATGGGCTGTATGGTGTGGCCATGCCGGTGACCGGGCCCGCCCGGGTCTTCATGGGCCGTTCCAAGATGGTAGTCTTGGTTGCCGGAGCACTTTGCGGTGGGTAAGCCTCACGGAAAGGAAGAGATGATGAAGGCGACGCCGTAGCTAAGCTCAGAGGCGCAGGTGCTGGTGCACGAGCACGCCCAGGGGCAGGCTTGATTGGACTGAGCATTGGCTGTTGGGCCACAGGCTGTTGGCTCGCCGGGTGCTGTCTGGGCACCACTGGTGGAGGACCGGGATTATAGATCCGCGGCGAGAGGGGCGGGTTATCAAACTCATAGGCTCGGGGTGTAGCCGCAGCCGGCGAAGCCATTGGGGATGATATGGCCATTTTGCGGAGGGCCAGACGTGGGGAGCGCACCTTGCTCGGGTCTGGATTCGCGCGGGAGCCCGAGTTGAAGAGCTTTGACAGGCGGGAACTGTTGAATCCCTTGGTCGGGGATTTCAACGGCGCCAGAGAGTTGTCAGAGCCATGGGAGCCACGATCTGTGAATGGATTTGTGAGCTGGCTGTCCGGGGACTGGGCATAGAACTCTGGTTCCTTCCCGGACACATCGGGGGCTGAGGCCTTTTGGGCATCGTGCTCCATGACAGCAGCATACAGCATCTCCATCTCATCCTGGGCTCGTTGCCGGTCGGTGGCGACGATAGACTCGTCGACGGTCAACATGCTGCCGTTGACAGAAGGTTGAGAAGGTTTGGTATTCCTGTTCAATGAACCCCAGGACTTGAACCCACTTGATTTGGGACTGGGAAGGTTGTGTGACATAGGAGAAACTGGGCTGGGATCCATGCTGACAGGCGGTCTGGCTGGCTTCAGCATCTCCATATGCAGTGTGTAGTTGGAGGACTGGACTGTCCGACGTAGACGACGTCCGACAAACAGAAGCAGAGCTAGGATGACAGCAACGAAGATCACGTAGGCGCCAGCAATACTCCCAATCTGAATTGCGAGGAGTGGTTTGTCCACGATGCGAGGAGCATCCGGTTGGGCACGTTGGATCTTTTGAGCCCCGAAGACCGGGGTGATATGGAGGGTTAGAAAAGACACACGCAAAAAGAAGGCAACCGGGGAGGGAGTCATTTCCGGCGCCTGTGTGATTTATAAGAGAGGAGAGAAAAGGGAACAAAATTATGAGCAGGTGCAGTCACTTTTGATCGACATGTCGAAGCAGCAGACGAATCTCACTCGAGAGATAGAGGTGATACATGTTCCAGAGGTGATGGGGGCGGCAGGGGAGGGGTTTCGTATAAGAGAAGCTTATAGGATGTGACGAAGTGAAGAGTCGTCCAGAATTGTCGAGTTTGCGCCTGTCGTTGGTCGCAAATACGCGCCCTCATGCACGATCGTCACTTGGCGGCGGCCACTCACAGAGCAGCTGAGGGGCTTGGCGAAGATCAGGTGAGCTCTATACTTCACCTCTATCAACATCGTCTATTAACATCATCAACATTCAGGGCTTCATTTCAGATCTCATAAAAATATTTCCGTCTGCGCAGTGAATACCGACATGTCGAATGCTAACGGAGTCACTTCACTAGTCTGGGAAGCTATTTCCCAGCTGTAGCCCATCTCAACTCATTTAAGTGAGCTGAACAGCCCTAAAAGATCAATGTTTCTTGCGAGATGATGCGAAGTGACGTTGTCGTCCATGAGGGAGTCGGCCGCGAAAGGTTCCTTCTCTCTTCGTCACTCCTTCTCCGTCATCATTTCACTCCTCGCATCTCTCATCACATTTCATACCACTATCTATCACCGTCATCGCTATACGACGTTGTTCCATTGCAATCCATTACAACTCATTTCTCTCTCCATCAATCGCCCGCTGAATGGGTGCCAAGATCTCCGCTGTGCACGGCGTAAAGTCAGACCACTTTTATGACCAGGGCAATGCGATAAACGAAATCTGGGTTGGAGACGTCGAAATCATATCCCGCCTCCCCTTCGGAGACTCAGACCTCGAGCAAGCCGGCTGGCCAGCAGGAGGGTGGCCCAAAATACCCTGGCATCAATTTGTCATTCCAATGCGTAAACGAGACGACATGCCCGAATCGTTCCTCGGGATATCTCCCCCTCCAGCAGTTGACAATTGGCTGCCGACGCATGGGTATCTTCGAATATACACGAGAATTGATTGGTGCCTTGCATACGCACTGGGTTCCTTTCTCCTGCTCATCGGCTTTGGGCTTTACTTGATCTTCGTATTCAATATCGTTTGTGCCTTCCATGTACGTCGGGGTTACAATGCTGTGCCCAAGCAGCAACGAAATCTGACTGTTATGGGCGTTGTGTACCGACGTTCAATCCGCCGCCATGTCATGTATGCCTTCTTAAAGTTGGCGTTCAGTGCGCTCTTCGTCGTCTTGGGGATTCCGGGCGTTGTGGCAGGAATGCAGCGGTTTAATGCTGGCATGTACGTCTTTATAAACGCGACTGTCATCTGTCTGGGCTTCCCGGCTATGTCAATTCTGTTCGTCCTTTACTTGATGTACTGGTCGAGACGGCGATCCAGTGCTGTGGATAAGGAGGCCGTGGGAACTCCAAGGAATGCTGTGTTTTCTCGGGCTATGAGTAATCCTGAGTTTACTGAGGCAATGAGGGCTTGCGGCGTGGATTTGGTCTTCCTGCATAGCCTCATTGAAGCTCTGGGGTCTGACGACTCCAGGTTCGTCATCGTGCAGACCGATGTGCATGCCAATGGGGCTGTGTGAAGAGTTTGTGTTGAAAATTTGACATCGCATGGATGGACTTTTTTTGCTTTAGTCACATCATTATCTTGAGCCATTAGTCTTGGGGCCACACCCCAAGACCTTGCTGTATCAATCAGCCCGAATAACTCTCGCTCAAAGAAATATGAGGAGAGTAGATCAATCAAATTTTTATCCGTATCCAGCCGGTTCAACATCCAATATTGTACACTGTATCAAAAAGAAAGAGTAAACACTTATGACTTGGAGAATAAATCCCTCCACAGTTCTTTCATACCATACGCCTTCGCCTTATCTTCATCACGAACACGCGCGGACTGTGCCATATCTAAAGACCCAAACGGACTCGAAGCCGGCGCAACAGTCGACGACGGACGAGCGCGCTCCGTCGCCCGACGTTTAATCTCTTCCGCCAGCTGAGGCGCAACCTCAGCAAAGCATGCATTGAGCTCTCGATCGAGATTGAGGTATGCTTTACGGGCGGTAGGCGGTGCTTGGAGGTTGTACGAACGTGCAAGGGAATTGATCTGTTTCACGGCGAGTTCATGATACGCACGCTCAATTGCGAGATAATCTGGATCTCGCAACGGAGGGAGATGGGCGAGGGTTTCGGATGGTTCTCCGCTGTTTTCGTTGCTTGTGGATGACTCGGCTCTGTGGACTATTCGGCCGTCTTCTTTGGTCTCGGAAACGGATGGTTCTTCGCGCAGGGAAGCTTCCAGCTTGGCTTTCTCGGCTAGCCTTGCTTCGGCGGCTGCATATGCTTTTGCTCGGTTCATTTGCGCCTCCAGGGATCCTCCTTTGCTGGAGATTAACATGGCTGCATGTCTTTTCCAGTCTGCCCGGAGACGGCTGCGGAACCGACTGGTTTCCGTGGCTAGTTGCTGTTGCTTTTCGATCCATGGTGGTATAATCTCCTGTTGCTTGATGATTTTATTCATAAAGTATTCGGTCGTATCAATGAATGCGTTATTCGCATTATGGTCCGTCTCGGTGTTGACACCCTTACCACGACGGATCGACTTAAACTGTCCGCGGGCAATGGCATCTTCGATCCGTTCTTCTGCCAGTGACGACAGACCCGAAATGGAGATTGGCATGCTTCGCGCACCGGGCGACAGGTTTTCTCGCATTTCACGGCGCATGTTCTCACGCTCTTCCTGAGAGAAGCCAGGCGCTTGACTCAATGCATAGGTAGATGTGCGCTCTTTCGCCTCGGCCAAGCGATGACCGCGAGACTTCCTTGGTTTTGGGGCCGGTTGGAGGTTGACCGGTTGGGGGATTTTGTAGGGCATGCGGATTGGTTTGCTTGCGTCGTCTAGCATGCGCAGAGTTGTATCTTCCACTCTTTCCTCTCCTGTCCATGCAGGCGCAGCGGCCATCTCTCTTGTGCCTTGGCCTGCGCCAGCCTGTGATGGAGTATGTGTCAAGGAGTGGTCGGTTGGAGATTAGGTGGATTACTTACTGGCATATTAACTATAGAGTGAGCTGCCGCATACTCGCTCTTAAATGAAGCCGCAGCTACTCGCTCTTCGAGCTGTTTCTTCAATTCTTCTGAGAACCCGGCATGCTCGATGTTACGACGCGCAGACCGTCCACCTTCTAGCATTGCATCTTCGGTCATCTGGGCCAGACGGCGCGTCATCGCACTATCCTGTTCCTCATTTTCATTCTCATCTTTGGTCTGTTCATCTTCCGCCTTGGCCGTAGACGCTGAGGATGTCTGGTTGCGTGGGCAAGCTGCGGAGAACCGCCCGGACAAAGACAAAGGAGCTGTCGAAGCTCTAAAGGTGTATATTGATGAAACACCTCGAAGCTGCGTTGGCACGACGTATCTCCCAGTCATATTTGACTCAAAATAGCTATCAAAAACCCAGGAATAATGTACAGATATAAGAACAAAGAAGTGGCAAGCAGCCCAGCTGTGGTCTGGATCCTGGTGGCCGATAAACTGCTGACTCATCCACCTCCGCGGAGTCAAAACTTTGGATTTTGTTTGGCGAAGACTTCCCGTCGCCGGCGCCAGTTTCTCAACGTCAGTCTCGTCCACGATCATTCAAGGCATCTTGCCTCCTGCCGTACCGCTTACCCTTCTCGCTGCCATCCCGTTGAACCTCATAATTTCCCATCATGGCGCCCAAGGGTTCCCTTTCGACCCGGCTCAATCCGATGCGTCTGAACACCATCAATCACCTCCGTGTTCGCCGACCGAATCAAAATGAGCAGAATCCCTGCGTTACAGTGATGTCTTCCATGCTGAGTACGTTCATACCAGTGTCATTGCGCTGCCAGTGGTTTTGATCTCCAATCGCTCTGTCTTCGCAATTGGATGGTCCATGACATGAAATGTCACACGTTATACACGGTAACTAACAATGCATCCTTAAAATAGACTGCTGGGCATCTTCTGGCTACGGCGCAGAGGGATGCGCCGCTCTGGAGGCTCAATTGCGCAAGTGCATGGACGCACCGGTATGTCCAACCCAACTTCGCCCTTCCTCGGAACTCTCCCACTAATAAGCAATTTGTACAATCCAGAAATCCCAGGAAAAGAAGAAGAACACCGTCAACTACCACCTGATGAGAATGTACCCCAAGGTCGTCGGCCCGCGCAAGAAGGACGGTGTCCTGGGTTAAATGTTGATTACGGACTGATTGTCCTCGGTATTGCATCGGGGGCTTAGCAGCAGAAGCGAGTTGTCCATCTGGAGTTATTGGGTTTCTTTTGATACACTTTTTTGCAACCCCTCGATCCCCCTCTTGAAATATTTCCGAGTTGGGGTGGCTATTGCATCATTGGCTATGGCTACGGGAGTTGGGCTTTTTGCTCATATGTACAGTATATAACTATGTGGGATATGGATTTACCTGTCAAAACAATTGATTATACTCTTATTTCATGCTATTTCTAGGTAATAAGGGGCATCTCTTGCTCTTCTCAAATTGCTTCGAACTTCAGAATCAATTTGTCACCTTGTGGCTTGACGGTATAAGCGTCGATTGCTTCAATATCGTCATCGTTGACAATAATGGTGCGGAAATTGGTGTATATCGCAGCGACGGCCAGCTTCATTTCTGTTGAGCAGCTATTAGCCTGAGGTTTTGGGGCTCATCGTCAATCCGTACCTTGCAATGCCAGATTACTCCCAACACACATCCGCCCTCCACTTCCAAACGCCCAGAACCACCGACGTCTCTCATCCAGCTCAGCAGCTGAGTTCTCTTCAACCAGCCACCGCTTCGGCTGCCAGCTCTCCGGGTCGGGGAACACCTCGGGGTTGCGGTGTAGAGAATAAGCTTGAGCATTCACTCTAGTGTTAGGCGGAATATCCCCATACCCAGCCAAAGTACAAGGCGGAGACGGCGTCACCCGAGGCTGGATACCCGGGATGGGAGCATGGAGTCTCAACGTCTCCGTTACAACGGCTTCTAGCAAGGGTAGGTTATCAATTGCCTTGGCCGACGGGAGCTCTGCAGACTTCGGATAGGAGATCTGAGGATTTAGGGTCAACAGCTCTTTGCGGAGTTGATTCTGCACATCTGGATTCCGGGAAAGTTGCCAGAGCAAGTACGTGAGACCAACCGCGCTGGTTTCAAACCCTGCTGTCAGCTGGTCATACATCTCGCAAGCAATATCGAGTCGCTGCTGGGCTTTGTCCACTTCTGCGACGCCCTTCTTTGCGGAATCTTTGTCTAGAGCTTGTTTCAGCTGCTTGTACACGCTGGGCTCAACGCCCGGCTCGGTTGACGCGATCAATTGATCTCCTCTGTCGCACAGGTCTAAAGCCCACGCATCGAGCATTGCATTGGCATCATCACAGTACTTCGGTATCACCCGCAGACCGACACGTCTCAGCCAGCCATCCAGATAAGGGACCTCCTGCGCGTAGAACTCAAATGGCTTTCTGCACATATACAAATGGAGCCAGTGTTTCCGGAGGGACTCGTCTTTTAGGAAATTCGTTCCGTTCTGCAGACCGAATAGATAGGACGAGACGAAGTCCATGGTCAGCCCTTGGTTCAGATCATGCACATCAACTGCTTTGTCAGACGAAGCTGCTTCGTGGAGAAGCGGTAGCAGACGGTCGAAGACGACTGCATTGGACACAACCCCCAGATGAGGAGACGTCTGCAAGGTTGATTTGGAGTAAATGTTGGACAACATCCTCTTCCGGTTTGAGTGTGCCTTGCTTCCGGTCATGGTGAACATGCTCACTGTTCTATTGCGGTTTGTGAGTCATTCGTCTTGCTGGCATAGGGGATACGTTCATACTAACCCAAATGAACCGAAGACTCGTGGATACCAGTCATGTTTCTCGAATCCACCTGTGTAGACAGACTTGATTCCGCCGTCGACGCAGTTGATGGAGATTTCGGATGGTCCCAGTCTGACAATCGGACCTAGCTTCTCATGGACTGCTTGAATGGTTCTGTTGTTCCGGCTTGTGAATCGCCTCCACAGCATCCATGCTGGAGAGATGGGGGCACTCCAGTGCGCATTGGGGATCCTGGACAGTGGCGATAGAAATGCTGGATATATGATCACTTTGTAGATGACGAGGACAGCCAGGCCTGTTATGGCCAGAGTGGTGACTGACAAAGTCATGTTGAATAGAAGGAAAGAATTGTCCTTCTTCCACTTGAACTGGTCTCTCTCGATTCTCGGTAATGATCTGTAGGGGAGAGGAATAAAGTAGAGGCCCGAAGGATAGATAAGGAACTTCTATACAACGGGTGCTAAATGTTAGACTAGCCAACGCCCATCCGTGTATTACAGGTGGTGCCGAGGGTGATCCCTAATTGCAAGATTAACCTAGCTCCCCAATATCGGCTTTTTACTCACTCCGATTCGCCTCTACTTTGCCGACGGCCAACGTTTAGGTAATTGGGTTCCCGCACTTGGAGATAGAGTTGCAATGTAAGGAGGGGATCATGCACGTTATAGTTCGAATAGTAGAAATAGCTGCGTCCAACGAGAACTGCGTTATTACTCCTCCCCGCGAATGCGATAAGAGATAAGGAGGTGGACAGTCAAGGGTTGCGACCGAAATGCCAATATAGACTGACCGGACATAGATACCCTGGTCCATAAGATGAAATATCCATTCCATACTTCCTTTGCTCTCCTTTTGACGAAGTACCACATTATCAGGAGGTATGAGTAAATATCACCCCTATGTATAGAGCGCATTGGCCGCAATTCTCTCAGCCAATCTGCACATGCACATACAGTAGGCCACTAGTTTGACTATGTAATGTTATTCCGGCATTTAGAGAATAAGTTAACAGTTGTAACTGTCCTTTTCACCTTAAAAAATATGAACCCAGCTCTATATATTGCTTTGTTCAGTAGAAAAAAAGGTCATATTCAAGCGAGCCCTGCAGGCGGGCGGTATGTGCTTACGTCATCGCTACCCAACCCGCAATTGCTTATCAAATCGTTCAGTAGTTATGTCCTCACACGATCAACAATTGTTGCATAAATCAATCTTTTGATATACTTGCCACTGGTCCAATGGGATTCTTTGTTTAATACGTTGTTGCCTGCACTAAACCATTCTCTTGCATAAAGCCAAAGCAAGACAGTGCCGGGGCTGACAAATAAGCACCAGGATGATCTAAAAATCCCAAACACTTCATTCACAGATAGCACCTTCCTGCTTTCAAGATGCTGTCCGATCTCCCCTCAGAGATAATCTATCACATTGCAACATATCTCCCAACAGCCAATGCATTGGCCCATCTAGCCCAGACATGTCATCGACTGAACAAGATTATCACAGCCGAAGATTCGAGGATCTTCCGAGCCTTTGTTCAAAGCAGATTCCTGGCTGTTAAGACACCTCCGTATTGGAAAGATGCGGCTCAGGCCCTGACTTCCCGGTCCCGGGCTCTGGACAGGAAAGCCATCATCGGGCGATTCGTTGTGCCATCAGAAACTGCCATCGAGATCGGTTGTCCTGAGGTCTCACGTTCAGACAATCCGACCTTGGGATACCGGCCTGTGATCGACTCGTACGAAGTGTGGAATGGTAAAGGCTGGGCTGATAGGAAAGAGGTACTCGCCTGGGGTGCTGCCAACCAGCTGGTGATGAGGTTCAAGCAAACTGGTGCTCTTCCTCAAGAGAAGTGGGTCATGTTCAATGATGTTGAGGATGTCAGCAGCTATGATGATATCTCTTCCCTGCATCTTCTGTCCTCGAGACCAGAATACAGCCATGATACCGATATCGAGCATCTCATTTTTGGTCGAATCCGAGGTGACATTGTTCACATTGCAATTTCACCGAAAGACGCCACCCACAGCTACAAGAAAAAATTCCTCACATATGGACTAAAACTCGACAACACAGATCTAAGTGACGACCCAGAACCTGTCCTGGCAGCTCATTTTGACAACGGATCCATCGCCCTCTACCACACAGCAACAGACAAAGAACAAGTCGACCCATTCACATGGCTCCGCCCAGACGGCACGCTACGAAACAAATACTCAAAACTGCTATCCTCATCCCTAGTCGTAGTATCAACAGGAGACATCAAAGAATCCCTATGCATTTCAAAAGTCACACCTAACGGCATCTTCCCTCACCGAACAATCAGCATCAACAGCCTAAACTCCGACTTCACAAGCCTATCAACAAAGGCCAACATCGGCGCCATCGAACCTCTCAACACCCACCCCCTCGCCGGTCCCTCAGGCGAAGTCTTCCTAGCCGCATGGGACGACTTCACAGTCCGACTGCACGACCTACGCTCTCCGCGACCCTACGAAGTCGCCTACAAAGACATAACAGACCTCAATCCCATCTACAGTCTCCGCACATTCGGACACAACCACTTCCTAGCCGGAGCTGGCGGCGAAGCCTTGGTTAAGATCTTCGATATGCGCATGTGCAATACGTACAGCTATCTCGATGCGCAGGTACCCAGTCCATCTCAAATACATACCAACCAACTCAACCCCAACGGCAAAAATACAACGAACAAAATAACCGCGGGTTCTCCTCTCCACTCACAAAAGGATTTCTCAGTCTTTCTCTCTAATCCCGCACCCGTCCCACGCACCTCCCGAGCCCGTCGGCGTCTCCACTACCGCGGTCCAATCTACACAATGTCTACACCATCTCCATCCTCACCAACCGTGTACGCAGGCATCGTCGACGGAGTCGTGAGTCTAGATTTCGCATCTACAGATGACCTAACCGGATCGCGGAAGGGGTGGTACGAGGATAATCTGGGGTTGGGACTAAATACTGGTCCAGGACCGTCATCTGATGTGACTCGAGATGTGATTGATCTGGCTGGGTATGAGCGTCCGAATGTGGATAGTCATAGTACTACGACTATTACATCTAAGTTGAGGAATCAGCGGGCGTTTTGGGAGATTCCTTCTTCTGATGAGGGACTTGAGATTGTTACTGGTTGGGATCGGAGATGGAAGCCTTTGGAGGAGGCTGGGGCTTGGAGGAGGAGGGATTGATATGGATGTGATTACAACAGGGGTTATAAATGGGTAAACAGTGCTATGAAGTATTGGACATTTTCGTTACGAAAGCTTTGAAGTGAGTGTACCGTCTAATACATTGTTTCCCCCTGCTCTAGCCTCTCTTTTTCCCTCCCTGTTGCCCATTTTCGAGTGCCTCGGATTAATCACCTAGATCATATAAAGGCGGGGATGTGAAAGGACTTATGACCCCTGCTATATGCATGTTCTGGGTTAGTTTGCTACATACCTTGTACACGGAGTTTGATAAGGCTATACGGATTGTGCAAATGCATGTACGTACTCGGAAGCTAGTGGTTGTAGAGGAAAAAGGATCCCAAACTTTTGATTGTAAGCTAAGTTCAGTAAGCAAAATGTGAATCCAACAGCCTTCTCTGAAGCTCCATGTGCGCCGTGCTGAGTGAAATTGGAAAAGTATGAGGGAAATACACGTGTGGTATATGAAAAACCTATCTCTAGCATTTATCCACCGCAGCAAACGTTGATGGTTCCTGCGAGCATTTTGCAGTAACCAAGTAAAAAGTGAGTTCGCCTTCAAGACAGAAGCCAGGCTTGGGAGAATTCCTTCATAGGATTTGGTGGCATATTTCCTGAGTGAGGGCTGTAGATAAACCAGATATTATGGTATAGCAATGCAATGTGGGGAAGCGAAAAACGATTCGTCGTTTAATCGTCAAACTTGAAGGACTTGCCGCCAGTGATGTCAATAGGGCCGCCGCGGTATGAGCCGCGCTTCTTCTTGTTCTTCTCCTTGGTGAATCCCTTGCCGCGAGTCACGGAGAGATCCTGGAAGGCGCGGTCTGCGTATGCGTACGACATATAGTCGTTGGAGGGGTGGTCGTGGGGCAGTTCACTCAGCAGAGCCAGAGGCGTAGGGCGGGCTCCGGTGTGCTTCTTCTTGCCTTGGCCGTTGAACGGAGCAGGGCTGGCACTTGAAGAGGGGCCCTGCTCGAATGTCACGGTCTTCTCGACAACGACGGGAGCAGCTTCGAGGGTGTTGCTGGTGTCAGATGAAGAGTCGGAGTCGCTGGAGTCGGACTCGGGGAGGGGGGTCTTCTTTGCTTCCTTCAATGCCACCTTGGATTTCTTCTCATCTTCTGAGTCGGATGAATCGGAGTCAGACGAGTCGGAGTCGGACGAAGAGCTCGAGGAATCGGATGAAGAGCTCGAGGAGTCGGATGAAGAGCTCGAGGAATCGGAGTCGGAGCTAGAAGAGTCCGAAGAAGAAGATGAATCAGACGAGGAATCAGACGAGGAATCAGACGAGGACGAAGACGAGTCCTTGGAAGCCTCCTTGGAAGCCTCCTTAGGAGAGACCTTGGCTTTCTTGGCCTTGGGACTGTCATCCTCAGACTCAGAAGAGGAGTCGGAAGAGGAGCTGCTGGACTCGGCCTTGCGCTTCACGCCGGAAGGCTTCTTGGCAGGGACGGGGACCGCGGGGGACTTGTCATCGTCCTCGTCGTCGGCGTCGCTGTCGGAGCTGGAACTCTCCGAGCTGGAGGAAGAAGAGGAAGAGGAGGAAGAGGAGGAAGAGGAAGAAGAGGAAGAGGAAGATGACCTAGCATCTCCCATTTCAACGTCTGACTCGCTATCGCTGCTGTCGGGGTTGGTCGAGGCAGCCTTCTTCACGGCAGAGGCCTGGAAGAGGTCGAGCAGGGAAGCAACATTCTTGTTATCAGACTTGTTGCCTGACGTGGCCAATTCCTTGGTGAAAGTGGCGGCGGTCTGAGGGAAGTTCTCGGCGAGGAAAGCAGCAACCGAAGCGATCAACTGGGGAGGAATAGTGTTTACGCTCTTGGGAGACTGAGGAAGGCATTGTCAGATCGATTCTGCAGATTGTTCAATTGAGTACATACCTTGGCCGAAGCCTTGACTGAAACTTTAGCCATAACGACAGAATACCGGATCAACGCAAAGGAAGAAAAGGTCAAACGGAGGACTATATAAGATGAACTTTCGCCAGGAACAAAAAAAAAAAAAAAAGAAAAGGAAAAAAGTACAGGAGGCGGTGAGGAATGGCATCACGGTGATTGGCGTATCCAGGGCGGTAACAGTCTAGCCTTTAACGTGGATTAAACGGCAAGGACTCAATACTCTTGAGGGAATTGGGAGTTGTAGAGCAATGAGAGTGATTAACCCTTATTTGGATGAATAGAAAAGACAATCGCCTAACAAGATACTCAACTGAAGAATATCATATAACTGCAATTCAGGTCAATTTGACAAATAACTCGGCCTGATAAATAAGGCCAACATGCAGCAAGTAACTTAACTTAACGTTAGGACTGCCTCGGGAACCTACATGTAACATCATTTCGAGATATGAAAAGAAGAATTCTATTGTTTTTACTCGGTCACATTGAAGTCATCACTGTCCATGGAGGTTGCATACCTGAGGTTGGGCGCCGGATCAACTCGATAACCCGCGCCAAGCTCTCCGCCCTACACCCACCCCAAACAGATGAGCTCGGCACTGTCTCGCATTACCCCGGAGCACCCACCGCAAGTGCTTTTCACTTTGTTCTACCTTACCGACTCACCTGCATTGTCACTCAGCGGATCTCAATTCCCTCGGCGCGTGGTGTGGATCCCGACCCTCCGGACCATGTCCCCTTGATCTCGACACTACCCACCAGTGAGCTCCGTGTCCCTCCACGACACAATGAACGGCCGAGACCGTCCCCGCGGACCTCCACCAAATCGCGGGCCTGATCCGCGTGTAAGCCCAAGTGATAGCAACTTGTCAAAAGCGGACCATTTCGACGACGAGAAGAAGCGCATCATCCATAGTTGCTATGCAAAGAAGGACGCCGACGGTACCTGTACGTATCCTGTGGAACGACTTCTTTGGTTTTTACAACACATCCCTGGTTCTAGCCAGGAGCTGCTTGAGCGAACGCATGGCGAAAGTGACGTACAATTCGTCCGGGCAAGTCGCATCGCCGCTCAACATGCCTCGATGATAGATTCCGAACCAACTTGCCGACTTTTGGTCCTTTGGACTGCTGCTAACTGCTTTACTCATAGTGGTCGAGTCCTACATAACCCACGTCCGCATCGTCGAGGATGCAGCCCACCCCTCCAGTCCTTCCCCGCCAAACGCAGCACCGGAGAACAAGAAACCCCGTGTCATCATCGTTTCGGTGCGAAGATCAGGCCGGGTTCGTATGCACAAAGCTCGTGAGAACAACGATGGATCTTTCTCAATTGGAAAGACCTGGATGCTCGACGACTTAACTGCGATCCAATCATTTTCCGCTTTCGTCCCCCAATCACCAACAGAACAACAACAGAAGGAATGGGCTGGACACGTTGGATTCACAGTCACGATAGGAAAGCCTTACTACTGGCATGCCAGAACCTCCAAGGAGAAGGAGTTCTTCATTGGAAGCTTGGTCAAGATCTTCAAGAAATACACCAATGGAAGAGTCCCAAACCTCATCGGCTTCGATGAAAGGGAGCGCCAACAACTGTTAGGGCCGGGACAACCTGGACCGTCAGGGCCGTCGAGCGGTCCCCCATCAAGAGGAGCTGGGGCAAGTCCTGCGGAGGGTGCAGTGCCACCTTCACTACAACCGTCATACCGAGGTCGTGATCCTGGTCGCGATGCACCGCGAGAGCAACCCCGAAGGAAGCCTTCTGAAGATCCCGTCCTTCGTGCACAGAAGAGCCGCGAGCAGATGTCCCGACCATCTACAGGTTCTCGGCCGTCGACCGGCCATGGAAAACCGGCACCGTCGCCCTTCGACCTGCCCAAAGCGTCTCCTTCGGGCCCTCAAGAGTTGCAACCTCCCCCACGCGCAACCGAGCGTCTCGCCTCAGACACAAAAGGCAAAGATATCCCTCCCGGTTCTAGCCATAGCGGGATTCCAGATTCACTACGACCAGCCTCCTCCCGCAGTCAGGATCACGGTCCCAAGCCTCCAGCTTTTGCCATCCAAGGTCCTTCAGACAAGTCCCCAGAGTTGGTGCGCAGCACCGATGGACTTCGTCCCATTACACCTGCCTCCGCCGGCGACCATCGGGATGCAGTCCCAAGCCCAGTTAACAGCTTCGGGCAAAGGTCACCGCAACGCGATGGTGGTGATAAACCGTCTCCATTGAATCAACCGCCCTTGCCTCAAGAAAGAAGTGTGCCAGAGAGCCTAGCAGTTGCAGACCAACTAGAGTCGCGAGAAGCCTCTTACTCACCCGGAATCGAGGACCTGGCCGCGGAGCCTGCTGCTTTATACGCTGCCAATATGGCATCAGAGGAGCCTGCTCAACTTGTTCAGCCCATTGAGTCTACTAAAGAAATTAGCCCTGCTGAAACCACCCCGACAGTGACCTCACCTATAGAGGAACCCTCATCTGAGCCCACTTCAGCCTCGGTGGGAGAATCTGGAGAGCTCGACCCACATCGTCCAGGCCTCGGTCCCATGATCAAGAAGAAGTCAGGCAAAGACATTGCAGGTGCATTCAGAAAAGCCGCAAATGCTTACGGTGGTTTCAAACCTAGACCTGGTGGTGCTGGTGAGCGACTGCTGGCAGCCGCAAAGAAGTCACAAGCGGAGGAAGCCGGACCCGATGGTATCACCGGCGTTGTTCCGGCTCCCTCGCTTACCCGGTCTGCGACTGATCCTCCCCAAAGTCCAGTGGCAGAGAAATCAGAGAGATCCGACAAGGATCCGCAGCAGCCACCCTCTGGACCTGAAACACCAACTGTGGAAATCACCGAACCACAGCTTGATGAAGCTCCAGTCGCTCCTACGGTGCCCCCTGTACAGATCCCCGACTCGTCCAAGAACACTCTCACGGATGTTGTGCTGGTTGAGAACCGCTCGAGAACACCATCTCCATCTGGCCAAGGACGTCGTCGCAGACGTCGTGTGGACAATACATTGAAATATTGCCAGGCCCTTGGAATCGATCCGGGAGTTCTTGATGGACGCGGTATTGACTTTGATGATATCCTTTCCGATCTGGGGTGGAACGGCCGGTTGGCCGATGAGCAGAAGATTGAGGATCTGGAAGCAGATGTTCGTCGTGAAATTGGTCGCGTCGAGGCCACCAGCTGGCTTGGCAATCTTGAACAGCAGGAAGGAAAGGTTGAGCAACTTGCCAGTCTTATCGACAGAACTATTGAGGAGTGTGATGAGCTTGATGGTCTATTGACCCTTTACTCCCATGAGTTGAACGTGAGTTTGGGTTTGAAGAATTTAGAATTGATCATCAATCCGCTAACGAGATATTATGGCAGACTCTCCACGAAGATGTGGCGTACATTGAAGCTCAAGGCCAAGGCCTGCAGGTGCAGACAGCCAATCAGAAGCTTCTTCAGAACGAGCTCCAGAACCTATTGAAGACTCTCTCAATCTCTTCGTCTGAGCTAAGACCGCTTAAGGAGGCTTCATTGAGCAACCTTGATGGTCTCAAGGACAGTGAAAACGCTCTGTCGACATTGTACAAGGCCATGCTCACGATCGACTCCGACATTGGTCAAAACAAGAAGCGTCAGGTAGACTCTAGCGTCGGAGTCTATGCCGATACTGAGATTGGCCAAATGCGCGCAATCAAGCAGAAGAAGGAAGAATACCGCTCTACTGCCCTAGTTTTCCTCCAGCGCCTGAAGCAATTCATGGCTATGGCTTTCAAGATGGCAGAACAAAAACGAGCCGATTCGACGGCAAATGGTGCCAAGGATGCAATGAAGCTTGACACGGTCGCACGTGGCCACTTCCGTCAAGAGATCTGGAAGTACAATGCCCTGATGCTCTTTGCTAAAGAAGTTAGCATGGCAGAATGGCATGGTCTGGTCGGCCTCTACGAGCAACAGTCCAAGCCCTCGTACCAGGGTGACTTCCGGGACAACAATCTGGCTTGGAAGAAAATCGCTCGCAAGCCCACTGGAGATGAACAGGAACTACTCTTTACCCACCAAGAGAAGGAGAAGGAAACTGAAGGTATTACCATGGCCGCGCGAAAATTGACCGTGCGACGAGGCAAGACAGTACGAGCCGCCGCTGGTCTTCGAATGGCTTCCGGCGAGAAGAAGCAAGGAAGGGTTGAGCCATGCGAGGCCTTTTCGGGTACATTGCGTGAGACACTGAAAATGATGGCTCAGGAACAGAACTTCATTGTTCAATTCTTCCACCTCGATTCTCTTTCCAGCGCCGAGTTCTCTGATCTAGTGTCATCATCAACTCCGGAACGCCGAACGTGTCCCGACTTCTCTGCCAGCCAGTCGCACGACCCTGATCGTGGGATGGCGAAGCGAGTGGAACAGATCATGGACGAGATCTATTCCTTCTGGCCCAATGACATGCAGAGCCTTGTGGATTGGGCGATGCAGGCTGATCCTCTCCAAGGAATCGGTATCCTCTACGCTTTGGAGACCTCCATGGCCGACTTTGACGACACAAATCAAGAGTTCATCCTTCACTCGCTACAAAAGATCCACTCTCGCCTGATGGGGTTGTTCAACCGATTCGTCGATGAACAGATCCGAGGTATCGAAGACACCAAAGTCAAGGTGAACAAGAGAAAGGGAGTAATCTCCTTCATGCGGGTATTCCCCAACTTCTCCAACGCAGTCGAAACCATTCTCTCAGGCTCATCCGGCGAAATGTGCGACATCCGCGTCAGCGTCAACGACGCCTACGACCGCATCAACCGCGCAATGTGGGAGTCCCTCAAATTCATTGCCAAGGAAGCACCCGGCCAACCCCCAGGCGTCGCCACCGGCGGCGCCGGAGATCCCGAAGACAAAGAAGTCCTAAACTACCACATCCTCCTAATCGAAAACATGAACCACTACGTCGAAGAAGTTGACGTCCACAACATCCCCTCCCTCGAACGCTGGACAGACCGCGCCCACCAAGACTTCCAAGAACACATGAAGCTCTACCTCGACTCTGTCATCCACCGCCCGCTAGGCAAACTCATCGACTTCGTCCAATCAATCGAAAACCTCCTCGCTGCCGGCAGCAACCCAACCGACATCGCATCCCGCGCTAGCCACTCCCGCATGGTGGCCAAGAAGGTCCTCTCCTCGTACGACAACAAGGAAGTCAAACGTGGCATTGAGATGCTGCGCAAGCGTGTTGACAAGCACTTTGGTGATGCTGATGATCCTGGTCTCAGCCGTAGTCTGGTTCTCAAGGTTCTCCGCGCTTGCGAGCAGCGGTATGAAGATGCTTATGACCGGACGCGCCGTATCATTGATACTGTTTATGAGGGTCAATTGGATCTGGATTGGCGTAAGGATGAGACTCTTAGCATGTTCCAGAAATGAGTGGTGAATTGTGACCTTCTCTTTCGATTTCTTTTTCTTTTTTTTTTTGCTTTTGGGTTCGAATCATGGCGAGTGGGGTTGGGGGTTTGTATACATAGCGCATATATCAAGACAATGTCAGGCAATTCTTGACTTTTATTTTTTGTTTGGTTTGGTGCTTGTCTGGGCTCTGTACCACTAGGCTCTTACAAATGATCTTGGGAATATAAGAACCTGTTCGGCCGAAATGAGTACTTTCCATGTAGTACCCACCCTGCATATTATTGTAGACTATTTACACTTACCTCGTCGGAAGTTATCAGTTATGTGTCTACCCTTGTTTACTTAGCATCAAACGAGACAAACGATCTAGTTATAAATACAGTGCCCTCCCCCTTTCCACTTCCTCTCTTCTTCCTTATTTTCTTAACTGTTCTTTTCAGGTCCTCCACTCTGCGGGTGTCTTGCTCTATGAGTGTTGGGTTTTGAAGGAATTCGCACTTTATGGCTCGTGGTAGAAAACGTCTATACCCACCTCTCTCATTGCGAGTCAGGAGTCTGGGTTTGGACGTGTCTGCTGATTTCCAAGATCGATACGAGAGATTGTGTTACTGCATCACGCAGCTTACTCCCTTTTTGAAGTGTAGTCTCAATGAAGGGGGATCTGTCCATGTTGTGGTTGTCATGGTTGCTCATGGACAGGCGTCTCATGTTGATGCAGGTGCTCTCACTCTACATTACTTGTTGAGCTGTTACTTGTTGATGTTGATGTTGATGTTGATGTTGTTTACTATAAACGAAGCAAACGATCTAGCTATAAATACAGCTTCCCCTCCCTTTTCATTTCCTCTCTTCTTCTTCTTCTTCTTCTTCTTCTTCTTCTTCTTATATCGATATGAATTACTGTTCAGCTGCATCATCTAGTCTACTCCCTGTCTGATAGTGTAATAGGTCAATGCGCACGTGACCTGTGATCAGGCTCGTGACATCTATAAACATGAGCCTCGCAGAGGCCTGATAAATCCCCAGACATGATATGATATCTAGCACAAGTTAAGTTAACGTGAAGTAAGGTGGTTTAGGGTGCCGAGATCCACCGACCCACCGGTTCGAGGCGTCGGTTTCAGGGGGTTTCAGATGTAGGAAAACTCGAATTGTAACATATCACAGAACCCAGGGATATCAGGGGCGAATGACATTGGACTGTGGCTGTGGGCGTTAAAGACCACTGCATAATGTAGGTAGAACATTAGATTCATCTACTGTGTATTGGGTAGTAACTTAGTTAGTATTCAATCCAAGTAGAGTAGCTTCTTTTATTCTTTTTTGCTGGCTTCACAAAGGCCTAGATGCCGTACATGCAGCTGAAGCAAGGTAGTTATCCTCCGGGCTGAAACTTGCCAATTAAAGATTGGTGAGAGTCGGTGTGGGGAGAAGTCCCAAGCCTTGGATCGACTCTTAACTTTTAATCTTCTCCTTTCAGCTCTGCGCTCATTTCCCTGCCTCTCATTTTCCCTCACTGCTCTACTCATTCACTGTATCTTCTTCACAGTAAGTGTTTCCCCACGATTCTCGCCAAGGGGGTCTCCACTGATGTCCAAGGGGGGCACGGATCTCAATTGCGACACACCGGACCCTGCGAGGTGTCTCTATTGTGACCTCTTGTCTTTGTGACCCCCTCCGGTTTCTTTCCGGACGCTGGACCCCTCCAGAGTTTCATTGATTGGGCCCCTAAGCATCTCCTAACGATACTCCAGATCGTTGTCGCATAGCATTCCTCACCCCATTCCTGTCTTTTCTCCCTAGACCCGACAATCTGGAAACCCCCCACTGCATGTCGCGTGTGATTGACCCGATTGACTTGATTGACTCGGACGAACATTCCTTGAACGAACATTCTTCGAATTGAACACTTCCCCCGTCCCGAACCTTGCGATCGGATTGCCGCATCTGTGGGGACTGGCACGCCAGAGCCCCTCTCGAGCTCCTCTCGCGTCTGGACTAGAACACCACAGCCATGCCCTGGCGGCCGCTGCCTCGCATCGCCTTTGCCGTGGCCATATATCCCTTCCAGCCTTCCTCCCCGGCCGACCTACCATTGGAACTTGGCGATGAATTATACATAATTGAACAGGGTGGAAAGGACGGCGAATGGTGTCGAGGATACCTCGTTGCACCGCCGTCGTTGCTGGCGGGATTGACGAGTACCAAAGGCCAGACTCTCGAAGCTCGCGTGTTCTCGGGTATCTTCCCGCGGAACTGCGTGGAGATTCGGGAAGTGCTCGGCGACGGCGATGGCCAGAAAGCAATGCTCAATGGTAATCGGAAGAGTGTCGACCGGCTGACCTTGTCCGGGCTTGAAGGAGACTTCATGTCCCGGAACAGTCTGGTGTACTCTGAGTCGTACATGGGTACCGAGGTATCGGATGCGGTGTTTGCGAAAAAGGGAAAGCCTGCCCATATTGTCATTCACAAGACCGAGGAGCGAGACTTGTCCAGTCCGCGATCTGTACAGACATGGCGCTCGGGCTCGATCCCGCACACGCCCGTGTCCTTTTCTCCCCGCGACCCGAATGCACCCAAACCAGCTGCTCCAGTTCCGATGCTAAAAATCGGCGATGAGACCCCGACTTCCCTCACAGAGCCATTGGTTGATGAGATCGCGTCATGCCTGCGCGAATGGCATTCGACGAACTTGCATGAACTCCTTCTGACTCGGCAGTATGATGTGCTGGAGGAAATGTCTACAATTGTACAGGAACTAGATTTCGCGAGACGCCAATTACTACACAACGTTTTGACCGGCCAGGAGAAGGAAGCCTTGCGGGATGAGACTGTGTGGAAGCTTGTCAAAGCCAACAAAATGCTCAGCGGAGATGTTATTGTGCGGGATCCCGAGCAGAGGGGCCGCTTGCTAACAGGCGAGGACTCTGCTATCCAACTTGCGAAGCTGCAGTCCGAGATGAGCATGCTGGATTCCCGTCCTACCTCCACTTCCGATGCCACAGCGCTTCACCATCTGCTACTGGAGATTAATGCAGTATCGGGCAATGCCCCGGGACCTGTGACTATCGGAATCCAGCTCTTTTCGCGAACAGATTCCGGTGTATTGAGCCCGTTGTCGGAGACATTTAGTCTAGAGATCCCGTCTCCTGACAAGTTTATCAATATGAGCCAAAGCAGTAAACTGAAGACTCTTTTCACCGATTTGGCTGCCACAGATATCGGAGATGGATCTGCCAATGGGCGCCAGCTTTATCTACTTGCTACAGTCCGTGCTCCAGAGACACGATCCACCACTGATACAACCCCTGTTTCAAGATCTTCGATTTCACGGGAAAGCCCGGCCCCGGCCAAGGCCGCAGGAGCCAGTGGCATTCAGCCATCAGTCAAGGGTAGCCTGAGAACCCGGCGCAGCATGATGTGGACACCAAAGACTCGCGGGCCAAGCCTGGATCAGTCAAGTCCCACTGGCCAGGGGCTTCCGAGACAATCGAGCAGCTCGTCCAGCATCAAAGAGCAAACTACTGCTCAATCCACCCCGGCCAAGGAGATCTTGGCTATCCGCACTGTTGGTGTTGGGATCTTGGAGATCTCGCCGATCCTCCGGCAAGATCGAGATGCGGAGCAGGTGATCAACATTTGGTCTCCACGTCAAAATGGTGAAGACGGCGAAGGACTGACGGAGGGCTTTGACAAGCTGATTCGTACATTGCTCCCCAGTCCCACTGGCCGGTATGTGCGTTGCGATCCTGCTGCGCGTCTACATCTCCATCTGCATCCTTTCATCAGCAGTGACCCCGATGCCCTGATCCGTCAGAACCCAACGATTATGCACGATGTCGTGCAAACACAGCGTATTGGGTTCTCCAAGGCTCCTACGCGGCCGCGGTCCGACATCTACGTCACTCTATCTCAGGCTGTATTCCCCACAGACGCACTCCTGTCTCATCCGCAAGCTGGTCAGATCCCTCTGCAGGCGACAACAGGTCTCCACAACCTGCAACTTACCCTTGAGGTCCGTGATGCCAAGGGGGGACGCATCGACAAATGTGTATACCCTTCGTCTGCTAATACCTGCAATACGGCATGGCGTACCACGATCGCTCAGCGGGGCACACCTTGGAACCAGACCATCCGTCTTAAGATTCCCACAGAGCAGATTCCAGGCTCTCATATCGTGATGAGTGTTGCGAACGCACCTGAGTTCCCCTTTGCACTTGCTTGGATGCCCCTTTGGGACCACCAGGCTTTCATCAGGGACGGTCGTCATTCCCTCCTATTGCATGCTTATGATAAGCAAACTTCCAGCATTGAGAATGGAAAAGGTGCTTATCTGAACCTCCCTTGGAGTGCGCTCGGCAAGAATGAATCTGCCAAGGATCAAGATGTAACTGGTCCATTGGCCACTCTTCACCTTGAGACTCACCTATGCAGCACTGAGTATTCCCAGGACCAAGTAATTTTGAGTCTACTAAACTGGCGGGAACGTCCCGTAGACGAGGTCTTGGATCCACTCAAGCGATTGCTATTCGTTCCCGAGATCGAAATCGTGAAGCAGCTCAGCGGTGTCTTCGATGCACTGTTCGGTATCCTGGTGGAGAATGCCGGAAACGAGGAATATGAGAATTTGATTTTCAATAACCTAGTCACTGTCCTGGGGATCGTTCACGATCGACGATTCAATCTCGGTCCGCTGGTCGACCGCTACGCCGATAACCAATTCAACTTCCCATTCGTCACCCCATGCCTCATCCGAAGTTACCTGCGTCTTCTGCATGCAGGCACCGACGGCCAACAATCTCGCAGTCTTCGCGCTGCATTCAAGGTTGGACGCCATCTACTGAAGTTCATCATTAAGGCTCGTGAGCAGCAAAAGGCCAAGGAAGAAGGCATCGGCATCACCGCGGTGCAGTCCACCTTCAACCGAGACATGCACACAATCTTCAAGTCTCTAGAGACCTTGATGAAGAACCCATCACCGGCATTGGTAGGCAGCAAAACACTTGTGGTCCAGCACT